TTAGCATTCAGGTAAATTCTTTCCCTCCAGAAGGCAGTGTGTGCGTGTATTACCAAGAAAGATATTTATAGTCAGTACACGTAATTGCCCATTTGCTCTGGTTGAGTTCCAGTGCAAATTAAGCCTACTCTTGTAACCAGCGCTGCTGCTTTCTGCGATACCTGAAAGGGGACCAGTAGCACAGCTGGTTTATCGTTCATTTCTCACACAGGAACTGCTATGTGAACCATACTGCATCTATGAACTTTGAGTAAAGTAAACCTTCTCTGGGTAGAAAATAAAGTAGAGGAGCTGAGGTGGAACACTGTTGTGAAAATATTTCAAAGTTATCAAGTAGTCAGCTAGGATTAGTGACATCAAAGAAGAGTATCTAAACCAGCGGGAGAGTTGGGATTGAGTAGAGAGGTTGTTTGGGGTAAAATGTAAACAGACAATGGAGAGCCCAATGTAAGGTGAAGGACTTTTCCTATTCAGAGAGCTGTGTCAGCTACTGTTATTGTTCTCTCTTTTTCTTTTTCTGTCTCTCTCCCTCCTCTCGGCCCTTCTTTTCCACTCTCTTCTCTTCCTCTCTCTCTCTCACTAGAGTCTCTACACAGCTCTGGCTGTCCTAGAACTCACAATGTAGACCAGGATGTCCTAGAACTCACAGAGTCCACCTGCCCCTACCTCTCAAGTGCTGAGATTAAAGGCTGCAGCTACTATTCTAATGCATCCTGTCAAACATTGGGCAACTGAGTCGGTTTTCATAGATATCCTACAAGTAGATAGATTGCTTTGACCTAGGCATAGTTGAGAACTCCAGGGTTACACCCTAATGTTTGGTAACATACAGTTTAAAGCGTCTGTCAGGTTATGGTAACCTCCAAAGCTGGAGCCCTGAGTAAAGAAGCTTTTAATTTGTCAGAAGACTTCTCTTGTTGTTATTCCCATGAAGAAGAACTTGGTTGCTTCCTTTTAGGAATTCATTTAGAAGCTTATCCATAGCCTGTAACTAGGAATCCAAAGTGTATAGTAACCTGTTAGTTTTCCAAAGGCCCTAGGCTGTTTTCTGGTGGTAGGATTTAAGAAGGATCTGGATGGCTTTGATAGGATCAGATACCCTGAGTCAGAGGATTCCCAGATACACTGCTACAATAATAATGGGGCTTTAGGCTTAGATTCCATATATTCTGTGAGCTAGGAAAATGAAAGGTTGTGTTCTATGATTTGGGGCCTGAGGTGATTGCAGTTTTGTTGAAAACATCCAAAACATTGCAGATAGAAGCTGGTGGAAGTAGTGGGCCCTTTTCTTTCCACCAGGGCAATCAAGGTGTTGAGTTGTCTGTTTCAGTATCACACATGGTCTTTGACACCTGTTTTAAGTTGATGCTTATTGACCTTGACTTCCAAATGGAGCAGTTTGTTACCTTTTTTGTTTTTAAATGGTTGATTTCATCAGAAGATACTGGTGGGGGTGTAGTGATCATGCTTATTTGTTCTGGAATGTCTCTGAAGACATTGAGGTTGACTTGGAGTGGGACATTTGCTTTGGATGATCTAAAGTAGGTAACTCGTGAAACGTGTGTGAGCACCGTTCAGTATCACCTTCTCTTTTTCATGGCCTTTGCTTTGACTCTGGCTTTGGATGGGATAGGATTGGTTTTTTGGTTACAGTTTTCATGAAAAGGGTCTTCAGGTAACTTATTTTTGCTACTTTGTTAGAAAATGTCTTTTTTGGGGGGGCGGGGTAACAAAATGTTCCTCTCTATGTGCACTAGAATTTGTTGTATATTTTGCCAGATATTAATACAACAACCCTAGCAAGCTTTTAAAGTAAAAAAAAAAAAAAGAGAGAAATCTCTGTGTTTAATGTGTTGTACATGCCTACATGAATGTCAGAGAAGGTCATTGTTCTACCTGTGAATCCTGGTGGTTGAATTTAAGCCATCAGATCTGGCAAAAATTGACTTTACCTGGTGAGCCTTCTCATTGCCCCTTCTAGCAAGCTTTTGATTAAAGAATACATGGTATGTATTTTTTTAAAAAAATATCCTTTATACTGTTTCTTTTCTTGAGTTTACCCATGGCTAAATAAAACACTCATCTTACATCTTAGTATAAGATTATACAATCATTCTACTTACACCATCTTTGTAGTTTTTGTCTGCTTGTGGAATTTTACATTTCCTGCGGAGGATTGTTACTCAAACACAAAGCAAGTGCTATATGTGTTTTTGAAGCACCTGGTATAACTTTCTCCATTCCAATATTCTGCTTTGCAAATGCCAGTTGCCCCAGCCTCTCCTAACGTTGATTTCTGGCCCCTGAACTCAGTAAACAGCCCTGATCTTTTAGGGTCCTCCCGTTCTGTGCTGTGACTCTGAAAGTATCTCTAAACAGAAATGTGAAGTGACCCTCGAGTTCAGTATGTTTCCCTTCTCCTGTATAGAACAACGCCACGGACTGGCCCATCGGGGGTACCACGACCGTAGGGGGACCAGAGCTTGAGTAGTCAGGAAGGCAAGGATTCGGCGAATGACAGACAAACAACACACTCAGAAGTGGTTTGAATCTGCTGCAATTTTACTTCTGCAAATCAGTAGTTTATATACAGAAAAGAAAACTATCAAGTCCTACAAGGAACAACAAGAGCTTGACAATAATTCAATTACATCATCTTTAAAAAACAGCAAGCGCATAATTATTAATCGACACTAGACATATCCCTTTACCCACAAGAACTTTATGACCCAAAGAGCAGTCTGTGTTTTTTAAACTTAGTACGGTCCCTAGACTTGTAAAGGCTTCTTTGCAGTTGCGGCTGTGTCCTTCATCTTTATCTCAGCCGCTCGCTAGTTTATTATGCACTTCTACTGTTCTGGTTCTCATGACCCACTTAGCCAGTTTGGATGCTGCAGATCCTCTCTAAGTCTTTCTTCAGTTCTTTACCATATATCTCTTCTAATATAAAACCTTTTTACCTGCTGGAATATGAACTCTTGTACTTTTACACCTGTAAGGGGAAGGGGTTCTGTTGTAGTCTTTAAGTTTCCCATGCTGAACTTCTTCAACAGAGGGGCCCATCATCTGTCTCCTATGAGATAACGTTTTCTGCCATAAATCACTTTAGTTGGGATTCCTAAAGGATTCCTAGTGGGTGAGTGTTCATTCCCTAGAAGTACCTGAACTATTATTATACTTTCTTTATCTAGTGGCTTGGGGTCTTGAAGGAATAGCTCATTCTGCTATATCTAAATAAGTTCCATGTCCAGCTTCCCCTCTCCTCCATAGTTCACAACCCAAGCATTCATTAGTTTTGGCTGTGCTTCATAGATTAATTAGAACATTATCAGAAAAGCAGTTATACAGAACCCATAGCCCAGAGAGCTCATGATCTGTGAAGCACGTCTCCTTCGAGAAGGAGGCATAACACGGGCACTCTGCTAGGGACCTCCAGGGAGCTTAGTCCCATGGGACACGTATCTCCCATCTGCTGTTATTGACATAATTGTTCATGTCACACAGACGACACTGGAGTTGGTGTGGCAGAACAGTTTTCTGGCCCGATTTCTGGGACCTGTTGTGTTCATTTTTATACTGTTTAAAACAGGAAAGCATGTGTATGCCAGTTATTTCAATATAGCTGTAATGGCTTAATTTTTTAAAATTACAATTTCCTCTTAGTACATTTTACAGCTGTATTTGGCAGTGTTGTGTATAAAGTTGGATATCTGTTGTCATTATATTGTTGTGTAAGTATGTAGTAAAGGCAAAACAGTATTTATGCTAGAATTACAAAAAGAAAGGATAAATAAGGGCTGGAGAGATGGCTCAGCCAGTACAGTGCTGGGCGTGCAAACAGGAGGACCCACACAGTACCACACGTCTGTAACTTCAGTGTTCGGGGCAAAATCACGGAGGGGCACATACGTGCACACAGTGCAACACCCTCCCCAAACTGGTAGGGAGATAATAGTTTGTCAGTGGAGAACTGGTTCATGAAATGTTCATCATGCTATTTTGTTTTGTGATAAAGATGAATAAGGTAGATTATTTGTTAATTTGTAGTAATATCCATAATGTATTAAATTAAAAAACTAAAGGTATGTTCAGTGTGGTCAGCTTTCCACATCCATGAGTTCCACACATCTGCAGAGGCAGCCAGCTGTAGCTTGAGAACATGCAGTGGGGAAGAAATTGCATGTGTACATGTACAGACGTTCTCCTATTTTCATCTCCTAAACCGTGCAGTGTCAGTTACTGCTTACATCTGTTTAGCTAGACTAAGTCATCTAGAGATGATTTAATGTGCATTGGAGGATTGGCATCGGTTACTCGGGGACTTGAGCATCCATGACTTTTTGTATTTTGAGGTGAGGGTCCTGGAACCGGTATTCCCTGAATTCCCAAGAAAGACTGTATATTGTACAGCTTATTTTTCTTTAAAAAAAATTTTTAAGGTAGAGGTATGTTGGTAAATTGAGGAAAAGGTCAGAGGGAAACTTTTCCTGACTTTTTGTTTTGTTTTCCTGCCTTAATTTTTCTTTGGCAGGTATATTCGTAGCATTTAAAAGTAGCAAAATATTTTATTATGTTAAAAGGCGTATTAGGTGCTAGAATTTTAGGATATTGGTCCTTGGAGTAGATTTAGGAAATCTTTTTTTTTTTTATGATGTCATCCTTCGTTTTGTAACTCACTAAAGTAGGGTCAGTTATTAAGCAGACAGAAGTGATTTAAGCTAGGGCTGGCTGAGCTCTCTTCTGTCACTTAGTGACCCTATCACTTCAGACAAGACGCTACCGTACCTTACAGCAGCTTTTCACAGTGGGACAGGACGGCCTTATCTGCAGTACTGAGGAGTCAGTGGGACATGACAAGTGTTGGTCACCTCGCCTCTTGGCAGACCTTAGCCTGTCCACATAGAGTTCCTGCTGTGTCAGTTTCCAGCACCCCTTAGACGTGAACTGTGTTCTGAAATAGAAGTCTCATTTTTGTGTCTGTTTGTGTGTTATATTCACAGAGTGTTTTCAGGAAAGTGAACATCTCAAGGAGAGTCTAAAGTGTTGCTTATTACACCTCTTTGGAGCCATTGTAGCCGGTGGGCAGGTGAGGACAGTGTTGAAAGTTAATGTATGAGTGGTAGTTAACCGCACACAAGTCTCTCATGGATTACTCAGTGCATTCTGTCTTTATAACTTGATGGTCCAGATAACCTTTAAGTTTGTATCTTATTTAAAACTAAACTTCTTAAAATCTTCCATAAAAACCTAAGTAACATTAACACTGACAATTAATAATACTGGATGAATCGGTTGGACGAGTTTTGGTATTATAAGTTCCTATTTCTCTTGGCTTTTAGTTACTAGTTATTGTTTTAAAGTATAAAGCAAATCAGCCTTATTAGAAGTCTGATGAAACAATTCTAGCCAGTTTGATTTCTAAAGTCGTGAATTTAGTCACTCTGCTGTTTACTTGTAATTACTAAATATATTTATTCAATTATTTATATATGTTCCAAAAGTATGTCTCTGGCAAACTGAGTGTAATTACCTGTTGCCAACAGGCTAATAATTCAGAGAGAATGTTGCTAACAGGCTAATAATTCAGAGAGAATGTTCTACATGTTTTCTTAAACCATGCAGTTTAAATGAGAGATTCTTTTACCCTTTTGTACATTTTGTGTCATATACCTCTTTTGGAGTTTGGTAAAGACACTTATCAGAGTTTTTTAAATGTCTAAAATAACATATCATAAAAGGAAAACTACCTCAAAATTCAGTTGCTGAAAGGGTAATAAAACACATTTGTGACATAGTAATATGTGCTTTTGTGTGGTCCTGGGATTGAATTTATGGCCCCATGTATGAGAGAGGCAAACACTCATGCTATTAAGCTATACTCCAGCCCCACTATGGCTTTTTATAATGCATAGACCAAGAGGATACAGCAGTGAGTCAGGCATGGTGCTACGAAGCTTTAGTCAGAGCTGTACAGAAGGTTGAAACAGGATTCCTTGAGCCAAGGAGTTTGAAAGAACAGCATATATAACCTAGGAAGAACCTACATTTGATAGGCTGTAAAGAATCTTGCTATGTTAACAGCTGTAATATATGAAAGTATATATAATTTTTATTGGTGGCAGAATCACAAGTATTACTTACATTGCTGTGTTTTGTGGCTTTCATTGAAATTTGAATGAAATACTAAATTCCAAAGAGAGACTACTGGAAATAAAGACATATTTTTCATTCCCAAGTTTATAGATTCTTTGAGTTCCTTCCTTCATCCCTTCCTTCCCTCCCTTCCTGTCTCCCTCCCTCCCTTCCTTTCTTCCTCCCTTCCTTTTTATTATTTGTTTATTTATTTGACACAGGGTTTCTCTGTGTAGCTCTGGCTGTCCTGGAACTCACTTTGTAGACCAGGCTGGCCTCAAACTCAGTGATCACCCTGCCTCTCTGCCTCATGAGTGCTGGGATTAAAGGCATGGCTCACCACTGCTCCCCATAAGGGTTCTTTTTTATGCCTGTAAGAACTTTTAATTGCATAGCAACAGGAAGTTCTTTATCTGTTAATGTATCTTTCATCTTAATAAGATTGTTATCTTATAGCAGGTGACAGTTGTTATAATCTATCACCAAGCCCAGGCTAGGACACTGGATATTGGGTCACACTTTACTGTTTTATTTGAGAGATTATTGTCTTATTCTCAAGTAAATGTAATAACATTATTTGGTATATTTATGTGTAATCCCTCTTTTTTTTCCTCAGGTAGTAATTTTGAGATAGAATCTAACTATGTAACCCTTTGCTGGCCTTGAATACAGAATCCCCCTGCCTCTCCTATCAGTTGGGATTGCAGGCACGTTCTTCTATGCTAATGTATCTAATTTAGATATATTCAGATGTGCTTTCTAGTGTATAAATCTATCCTGAGATTGATTCATGTGTCTATTGTAGGTATATTCAAGTGTGTTCTCTAGTATGTAAATCCATCCTGAGATTGGGGTTCCCTCTGCTGAAATTCTCTCCCTACTTTTCTACTTTTGTTTCTATCTGTATTATCATATTTTTCATTCAGTAATCTTCACAGCCAGTGCATATTCACACCTGTTGGTTTTAGATTGCTGTTAAAATTTCCTTCTCTGGTTTATTTATCCTCTCTCCCTTTTTAGAAGCCAGTGTCTGTATTTAGGCTTCCTCGGTAGGTTTTGTGCACGTCTCTTGATCCTGGTGGAAGATAGCAATCTTCCTAAGATGAAAGGAACAGTGGTCTGGATCTTACTTTCTGTTTGTTTTTCTGAGACAGTTTCTCTTTGTAGCCCTGGCTGTCCTGGAACTTGTTCTGTAGACCAGACTGGCCTCGAACTCAGATCCACCTGCCTCTGCCTCCTGAGACTAGGATTGAAGGCGTGCACCGCCACTGACCAGTCTTATTTTCTGTTTCAAGTTGGCCTCATCACTTTGCTGTATTAGCTGATTTTCTTCTTTTGAATTATTGCCTTACAATTTCCATCATTTTTTACTATTGTGAATAGGAATTGACAGGTAAACATGAAAAAGTAGGAGTGGTGGTGCTGACTGATGGGGAGCCTTCGTGGGTCTCATTCATCTTTGAGCACCTAGAGACATACTCTTGTTAGTACTCATTCATGGGTTATGAAGCTCAAAGATAATTCTGTAATGAACAGTTGCCATGAAAAATAAAATAGGTACCAGAGACTCAATTTATTATATTGTGTGCTAAAACTACTCAGAAGTTTTGTGATCAGGCCATAGTCAGTTAGACTTACTGAAGTCAGAAAGGGTGCTTGCTGGCTGTTGGGTCAGGATAAGGGAATTTTAGTTGAGTTGAATATTTGATGATTTCAGAATGATCCTTACCATAAGGAAAAGAAAAAAAAAAGTCTGATAACGGGTCTTTCTGAAAGCATTGTCCTTGAATTGTCCACTGACATATTTGTCTTTTAGATCTGTGAATGAATACACGTAAGGGAACCTGTTGTGTTTTGTTAAGTGCAGGGATACTGGGGTTGACCTAGGTTTGAAACAGGTGTCCATCTCACAGAGGTTGAGCTCAGATAAATTATTTGTCTCTGGTTCACTTACTTATAACATGGAAACAGTGATATTTACAGGATATTTATAAGGACTAAAGGACACATAGTCAAGTAAAACAATGAACAAAGTGGCCTGTACTTGTAAAAACGAAGGAAGTTAGAGCTGTATCTTATTTATGATTTTCTGTATAATAATGAAATTGTCCAAGCTTAATTTAGTCTACTTTTGTCTCTGAATCACAAAACTGCATTGTGGAGTTGGAGGTGTAGCTTAGTGATGCAGCACCTACTTAGCATGTGGCGGCCCTGGGTTTAGTCCCTAGCACTTGGGAAAGAGAAAATAAAAAGGTAGAAAACATTTCGATGTTAACGTGGTAGATCTAGGCTCTTCAGGGACTCTTGATTCCTCCTGAGTGTCAGGTTGTTAGTAGCTGCTAGTGTTTTGACCATAATGTCGGCATTTGGAGTACAGACGGGGGTCCCAAAGGAGATACTGACATAAGCAAACTGTTGTTTCAGGAGATACTGAGAAACTGGTGGTCGCTCTCATTTCTTCTCCCTCCCGCTCCTATCCCTCCCCTTCCCTTCTTAGACAGGTCTCACTATAGAGCCCTGGCTGGCTCACTTTGTAGATCAGATCTGGAGTGCCTCTGCCTCTCAGGTGCTGGGCCTAGAGATGTTTGCCACTGCATCTGCTCAGTCCTGTGTCTCATTTACCAAACTCGAACATTGTGAGGTCAAAGGGCCAAATGTGTCCAGATGATAAAATTCACTTCCTGGGCCTTCTCATCAGCAGGGGAAGTAGGCAATACGATCTTTATTGTTGGTGGTCATGTAGCCAGGAAAACATCATGGGTTCTAGTAAGTAAAGATTTTTTACGGGAGATTGAATACTGGATATGTCATCAGTACTTTCTTCCATAATATTATTTATTATTAATATTATTGGTAATAGCAAGACTGAGTGACCTATGGACTATTGCACAATTATGTTCATTACACATTGGTTTCCTCCCGCATTACTGGACAGTGAACCTAAGACTTCACATGTGCTAACCATTGCTCTAGCACTGAACTGTATACATTTCTACCCTTTTTCCCCACAATTAAATTTCTAGACAGGGTCTCAGTAAATTGTCTATGTTAGTCTCGAACTCACTTTGTAGACCAAGCAAGGTTTGAACTTTTTGGTCCTCTTGCCTTAACCTCCCTAAATAGCAGGGATTATAGGCCAGTACCATCAGGCCTGGCTTCATTATATTTCAACAGCAACCACTTACTTAATATAAAGAGTTTCAGAGATATTTGTAGATTCAGCTGGTCATTTTACATAACTAAGTCATTTGGGATGGATTTGCTGTAAATAACATAAAATCTAAGAGAGGTTTAGTGAAATTGATGTTTTAAAATTCTTGGCTAAGAAATTTAAATGCAGGCAGTGGGTGTAGAAACTCTTGAGAAATGTTCATGGGCTAAGACCCTTTGAATGTCCTGTTTTGCTTTCTGTACACTGCTTATAAGTTAATTCTTGGGTTTTATCTTTTCTTATGTAAGGTGGTTCTAAGCATTGTGTCTGCTTTCTAGGCTGGAAAAGAAAAGAAAAGAAAGAAACCTCTTCATTTGTAAAGAAATAGCCTTTTCATAGTCTTTGTCCTCTGTTCTTTTGGGCAGAGCTATCTGACATGGTTACTTTTAGCTGCAAAGGAGGGAAAGTAAGCTTCAGATTAGTAGTGAGCAAAATAAGGCTTAGATATGGGTAACATCTGCAGTGTTTATCACATATATCTGTTAATAACTTTGTTAATTTGTTTAAAAGAAAAAGTTACCCACAGGCTTACTAATTCTCTGTTATTAGAAATGTGTAAAACGGTTTAGATTTCATTTTATCTTTTATTGTTTTTAATGTTTCAGAGGAATGCTTTGCAAGCGATTTCTCCAGCCACCATGGAGGTTCTCATGCGAGTTTTGTCTGATTGTGACTCACGGGAGGAAGGAGACCCTGAGGAAGTGGGTAGGAAGAGAGAACTAACACTGAAGTGCCTCACACAAGTGATACACATCCTTCTTACGAGCAGTTCTGACCAGCGACAGGTGGAAACCAGTACCATACTGGAGAACTATTTTAAATTGCTCAATTCAGATCACTCAGCTTTACCTAAACAGAGGAGGACCAGGCAGTGGGAAAGCCAGTTCATAGCTCTGCAGATTAAGATGCTCAGTAAGTATTTAATGAAGTTTTCCCTCAGTTCCTTTTTGCTTTCTCATTCTCAGTTTCTTTTGAAATACGGTCTATTATATTTAAAAATATTGACTGTTTAGTTCAGGTAATGAGTATTTAGATTTTTGACTTCCAAATAATTAGTATGGAATTGATTTGTTTACATTTTTGCTTTATCAAGGAGAAACTTGTCTATTCTTTTTTGAAAGTCTAATCCACTAAAGTGTATATGCTAAAAAGAAAGTTATGACTAAAATTGCCAGGAAGAATTAAATTTTTGAAGGTACCATTTATACACTTTTTTTTTTAAATGATTTATTTATTTATTATGTATACAGAAGAGGGTGCCCAATCTCATTACAGATGGTTGTGAGCCACCATGTGGGTGCTGGGAATTGAACTCAGGACCTCTGGAAGAGCAGCAATTGGTGCTCTTAACCTCTGAGCCATCTCTCCAGCCCCATTTATACACTTTTTTTTTTTTTTTTTTTTTTTTTTTGGTTTTTCGAGACAGGGTTTCTCTGTGTAGCTTTGCGCCTTTCCTGGAACTCGCTTTGGAGACCAGGCTGGCCTCGAACTCACAGAGATCCGCCTGGCTCTGCCTCCCGAGTGCTGGGATTAAAGGCGTGCGCCACCACCGCCCGGCTCATTTATACACTTTTACTTGTGATAAAAATTATTTAAGAAAATGCCTCTCTAACATTTCTGTTCTTTAGAACAGCATCTAGTTGTCACAGAGGAACCCTGTGTCTTTGTTTCTTTTGCATTTCTTTGTGTTGGTTGGTTGGTGTCTCTGAGCAAGTATATCTATCTGTCTGGTCTCTGTGCTTTCCAAACTACCTAGTCAGTTTATATAATTTCTTTTTTTCCTTCAAAATGACAAAACTTCATTTTTGTTTTGGTTACAGTGTGTTAGTGTAGTACATACTTTCCATCTATTGTTTTAATCAACATAGGTGACTCACACTCATTATTCCCTATAAAGGATGAATGTACGGGGGAGTCAGATACTCAGTAACTCAGTAACTTTCTTAAAGACTCTCAGCTCCTATTGAGTAGAACTGGCATGGAAAGGCAAAGCCTCTGAGGCTACAGGCCCATTCTCTGTGAATCACCAGCTTTATGATCCTGAAGAGAGAATAATGCATGCTCAAAACCAGTGATGCTGCAAGTGCACTCCAGACTCCAGACTCCAGAGTAGATGGATCAGTTAGTCATTCTAAATCCCCTTTTCAGTTTTATATGTGGGCATGAATATTTGGAAATGACAGTAACTACAATTTAGATAGATAGATAGATAGATAGACAGACAGACAGACAGATAACATAATACAAAAAGAAATGGCGTTTCCCTTTATCTTAGTAATTTTATGTTGTATGAAATAGAGCACCAGATGAGATACAGAACCACAGCCTGCCGTTTCCCATGCCAACTTTCCTATAAAGTTTCATTGGTGGAGCACACAATGATAGTTCAGAATGTCGTGAATTGTGATCAATACTTTATGTGATTCTTGTTGTGTTTCCTGTGTTAGATTGTTAAAGAACTGTATTCATTACAGAGGTAGATATTGTCGTTACAGCTAAACTAGGAAACTTAGTTAGAAAAAAGAGAGTAAAAATTTTTACATCTCTACTGGGCGCTGGTGGCGCATGCCTTTAATCCCAGCACTCGGGAGGCAGAGGCAGGCAGATCTCTGTGAGTTCAAGGCCAACCTGGTCTACAGAGCTAGTTCCAGGACAGTGAGGGTGATTATACAGAGAAACCCTGTCTTGAAAAACAAACAAACAAAAAAAGTTTTTATTATCTCACCACCCAGATATAAGAAACAGTAATGATTTGGCATATAAATTTATACGTACATGTATTAATTTAGAAATATTGTACATAAAAACCTTGTTGAAAATTATCCATTATATTTGTTTATATAGAAAAAGAATAGTTTTGTATAGTTTTTAGTTAATATGCTATAATGCCATTTTTTTTTTTTTTATAGTTTTGTTTGTTTGTCAAGCCAGGGTTTTTCTGAGTAGCCTCGGCTGTCCTGGAACTTGCTCTGTAGACCAGGCTGGGCTCCAGCTCAGAGATCCACCTGCCTCTGCTTGCCGAGTGCTGGGGTTAGAGGTGAGTGCCACCACCACCCAGTTGTTTTTCTATAGTTATTACAGGTTGTAAATTTAAAAGTTAGTTTGATTCTCTGTTGAGTGAGTGGAATTCTTGTTTTTATTAGGAACTGTGACATTTGCCATGCCAGATACCCTTTGATTTCTCAATTGGATTATCTCGACAGTAGGCAATAAGAGATCAATATTGTCATTGCTTTCGTAGGCCACATATTCATTTCATAGTGTTTAAATATGACTACTAAATGTCATAAACAGGTATTGCTTTTTAATAGCAAATCAGACACAAGACAAACCTTATGAAAGAACAAGTAAATATGAAAAATGTTTGCCAGTCATACGTAAAATTTAAACTAGCTTAAATTATAAAGTATGAAAATAATCACTTTTCTCAATTACAGCATTTGTTTTCTGTTCCTCATCTATATTATTTCCCAATTAATTTACATCTTTTCTGTCAACTGAAAAGCCTAATTTTAAAATGATGACGATAAAAAAGCCTAATTTTAAAATGATGACGATAAATGTTTGATTCCTAATTTTCACTTTTACATGAGTGATGTTTGTTTTTAATTTATAGATACCATCACAGCCATGTTAGACTGCGCAGACAGGCCTGTTCTTCAGGCCATTTTCCTTAACAGTAATTGCTTTGAACATCTCATACGACTTCTACAGAACTGCAAGGTACTTTATTATTGTTTTTTATATTTGTGAACATTTATTTGTTTGTTTGCCTATTTACTTATTTGTGTGTGGGAACACGTGCCACAGCAGGAATGTGGAGGTCAGAGGACAGCTTGTGGGAGTTGGTTCTGCCCTACTAGCATATGGGACTGGCATAGGGTTAAACTCAGGCTGCCAGACTTGGCAGCAAGCGCCTTGGCCTCCTGAGCCATCTCGTTGGCATTGTTAGGACTTTTTGAAGTGTTATTATTTTAGTTGGGCCTAGAGGTCCATACCTTTGATTTCAGTGCTTGGGAGGCAGAGGCAGGTGGATCTCTGTGTGTTTGAGTCCAGCCTGGTCTATGTAGCGAGTTTTAGGACAGCCAGGGCTACATAGTGATAACCCTGTGTCAAAAAAAACAAAAGGTTTGTTTTGATTCAGATTTGAGCATGTCATTACCAAAATTTTTATTGTTAATTTGTGTTTACATTTCAATACATAGCCAAGTTTTATCTTTTTTACCAGATAAATTTATTATAAAACTAGACTATCGTAGTATATGTATGTACATACTCACCCCATCTTAGAAGTGAGAAAAGTGAGGCACAAAGGTTTATACCCTGTCTAGGATCACAGAACCAGTGAGAGACAGAAGCAGGACTCCAGCCAAGGCTGTCCTCTCTGAGGATGTGTGATTATCACTGGGCACTCTGCCTCTCACGCTTTCACTTAGCTCAGCCTAGGCTAGGCAGGGGACAGTAACATTTAGTAGTCATATATCCTGGTCTAGGAACTAGGCAGATATCTAAATCCTCCAATCTCAGAAGAACTGTTAAAGAAATCTACTCACTGTCTACATGGGAACAGGTTTTGTCTTCATTGAAACTAGATTTATATTACTTATGATCCAAAGGTAGTGAAACTCATGTGAATCTTTTTTGTATGATATTTCAGTTTAGAAATACTTTATTTTCCCTTAGACATGGATACATATACTTGTATGAGACTATTTAAAGTCACAGGTTACTTCTGATTTCTTGATTAGCTACTTGTCTAGAACATACAAATGCAGTCAAGGTCCTCATGCTGTGTAGCAAGCACTTGTATTTACTGAATCATCTTCCCAGCCTCTTTTTTTTTTTTTTTTTTTTTTTAATACCAGAAACTTTTTTAAGGCTGGCCTCAAGTCACAGAGATCCACCTGTCTGTGCCTCCTGAGTGCTGGGATTAAAGGCATGCGCCACCATGGCCCAGCTTCAGATAACTCTTTGAAGTTTTATAAATGGAATTCTATTTCTTGTAGAATTCCTAGTCGTAGGGTGTAGACTAGACATGTATGTTTTTTAAAATTAGGAGACTTTGTATTAAAAAGTTACAACTAATTAGAAAATATAGAAAACTAGAAAAATAGTAGGAACACTGTTAAGGCTCATGGTACATATTGCCAGTTCGTACTTTCACTGTTGTTACTATTTGCCAGTTTATACTTGCTATAGTAGTGTGAGAGAGTACGCAGCAGTTCATGTTTCTGTGCTTCCTATTGTATGCCCATGAGTTTAAGATGTTACCAAAAAATTTTGAGAGAGGTTGGAAATGAAACTACTCCATTTTTCCTTATATTTTTCTATTAATTCTTGTACTTCCTAGTTGAAAACACTTGGTTGATTCTGATATTATTCCTCAGTAAGGATTCTTGTTTTTCTTACTGTAAAAAGGCATAGCTTTGAAAGTTTTTAGTGTTACTTCGTTGCTTACTTTATATTAATAATATAGTTAAATAGAGCAGAAAATACATTTAATATATTGATGTAGTATGTAATGCCTCGCCTCTTGTCTTTTAAATATTATTTATGTGGAAAATATCTTAGATGAAAATGCACAATAGAAGTATTTATAAAACACTTTGATAATTATAAAACAGTATGACTTTGTCACTTAGGAAGACAGCATCAGTAACAAAGTTATCTTGTGTATTATTAAAAGAATCCTGATTTAGCAGACATTGGTGACGCATGCCTTTAATCCCAGTGCTCGAGAGGCAGAGGCAGGCAAATCTCTGTGAGTTTGAGGTCAGCTTGGTTTATAGAGCAAGTTCTGGGTCAGCCAAGGTTACACAGAGAACTCTGTCTTGAATCCACCCCCCACCCTCCAAAAAAAAAAAGAATCCAGATTCCACATATCAAGAATCTTTAGGATGTTCCCACCCTGAAATTTGTCAAGATGGACTTTTGTCATTTAAAAAATAGTTTTTTTTTTTTCTCAAAGCTAACCAGGATGATGACATAATAGTTACATCTTACAGAATGATATATTCTGAGAAATAGATCTTTAGGATGAACATCACCAAGTGTACTTACTCAAACTAAGATAGATACAACTCACCAAGTAATGGAATCTTGCAGGACCACTGTCAAATAGTATCTCTCATTTACCAAAATGTCATCATATAGCACATGTCTGTATTTGTTGTACTACAACCAAGTTTAGTTATAGCTCTTGTGTTTGTGAGGCAGGGTCTCACTCTTCAGCCTGGGCTTGCCTCAAACTCACTGTGGGGCCAGGTGTCCTTGAACTTCACAGCGATCCCCCTACCTCAGCTTCTAAATTGCTAGCTTTAAAAAAGTTAAATATTTCATGTTACTCACTACATTTTTCTTTGAAACTGAATATACCAAAGAAGAAACGTTTTTCAGGAAAAGCCAGGCCCTTGGCCTTTCCTTTCAGTAGTTTTCTCCTTTTGGAGGATTTTTTTTTTTTTTTGGTGGGGGGGTTAGAATCATCACAAATCATATGACATTCCAGCCATTTTATACAAATTAATGTGACTCATGTAGTATTTACATCCAGGTATGCTGTGTTTTGATCATGTTCATCCATTCTTCTGCCCTGGCTGCCAACACCCCCACATCCTTCCGAGTTCTTGGCAGGTCCTCTTCTACTTGAATCAATTGTTTTGTTTGTTTCCATATATGAGAGTGAACATGTGGCACTTGTCTGTGTCTGTTGTATTTTATTTTATTCATTTTGCCTCAGGTGACAATTTAATTTTTTTATTTTTTTGTTTAACATTAATACCACATTATGTGGTATGCCATATTTTCTTTGTCCATTCAGCGGTTGACATTAGGCTGGTTCTCTAGCCTAGCTGTTGTGTGTAGCAGCAGTATAACAGGCATGTAAGTATCTTTTGTTTACTGACCTTATTTCCTTAGATATATACAGAGGAGTGGGAGACCTGGATCATAGTGTAGTTCTGGTCTTGTTTTTGAGATATGTCCATACTGTTTCCATTTTGGCTGTGCTAATTTACATTCCCACCAGCAGCATGTAAGGGTTCCATCTCCATACCCAACATTAAAATAATTTCACAATTCAGGCAGTAATTGTTTAAAACATTAAAATTAAGTCTTTAAGCCAGCAGGGTGGTGGTGGCGCACGCCTTTAATCCCAGCACTCGGGAGGCAGAGCCAGGTGGCTCTCTGAAAGTTCGAGTCCAGCCTGGTCTACAAAGTGAGTTCCAGGAAAGGCGCAAAGCTACACAGAGAAACCCTGTCTCGAAAAAACAAAAACAAAATTAAATCTTTAAAATAAATTTCCAAATTTACTCCTTACACAAGTAAAGAAATAATGTCCTGAGGTGTTAAATTACTTTTGTTATTGTGCTTTTGCTCAATACTAATAATTGTTGGAACTAGGATTTTTTGCTTGTGTTTTCTGACCCTAAGTTCATTATAATATATAGTTACTATAAATTTATTTTTTATATTCATGGTTACTGACTTTTAACTAGTGTAAAATACTTACTGTGTGTTAAACTGTGTGTTAAACATAAGACAGTTACAAGGTTTTTGTTTTGTTTTGGATTTGTTGTTGTTTTGTGTTGGTTTTTCAAGATGGGGTTTATCTGTTCAACAGTTCTCACTATTCAGGAACCTGATTTGTAGGCCAGGCTGGCCTCGAACTCACAGAGATCTGCCTGCCTCTGCCTTCCGGGTGCTGGGATTAAAGACATGTGCCACCACTGCCTGGAGACAATTATAGTGTTTATTGATAGTATATCATCTTGTGGATGTAGTTATGATTTATGAATATATAAAAATACTTGGAATCTTGTGAGCATTTAAGTTCACAAATGTATTTCATGATGTGCATATTGCTTTTTGTATCATTTTATTGTTGCTTTTAATAAACAAGTCATTTAGTCTGTTTTATACAATAATGCAGAATCAAGGTGATTTCACTGTTTAAACATTCATACTCAATGGAAACATTCCAGCTAAAGCTGTCAAATAGCAAAACTTATGAATTGATTGAAAACTTTAAGCTGACTGTTGGTAGTTTTTCTTTGAAAACTTATTATTGTGTGCATCTGTGTGTGTGCATGGGTGTATGTGCGTGGGTATGTTTGTGTATCTGTCTGAAGTAAATGTGTGTGCATGTGCCAAAATGTGCATCTGAAGATGAGAGGACATCTGGGGATGGAACTTAGGTTGTTGGGCTCGTGCAGCAAATACTCACACACTGAGCCACTTGTTGGCCTAGACTGTTGGTAGCTTCTCTGGCATCTGTGTATGATATCCACCAGTTTAAATATGTCTTCATTTCCCAAGAAAATGCCCTGTGGAAAGGCTTTTGTGCTTAGCGACTAAGTTTCATTGTAATATAAAGTCCTTACATATGTGTAAAGTATATATTGTATGATATCATATATTAGACTTTTATGATTAGATGTGATGAGTGTTGAATAATTTATTCTTTGAGTTTTGTACAATGCATTTTGATGATCCAGTGGTATTTTAATTACAAGAAAAACACAATCTGTCATTAGTAGTGGCAAAGATTTAAAGCCCTCATTTTGGCTTTAAGAAGGCTGAAATCTTGTGCTTTCTGCCTGTATCTTAAATTTTGGAGTTATACTTTCTGTTTTAAGAGCAAGAACTTTAAAAATATTCTTTGTGTAGATTGGTATGTTATTTTCTGTTTTGTGGTACTAGGGATCAGACTTGGGGCCTTTGCCTGTTATGTTTGTGCTTTACTAGTGAGTTCTATCCCCCGTCCTGGAGACTATTCAATTTTACTTTTGTCTAAGCATCCCATTCCTTTGCACATCAGTAATAAAGAAATTAATATCATTTGTGATTTTTCCTTCTAATATTGGCTTTCATTTTGAAATCCCTATTTGTGCTAGACATAATGAAAATAAACTTCTATAGATTATATATCATTTAACCTGCACAGTTTGGATAGGGTAGTCTTATTTTAGGTACATAAGTTTAGAGAAGTAGCAAAGAACTGGGGTATAATTCAGTTATAGAGCACCTTCCTAAGTGTGCACGAGTTCCTAAGTTTAAGCTTCAGCATCACACACACACACACACACACACACACACACACACACACACACACACACACACACACACACACAATGATATTAAGAATCATTTTGAGATTTTGCCAGGTTAGATAACACAGGTTCAACCAAAGTACTCAAGAAGTTGAACAAAACCAAGATGATTTTGATGTCTTTGATTCCAAAGCCTCTTCTTGCATTAAGCTTTGCATATATTCTTACATCCCATATTACACTACACTGCTGCTCAGTTTATATTGTATCATTTACAGATGTAACTTGACCTTTTCCATTTTCTGAAATAACAGAATTTGTTGAGAAATTCCTTATTAGGATGCTATTAGTTTCTTTATTTTCTCTCCATTTCACTTTCATTTGAAGTTTCTTTCTCTCCATTGAGTTGACAGAAGCCAAAACCTTTTGGGATGCTGAGTTAATACACTAAGACTAAAGTACTTAAAGCCTTTGTTTCATGTAAAAGAGAGCAATCATGGGCCAGTGATACAGCTCATTGGGTAAAGGCTTTTGTCACTCAAATGACCAGCGTTTGATCTGTGGAACCCCACGTAAAGGTGGAAGGAGAGAACTTACAACATAAAGTTATCCCTTGCCCACCACATGTGCACTGTGGCATATGCCTCCTCCCCTTTTATGTACACATATGTATGCATCCACTATAATAACAACAAGTTTAAAAAAAAACTTACAGCATAATCCCCATGTGCTAGAGATTTCCCTTGTTTCCCTTTCTAGACTACAAAGTAAAAGGTGAAGTAGGTTCATTTTTAACAGGATGTGAGATCAGATAAACTTGGGCAGTCAATGCTGTACACTGACTACCCTTGTCAAGCTACACACTAGTCTCTTTGAGACTCTGAGAAGTGTTTTTGGAAAGATCTCCTTCTGTGTTAGCTTAATAGGATTTTGCAAGCTTATTCAGCTAAACACATTAGTTCCTGTAGTATCTTTTATCTATCTCAGTAGCAACTTTCTTTTCTGAGTGTCATTCTTTGTTGATTCTTAAGAATTTGGAATATTAATCTATTGTTATTGCTGTTTATTTTAATAACTTCTGAGTTCTAAAGGAGAATTGTATCTACAATAGTTATATACTATGTAAACTACTATTAAATTGTTACTCAGAAAAAGCAAATAATTACCTATTTCTGGAAGTAATGTACTTCACATGTGGATTCTTGCATTAGTTTTCAAGAGACATGGAAATCCAGCTGGACCTCATTCTGCTCGTAGGTAACAATTTAATATTCTGTCTCCATTATTCTTGTCTCTGTTTTTAACAGCTATTTTTAAGTGCTCACAGTATGGTGGCAGACAAGAACGAGAAAGACCTTGCCAACCAATTACTGACAGAGATAAGTGAGGACCAGGTATCTACAAAGCCTGCATCTTGTTTCAGCTGAAGTCCAGAATCAGTCATGGGTTAACTATTCCTGTGCTTTTCTTCTTAATTCTCCAAAAATACAAACTTCTAATTCTAGTAATTATTTATTTTTAAAGATTATTTAAATTAAAATTTAAATCATCATTACAATTCTGTCTGTGCTAATGTGGGCTTTTTTTCAGTTTGGGAAGATAAAAAGTACAGGAATGGAACCCAGTATCACTGTTGAGCACCTGGTGATGACTTTGTGTTTGAGGGACTGCTTTTTCTAAGCACTGTGGTGTACTGGGACGTGAGGGCTTTGTTTGTGAATATGCATAGTCATTGTTAATATCTTGATTCTTTGCTTCTTATTGACACAATGATTATAATTCAATGGACAACCTGAATCTTGGAGGAAGGGAAGAAGATGATGAGTCCTCTGAATATTAATTTAGCATGCAATTTGATTTTTTTTCCTGTTCTCAAAATTCAACCCTGTATTAGAATATCGAAACAGATGTATCTGTTTTTTTTTCTCAAAATATATTTGGTAAATTAGTTTTGGAAAAACCAAAAACCTACCTATAAAATGGCTTTTTTCCCCCTCAACATAGTTTGTTATAGAATTTACATTTCTTTTACAATAATTATATATAATTATAAAAGTTATAATAATTTTGTTAAAATTATTGTAATATTTAGGTTTACTGAGTTGTAGAAAAAGAGACTATAGTGGTGGTGGCACACACTTTTAATCCCAGCACTTGGGAGGCTGAGCCAGGCAGATCTCTGTGAGTTTGAGGCCAGCTTGCTCTACAGAGTTAGATTCAGGACAGGCACCAAAACTACACAGAGAAACCCTGTCTCAAAAAACAAAAAAAGAAAAAGAAAAGAAAAAGAGACTATATTGTAATCTGTTAATTTCTATTTTTTTGGTGTAAAATAGAGATTCACAGAGCCCCTTATTGCTTTAGATTTCTCCTATTTAGACTGTTACATATATTATAATTTCTTACAAAAGATTATAGAAATTCAAAAGGAAGCTATGATGAGGTCTTTTTAGTTTATTCTGAACAAAGTCCAGCACAGATCTTATTTGTATGAATCTGTGTATACAGAATTTTAATCTATTACTACATATATTTTTTCTATGTAATAACATTTGACAACACCACCAATGAAAGGACTCTAGATTAAGTACCACACAAAAAGTAATAGAATTTAGTAAACACAAAGATCTAAAGAGTTTCTTCTGTGTGCAGATCAGTTCTGTTAAGAGTTAGAAAAGAGAATGCTGTTGTGCAGTGGCTAGCGTCAGGTCATAACACTGTGTTTTCTTTTGTTTTTAAATTGTATTCAGTTTTTAGTATGTCTGTGTGTGTGTAAGAGTGCAGTGCCTTCAGAGGCCAGGAGAGGGCATCAAACCCCCAGCTCTGAAGTTAAAGACCTTTGTGAACTGCCTTGTGGGTACTGGGAATTGAACCCAGGTCCTCTGCAAGAGCAGCCAGTGCTCTTAACTGTTGAACTATCTCTAAATCCCCAGCTTTCTAGTCTAAAGTCTGTGCTATGAAAGTTGATTAAGTCCTATATAGCAGCCATGTTGAATTTTTAATTTTCTTATATTTATTTTTTTTTAGTATTATTGATGGTAGTTATTGGTTTATTCTCTAAGAGAATCTCCTGATATTTAATGCATATCATATTTATGATTAAGCTTAAATAAAAATCAGAGCGAGTTTTTAATTCTTTCGTAAAACTTTTGGCATAAAAGATTGCCTTCTCCAAAACATGCCAGTACTTATAGATACATATTTCATTTTCATTATTTGCCTTAAATTTTTTATAGAGATAGATATGTCTGTTTAAAGATGATATATACATACCATTTCCATTTCAGTATATAATTCAGAAACTAAGCAAACAATTATTTAAGCTACGTATTATTATACTAACAGTATTTAAGCCTAGTAAGTTCAAGTATAGTTTTGAAGGGAAATTAAAGCATAATATAATTTCTAGTTGCAGACTCCCTCCCCTCCTCTTGAGATTGTCCATTATTTTTTAAAAGCATGTGTAAAGTTTGTTCCCCCTGCAGAACATTTAATATAATAAGTGAATGAGCTTCATTCTTCTTGACATATGGCTTCTCTTCTGTTAAGTAACTTTTTCTTGCAGATTATAGTGTTTCAACAACCCATCTGATAGGAATATAATGCATGTTATTATTTCTTCAGGTTTTCAGAACAAAGGTTTCCATTTGAACAAAATCCTGAGTACATTTGTTAATTTCTTGCTATTCCCTTTGATAGGTATTTCAGGGGCGGTTGGATTGTTTGGCTGTATCAACTATTCAGGCTTTGACAGCAGTGATGAAGAATTCTCCAGCTGCTAAGGTGAGAAATGGATCTTTAAGCTGTAAAAGATTGCAATCTCAGAGAACCAGCTTCAAGACTGCACACAGGGTTTGCAAAGAAATCCACAATGTTGGCGAAAACTAAACATTTCTGTCTCAGGGATAGGAAAGGACACATGCATTCTTATAGTAACTTCCTTTATTATTCCATGTTGAAAATCTCTCTTTTCTTTGTCTTATACAACTGTATATACCCAATGGAAAGCTTTAGTCAATATAAAAGTTTATTTGAGGGTCATGTTATATTCTTGAGTAAATGATAAGCAGAGCCATTCTGATACATACATGAATACATCTGTCAGCTCCCTAATTAATGGGGCAGCTGCAGCTGTGAAGGAATGTCCACCTGCTTTGTTACCCACTAAGGAGATAGCCTATAAAAGGGGTTATAAAATTAAACTATTTGGGAGTCTAGAAAATAGAGAAATTGTGTATTATATTTTGTATTTCTAAGTATAATAAACATTCCAAACTAACATTTAAAAGTATCGGTTTTACGCGGCAGTGGTGGCACACGCCTTTAATCCCAGCACTCGGGAGGCAGAGGCAAGTGGATCTCTGAATTCGAGGCCAGCCTGGTGTACAGATCTAGAACAGGCACCAAAACTACACAGAGAAACCCTGTCTTGAAAAACCATAAAAAAAAGAGAGTAAAAAATGTATCGGTTTCTCCTGGACTTGATTGCTGGGCTGGCGGGAAAGTGCAGACTGCAGTAACCGTAGCAATGAGATGAACAGCTGTCAGCCAGGGTCCCTGGTGTGCAGGCTGTAAAGTGAAGGTGGGGGCACTTCCCGAGGGACAGTGACATAGAAAGCGTCCCAAATCTTAAGATATATTCTCCTATTCTATGTACAACCCCAAACCATAAGGAAGGAAACTTGTAACTCCTTTTCAAGACTATGAAGTTAGATTATCCTCTGTAACCCTGGCTAATTATGAAAACATTTTCTGTGGTTTGTTTAGCTGGGCAAAAGCTGTTTCTCTCTGGACTTTTGTTAATTGCTTCCCTGACACATAAATTTCAGGGCCTAACATAAACAGTTAGCTGAACCTTGAGTCTTGTATCATAAAACTGAGGTTAGAAGTTGGTCCAGAGAGTTAATTGCTAAGGAATTTGTGCAGGGAGTTAATCATTGGTCTTATGTTATCAGCCAGACTTTAACAAAAGAGATGCTGGCACCAAAGTTGCTTTGTGCTAAATAACCTTGGTTCAGCAAATCAGACACCTGGCAACTATGACCTTGTGCATTTTCTGGAAAGGTTTATCTTATAATGAATTAGCAAGACACCTTTCAAAGCACCTGGTCTAATCTGAGTTTACTTTGAGGCTTTAAATCAGCTAATTGTGTAAAGGTTCTTTGTAGCTGAGAATATTGTTATTTTCCTATGTCAGCCTGAGCTATGATATGAAACAGGCTTCTAAGTTCCTCACAGTTTTCCTGGAACAAAGACTTAGTTATGAAGGCATATTTTGTCTTTTTTTTTTTTTTTTTTCCAGAGCTGAGGACCGAACCCAGGGCCTTGCGCTTGCTAGGCAAGCGCTCTACCACTGAGCTAAATCCCCAACCCCGAAGGCATATTTTATTCACCAAAATTATACAGTATAAGAAGGAATCATTTTCCTGTCGATCCACAGATAATGTGCACAATATATTCATGGAGAGAAGACCCTACAATCCAGGCTGTGGGAGAAGACCCCATAGCTGTTTTAAGGCAGAATTGTGGTAGCACATAAGAGAATTACAAATAATGCTGCTATGAACATTGTTGAGCATGTGTCCTTGTGGTATGATTGAGCATTCCTTGGGTATATGCCCAAGAGTGGTATAGCTGGGTCTTGAAGGAGATTGATTCCCAATCCCAATTTTCTTTCTTTTCTTTTCTTTTTTTTGGTTTTTCGAGACAGGGTTTCTCTGTGTAGCTTTGCACCTTTCCTGGAACTCACTCTGTAGACCAGGCTGGCCTCGAACTCACAGAGATCCGTCTGGCTCTGCCTCCCAAGTGCTGGGATTAAAGGCGTGCAGCACCACTGCCTGGCTGATTCCCAATTTTCTAAGAAAGCGCCATATTGATTTCCAAAGTGACTGTACAAGTTTGCATTCCCACCAACAGTGTAGGAGTGTTCCCCTTGCTCCACATCCTCTCCAACATAAGCTGTCTTCAGTGTTTTTGATCTTAGCCATTCTGATGGGTGTCAGATGGTATCTCATGATTTGCATTTCCCTGATGATTAAGGATGTTGAGCAATTCCTTAAATGTCTTTCAGCCATTTGAGCTTCTTCTGTTGAGAATTCTCTGTTTAGCTCTTTAGCCCATTTTTTAATTGGACTGTTGGTTATTTTCATGTTTAATTTCTTGAGTTCTTTATATATTCTGGATATTGGCCCTCTGTCAGATGTGGGGTTGGTGAAGATCTTTTCCCATTATGTAGGCTGTCGTCTTGTTGACCGTGTCCTTTGCCCTACAAAAGCTTCTCAGTTTCTAGAGGTCCCATTTATTAATTATTTCTCTCAGTGTCTGTGCTACTGGTGTTATATTTAGGAAATGATCTCTGGTGCCAGTGTGTTCAAGACTACTTCCTACTTTCTCTTCTATCAGGTTCAGAGTAATTGGATTTATGTTGAGGTCTTTGATTCACTTGGACTTAAGTTTTGTGCACGGTGACAGATATGGATCTATTTGCAGCCTTCTACATGTTGACATCCTATTTAGGAGGCTCCCAGGCAGTGGGACCTGGACCTGTCCTTAGTGCATGAGCTGGCTTTTTGGAACCTAGGGCCTATGCTGAGACTTTTTGCTCAGCTTTGGTGTAGGGAGGAGGGGACTGGACCTGCCTCAACTGAATCTACCAGGCTGAGCTGAATCCCAGGGGAGACCTTGCCCCAGAGGAGGAGGTGGGAATGTGGGGGGGAAGGCTGTGGGGTGGGAGGAGGGAGGACAGGGGAATTCGTGGCTGATATGTAAAATTAAATTAACTATAAAATTAAATATATATATATAAATATATATATATATATTTATATATATAAATAAAGAGAATTCCAGACAGAAACAAACAGTATCAGAGTCTGTGGCCTCTTAAGCGTCACTTGATGAGCTTCTTCCATCAGAGAGTTATTTGTCTGGTGGGTTGACCTTATGAATATCAGTTGTCATCTGTTGTGTATTTTTATGGCTCTTGGCATTAAAATATGTTTACTTTATTAATTTTTGCTGTATAAATCCCAAAGTGATATGTGTAGGTATATAAAACACATGGCAGAACACCTGTAATGGAATAGTTTATAAAAATAACTCACCTTATAATTTGCTGATAATTTTATAGACAAACTCCTGTGGATACTCCAGGATTTTAAAAGATATTGATGACTTCACGTGGTAATATATACCTTTAATTCCAGCACTCAGATGGCTCTCTGTGAGTTTGGGACCAGCCTGTTATACATAGCCAGTTCCAGGCTAACCAGAGCTACGTAGTGAGACTGTCTCAAAAAAAAAAAAAAAAATCCCATTGATGACCCAAGTGCACACTAGTAACTGTTTAAAACAGCCTTGGTCAAAAGAGGCTCACATTGCTGGCATTAGAGGTGTCATACTGCTGGTGTTGAAAGTGAACGTATGGTTATTGAGCTTAAATAATTAATTTTCCTGACATAGCTTTTTTTTTTTTTTTGGTTTTTTGAGACAGGGTTTCTCTGTGTAGTTTTGCGCCTTTCCTGGAACTCACTCTGTAGTCCAGGCTGGCCTCGAACTCACAGAGATCCGCCTGGCTCTGCCTCCTGAGTGCTGGGATTAAAGGCGTGCGCCACCACCGCCCGGCCTGACATAGCTTTTTATTAATAAAATCATCAGATTTGCTATTTAGTTATAAACTGTCCAGATATGAGTATATTTCAAATGTTATCACCTTGTTAGTATGGGACTTGTTTTCCCGATGTGTATGGCTATAGCGTTCTGTTTCATTTCTGTGGCTCCTTGACCTCGGGGTTTTATGTTTGTTTTTTTTCTCTCTCTCTCTCTTTTTATATTTATTTATTTATTCTTATGTACACTCCTGTTTTGCCTGCATGTATGTCTGTATGATGGTGTCAGATCTCTGGAACTGGAGTTACTAATGGCGATGAGCTGCCATGTGGGTGCTGGGAATTGAACCCCAGTCCTCTGGAATTGCAGTCAGTGCTCTTAACTACTGAATTATCCTTCCAGCTCTTTATGCCAGTTCTTATCCACTGTCTCTAACTGTAATTTTGTCTGATTATGCTCATATACTGATAAGTAGCTCATTGAGTGGTTCTGAGTATTGTGAGATATCTGTTTAACGTGCCAGGCACATGGTTAAGTACATAATACATGTTGGTGGCATGATCACCACCCTAACTTCTGACCTTCACCCTTGAAGTACTGTATGCTCCACTTCTCTGCTATCAGGAATGTTCCTTGAAATACTATAATCTGTGGTTAGGTTTATTTCAAACTTTATGGTCTGGCTTCTGATTTTACTTGCCATTTAATAATAGGGTTTTATTGTTGTTTGTAGGGAAATCTCTTCAAGTACTCGGAAATTCACTTATTAGTAAAACAGATTGCTAGTGTTGTTTCTGAAATTCAAAACTTCAAGGCTGTTTAAGTCATTTGAAAGGTGTTTTTTTTTAATTTTTACTGTCATGCCTTTCATTGTTTAAAATTTAAAAGGTTATGTAACAGGATGGGCTCTAGCTTAGGGCCTTACCTTCCCTCCCTAAGCAAGAGATTTTATGACCAAGTACCTCTAGATATGACTCTCTTCTTATCCTTGGCACACAGCTAACTCCTTATAGAGTTAACTGGTTATACTAATTCTGTTTAAACCTTTTTATGGTTGGTCTATCTATTTTTGCCTAATTTAATGGACTGATTATATCTACTTTCTAGGTTTTTGGGTAGTCTTTATATTTTACTTTTAATACTTGAGTTAAAAAATATACATGATTTTGAGATCCCTAATGTGAACTTGATGTTCCAGATCATTTAGACATGGAGAACAGAGAGAAAATTCTTTGTACTCTTATTCTGGCCACTTAAAATTTGAGCATTATTGTAGACCTAACTCAAGGCCTCCACTGCACTACTGAGCTACATCCCCAGTCCTTGTTGTTTAAACTGGGTCCTAGTATATAGCTGAGGGTGGCCCTGAACTCAGTCCTTCTGTCCCTACCTTCCTAGTTCTGGGCCACCACACTAATCAGTAATCTGATCTAGCCATTGATTGTTTTTCTTTTTCCTTTCTTTTCTCCTCCCTCCCTCTCTCCCTCCCTCCATTCCTTTGTCTCTTTCTTTTTTCTTGACAGAGCTCCAGGCCAGCCAAAGCTATATATAGTGAAACCCTGTCTTAGGGGTACGGGGTGGTGGGGAGGGGAGGAGAAGGTGAGGGTAAAGGAAGTGTCATATAACTTAATATGGAGAAAACAGTTCTATAATAACTGTTTCTCATTTAATCTGGTTTGCATTTTGCTGGACTATTGTACCTTTATTATTATTACGGAAGGAATATGTGGAATCTATTTTAGGATGAGCACAGCTAGGTTCAAGGACACCTGCCTGTTACCCCAGTCCCTGAGATGGGTGAGACAGAAGGATTGCAATTTTAAGGGCAGCTTAGGCAGCATAGAAAGGCCCGAGGGTGGGTGAGGGGGATGGACATAGGTGCACATAGATAATATAAGAGAGCAAAACTGATTTTATAGTCTTTTTTTGTAATTTATTAAACAACTAGTTTAAGTTTCCAATATTAAATATTCCAACAAATTTAGTCATTGAAAATGTGCTTTGATATGTTGTTTCCCCTCTAGGAAGTATTTAAAGAAAGAATTGGCTATGTGCACATGTTTGAGGTGTTAGCATCTCTGGGTCAGCCATCACTAGAACTGCTTAAAGAACTTATGAATATGGTAAGTGTTCAACCTTTATGATGAGAAGTTCCATTGTTCCACTTTAAGAACAGTAACTAACTTTCTAATTTTGTGTGACTTTTCAGGCTGTAGAGGGTGACCATACTTCAGTTGGTATTTTGGGCATTAGTAATGTCCATCCTCTTTTGGTTCTCATCCAATGGCTTCCGGAGCTAGACTCCCATGACCTACAAATCTTCATCTCTGACTGGCTGAAAAAAATTTGTTGCATTAATAAACAGAGCCGAACTACGTGTGTGAATGCAAACATGGGAATAAGAATCATTGAAACCCTTGAATCCCATTCTTCCCTACATCGAACTTGTGCTGAGAACTTGATTGCAATTCATGGTTCCTTGGGGAGTCAGTCTGTGAGCTCCGAAGAAATCCGTCGACTACTGCGGTTGCTGAGGGTAGATGAACCTGAGCTTATTCACCCGTACACCATTCCTGTGACTCGTGCAGTCCTAACCATGGCACGGAAACTCAGCCTGGAGAGTGCCCTGCAGTATTTTAATTTGTCACATAGTATGGCAGGAATCTCTGTGCCTGCCGTTCAGAAATGGCCTGGGTCTGCATTTTCCTTCACTGCTTGGTTTTGCTTAGATCAGGACCAGTTAACCCTTGGCACTGCTAACAAAGGAGGAAAAAGAAAACAATTATATAGGTAATGGTACAAATTGTGGAATTTAAATGGAGATTGTCACATTATATATGCTATGATTCTTAAGTAGGATAAAGTGTCTAAGCATCTAGTTTTTATATTTATAACAATTTATATAACATTTCCTCATCTTGTGACTGTATATAGTTTAGAAGTGCTTTATTTCTTTCAAAATAATTATTCTGTACTTTATATATTTTTCTGGCTAAATTCTCAGGGTCTTTAGGAAACAAAAATGAAAGTAGTATAAAAGTAGAGAAGAAAGAAATAATAAACTCTGTTCCATTGAAGCAGCTGTGTTCTTATGTAAGACATTCAGGCCTCGATAGCTAATATTTTTTGATATACTGTATGATTTTTAAAATGTTCATGTATGCTTTCTGAGTGTTTGGAAGAATTTAAAATAATTAAATACACATTTTATAGTTTTGTTCTAGCTCAGAGGTTCTCAACCTATGGGTTACAACCCCTTTGTGGGTTGGAGGACCCTTTCACAGGAACCACCTAAAACCATCAGAAAACACAGATAATTACATTTGATTCATACAGTAGCAGAATCACAGTTATGAAGTAGTAATGAAAATAATTTTATGGGTGGGGGTCACTACAACATGAGGAGCCATGTTAAAGGGTCACAGCATTAGGAAGGTTGAGAACCACTGCTCTAGCTTGATAATAAAATCCCACTTCCAGTGTTACTTTTTATAATTTATTAACTTTTATGCCGAAAATGGACTTTAAAAATGACCGAAACAAAGTTGGGCTGATATATATGGCAATAGAATTAAGATCGTAGTATTGTTGATAAAGGCATTTGTGATTGTGTTATAGTTGATGATGAACTTCAATGATGAAGAGACTGGTCAGCTTGAGTTCAGAGGTTCTGATAACATATATTTTTGTTAGCTTTTTTACAGGAAGTGGAATGGGTTTTGAAGCTTTTATTACCCACTCAGGTATGTTGGTTGTGGCAGTATGCACAAAAAGAGAATATGCAACAGTTATGCTTCCTGACCACAGTTTCTGTGATTCTCTCTGGGTAAGACTTCAGGATGCACGTCAAACTCTTGGTTCTATCTTTCCTTAAGAAGTATAACAGTTTGATGCATTTCTATGAGGAATTTTTGTCTGCTTTGCCAATACTCATTTCCAAGTTCTGTTGTAGTGAAGTTCTGTCTATAAAGATGTTAGTTTATTTACCATTGACATTAAAGAAGCAGTAATAATTTTTTTTTTCTGAAACTTGTGAGTCCTTGAAGATTTCCTAGATTGATTTTGACTTTCGTCCCCACCCTCTTCCCCACGGAGCTGAGGACTGAACCCAGGGCTCTCCCACTGAGCTAAATCCCCAACTCCTGACTTTGACTTTCAATTCAAAATGAAATGTGAGCTTGTTAAACTAATGTATTTCTGTTGCCTACCTCAAAAATACAAAATGTTTCTCCTTGAAAAAAAAATTTTAAGAATATTTAGGGGCCAGGCATGGTGGCACACGTCTTTATTCCCAGCACTCGGCAGAGGCAGGCAGATCTCTGAGTTCAAGGCCAGCCTGGTCTACAAAGTGAGTTCCAGGACAGCCAGGGCTACAAAGAGAAACCCTGTCTCAAAAATCCAAAAAAAACAAAAAAAAAAAACTATTTAGAACATTAGAAAATACAGGAGAAACATAATTTTTGTGAGTATTTTTGTAAAGGCTTAATTGTTTGTAATACTTAAGAATTTGTTACTTGTTCTGAGAGTATCATTGAGTCAGCATTTTAGCTGTCCTTAATATTTTGTTCACACAAATTATGGAGTAATAATCTGTAAGCATATGTCATTGCAAAGGCATGATGTAATTTTAGTCATTTTAATGTATGCTTTACTTCATCAGCACAACATAACCATCGTTCACATGCCTGGAAAAAGGCCCTTTGGTCAGAGTCTTGTCTATATCTATGACAATGGACAACAAAAAGTTTCTGCCCCTCTCAGATTTCCTGCCATGAATGAGGTGTGTATATGTAACTTCTTCTTTATAGGCAAAATCCTAAAAATATTTAGAAAATATATTCTGAATTTTTTCCTAAAATTTTTGAACTGTGTTCTATACATTAAAATACAGAAAATTGGTATTCATTTCTCTTAGATAATGTCAGACATTATGTGAAAAAACCAATTCCAGAAAGAATTATAATGAAAGGCTTAGAACAGTAGATTTAGCAAAGCCAAAGAAATGAAAAGACCATACAAAAGTATCATTAACAAAAACAAAAAACTCTCTAAGTATATAAAATGTTTAAGAAAATGCTATGATAGACTTTCCTATGTCTGTTAAATATCTCTGTTAAATTTGAACTAGTGATGAAGTCACTTCAAGCTTTATTCTCCATACAGGTTAATAAAGCTTTTTGAGACTGGCTAATTTAAGAAAGTCTTCTGGGACTAATAGTAGAGTATTTATCAGTATGATTTTCCTAATAAGTTTCTTGCTTCTCATCATGACCATTGAAGGTAGCTTTTAATTAACATTATACTGTTACATAATACTACATAAATTATGTGTAGGGGAAAAGTAATTATCTCTGTTTTAGATAATAGTAAAGCTCTTTTAACTCTTTAAAAATAATACTCACCCATTTAAAAAAAAAGACTTACTGATTCATAAAAGTAATGTCAGTATTCTCTTGGCCAAAGGTAACTTTGGTATTGATACCTTAGGTATGTACTTTCCTATATATGCTATGATCCAGTTGAAAAATTGGCTTCCGCCGGGCGGTGGTGGCGCACGCCTTTAATCCCAGCACTCGGGAGGCAGAGGCCGGCGGATCTCTGTGAGTTCGAGGCCAGCCTGGACTACCAAGTAAGTCCCAGGAAGGGCGCAAAGCTACACAGAGAAACCCTATCTGTGCAAAGCTACACAGAGAAACCCTGTCTCGAAAAACCAAAAAAAAAAAAAAAAAAAAAAAAAAAAAAAAAAAAAAAAAAAAAAAAAAAAAAAAAGAAAAATTGGCTTCCACTTCTATTTTCAATGTGTTTATTCCTTAGTTTTATATAAACTATTTCATCTTATTTTTATTTAATCTTAAATTCATTTATTTATTTTTGCATTGGTGGATCTCACACCCAAGTTTCTTACATGCTAGACAAGTATTTTACCATGGAGCTACATGTCCAGCTCCTTCGTATTTCATTTCATTGTTGAGCTTGTGTTGTTTGAGATAGGGTCTTACTCTGCAGCTCGTGATGCTTTTGCCTTGGCCTCCACCACTGCTGGGACTTAAGTGTGTGTCACCTAACTCAGCTTTACACTGTCAACTCTAAATGTGAAGAGAGAGATGTGTTTAAAGTTGTATGATTTTAAATAGTCTTGGTCATTTTTGTTTAATTTTTAGCCGTTTACTTCCTGTTGTATTGGTTCAGCTGGGCAAAGAACCACCACTCCTCCACCCTCTCAAATCCCAGATCCACCATTTTCTACTCCCGTTACCCCTCACCGGACATCATTTGGTGGAATATTGTCATCAGCCTCCTGGGGAGGAACAACTGAAAAATCAAAATTAGTTACCAAATTAATTTCCGCTGGAACCCAAGACAGTGAATGGGGTTGCCCCACATCCCTGGAGGGCCAGCTAGGATCTGTTATTGTATTCCATGAAGCACTGCAGCCTCCTCAGGTCAAGGCTTTATATTTAGCAGGTGAGCATGTACAGTCACAGTATTTAGCATTGTCTTTTCCCCCCTTTTGTCTGAATGTATCCTAAAGAGTTATTTGAAGAATCTTTTCATTCATTCATTCATTCATTCAATCGTATTTTGGGGATGTAGTACATACTAAGCAAGTGGCCTAAGCACTGAGCTGTGTTACAAACTTGTGATTGTTTTCATTGGAACTGAAAGGAAAAGTCTGTTGTGTACTATACTTTTTTTGTAGGCATAGCTAAAACTAGCACTTAGGAAATATTTAAAGATTTATTTACGTATGTGTATGTGTGTGTGCACCTTTTTCATGTGCACCATGAGTGTGCAGATGTCCTGACAGGCCAGAGGGAATCAGGTCCCCGAGAACTGGAGTTACAGGCAGTTGGGAGCCACTTGGTAAGGGTGCTGGGAACCTAACCCAGATCCTCTGCAGGAGCAGTAAGCGCTGTTAACCACTGAGCCATCTTTCTAGCCCCATTTTGAGTCATATTTAAATGTCTTAATCCTTGAAACTCCTGCTTGTGTTAGTCTCCTGGGGTTGCCATAGTAAATTACTACAGACTGTGTCTTTAATCACCAGACTTTATTTTCTCACATTTCTGGGGGTAAAAGTTCAAGATTAAGGTAATATAAATGTTGTTTACTAGTGAGGCTTCTCTTTGTTTTGGGGGCCCCCTTTCTTACTGTAATTTCAGTTTTATCTTCCCTCAACATGTACATGGACAGAGAAAAGAGACAGATCTCAACAGTGTCTCTTCTTTTTCTTATGAGGGACCCTGTCAGATTAGGACTCAATTCTTATGACACCATTTAACTTCAGTTTTCCGTTTAAAGGCTCTATTTACAATACAGTCATATTGGAAATTATGTTTTTAGAGTGAATTTTAAGGTCATTCAGTTCCATCCGTAACACTATCAGTTCTTTTGACAGATGTTAATGAGTTGGTGAAATCGAATATAAACCTATCTACATAAGAAATCATATAGCTAATTCCAAAATCATGAGTCTTGTTCCAGAACTTGTCATTTTTATAATTCATTTATTAATATACCTGAAGAACTTCTGAGGGCAGGACACTTAGGTAATCTTGGATAACATTGTAAATGTTCTTGTTTTTTTTTTTTCTTTTGGCTATGATTTTCAATATAATATATTAAGTACTATTTAATTATAACATTAGAGTTTTATAGTTGTATTCTATCAGAATATTCTGAATTTAAATCTTTTAAGAGTCATGGATATAATTCTGCAGAGTAGCTTGTTTTTCATTAAAACATCCTGCTCCGATGGCATGAGTGTTTGAAGATAATAGGACCCCAGTGTTAATGTGTGAAGACAGGTGGATCCTAGGAGCTTGATGTCTAGCTAGCCTAGCTAAAATAATGAGCTTCATGTTGAATAAAAGATCTATTTAACAAATGTAAGGTGGATCCGGTTGTGGCACACCCTGGAATATGCTGAATAGGTAGAAGCTAAGGAGGAGAAAGATACAGGAAGACGGCCAGCATCTTCCTTTGACCTCATGAGCACATGTACCTGTACATATGTGCACACATCATACACACACACACACACACACACACACACACACACACACACACACTTATGTTTTTCTTCCATTATATGTCTAATGGATCCTTGTTTGAGCTTACATTTCAGTTGCAAATGAAGTTGAGCACTGTTACTTAGATGACTTACATTGTTACCAGTACTTTCCATTTCTCTGCTTTTTGTTCACATTGAATTTTTTCTTTAAGACGGTCTTATTATGTAGCCCTGGCTGGCCTTGCGCTTACGGAGATCTGCTTGCTTCTGTCTTCTGAGTGTTAGGATTAAAGATGTGTACCTCCATGCCCACTATCACGTTAATTTTTGATGTTTTTCTATTTTTTTATTCTTTTGAATTTATTTACAGTAAATAAATACAACTTTTGTATTTTATAATATTTCTATATGCTACATACAATGTTCTTTCTACAGCAGAGATTGATAATCTCCCCAAATTTTTTAGGTTTTGGAAAAGTTTATAGGTGACGTAAAACTAAAGTACATGTTACACAGTGTGCTTTAGCTGTGTTATTTGAGTAAATTGAAACATCTTGATTTCAAATTTTGTTTTGGTAACACTGAACTAAGGAGACCATGTATATTCAGTGATGTATGTTGTGTGTAACTAATTTCAGGTCCAAATTGCCTAAGCCCTTGGAAGTGTCAAGACTGTGATATGGCTGACCTGCCAAGTAACATCCTCCTTCATTACACAGCAAAGGTCAGAGTAAATGCATGGATTGATCATAGTTACAGCTGCTGAGAGCTGGAATTCATTGTTTACTCCTTTGTCATTTCAGTGGGTAATCGAGGAGGGGCTTCAGTCTGATTTTTTAAAAATGAGGGATTTTCAAAGGAAGTTGATAAACAGCAAAAATTAAGGCACACCTCCTCAAGTAGAGTTCAGGTGCTGTGTCGTTCTACTAGTGTGAATTGGACTAGTCTATGTCATTCTACTAGTGTGAATTGGACTAGTTTATGTCATTCTACTAGTGTGAATTGGACTAGTCTATGTCATTCTACTAGTGTGAATTGGACTAGTTTATGTCATTCTACTAGTGTGAATTGGACTAGTCTACATTGTTCTACTAGTGTGAATTGGACTAGTTTATGTCATTCTACTAGTGTGAATTGGACTAGTTTTGGGAATTTGTTGAGTTGGTTTTAGTGGATGAAACCTTTTTAACTTTTATTTCTTTAGTTATCTGAAGAGAGAGGTGAGACAGTTGTACTTAAACTTTGATTTGGTTTTTTAAAATGTGATGTTGAGTGGGGGGTTTGGTATTTTCTAAAGGATAGAAAAACTTTCCAGAATACGTGCCATGTCTAGTTGTTTTCCTTCAAAGACCTAGTTAGCAAAAGTAATTGGAACTAGCGCAGACTGAAGGAAAAAAGATGTAAGGGAGAATTGGAAGGAAGAAAGCAGAGAAGTGTCACAACACCATTATTTGCCTTTATCGTAGTTAGTGTTACGTTGCCACAGAAAATACTTTTATTGTATGAGATAATATAGAACACCTTTTTCTAGTTTAGCAAGCTGGTACATGATCATACAATATTTGTTATATCTGACCTAATAAACTTGCTGATTTTATGTTCTGTCAGCTTTGTATTTTGATAAAGTTCAAACCTTAGAAGTTGAAAAAAAAATAGTAGTATAATCCTATATATTCTTTATTCAAATTAGCCAATTGTTAGCATTTTGTTGTATCTGATGACTTTTTCTCAGGTCGTTTGTAAAAGCAGATTGGTATAGCTATAAAACTTTATCCCTTAAAGTTTACTTAATTACTTACGTAATTGAGCATATAATCTGTACTCAGTTTTCCCTAAAAATACTTATTTAGCAAAAATTAGTTTTGTCAGTCAAGATCCATGTACTTTCCCTACAGTATGTTTGTTCACCAACCATAGCCACTTTCTGTCTTGGCTACTGTTAGTCTTTCCTTTCCTAGTCAGTCTCCAGGGTGCAGACAGATGCCGAGGAAATCATTGGATCTAATCCAAATAGTATGCTGAGTGGCATATTCTTTTGTTTGCTTTGTTTTGTGTTTTTTGTTTTTGTTAGACTGACATATTCTTGACATGTAATGGACATCTGGTTTTTAGTGTTATGGTTGTCACCTCTTACAAAGTAGTTTTGAATCTGGTGTTATTAAGATTGTATTTTTTGTGACTTTCTTTGTTTTTTTGTTTTCTGAGACAGGGTTTCTTTTTGTAGTTCTGGCTGTCCTAGAACTCACTCTGTAGACCAGGCTGGGCTCAAACTCACAGAGTTTGCCTGCCTCTGCCTCCTGAGTGCTGGGACAATAGGCATGTACCACCACTGCCCAGCTTGTGACAGAAATTAAAAAATCTATACTATCAAAAATTATTTACTGTCTTATTTTTTCCCCAAGAAATGTGATTAATATGTAGGCAAATCAGTTTATTAAAGGTTTGTTTCTCTAAAATGGTGTACGTAATGATGCATGTCTCTAAAGTGAAGTGAGTTCATGGAGCTCTTGAATTCTTTATATCCTTTTTTTTTGAGATTGATGAAGTGCTTTAAAAATGAAGCTGGGCAGTGGTGGCGCACGCCTTTAATCCCAGCACTCGGGAGGCAGAGCCAGGCGGATCTCTGTGAGTTCAAGGCCAGCCTGGTCTCCAAAGCGAGTTCCAGGAAAGGCGCAGAGCTACACAGAGAAACCCTGTCTCGAAAAACAAAAACAAACAAACAAAAAAAATGATGTTGTAAGAGACAAGTTCTACTTGGTTTAATCTCTTTCACCAGCTTTTTGAGCACTCTTTAAAAATAACTCAAGTATTAGTAAATGCTAGTTTGTTAAATGGTATGTTGAAGAGTTTTTCACTTTTCACTAGTCAGCTGTTTTTCATTCTTGTCCTTATTTGTAATAGGTGTTTAGTCATGTTTTTCTTTAAAATTTGGTGTTGTCTTTGAGCCAAGAACTGAATGCAGTGATGATCTACTTTTGATAAACGTGTGCTTTACAAGTTAGTCCCTAATTTTTTTTTTATGAGACATTAATGACTTGAGATGGATTAGTAAGTAAAGAACTTTATGACTAAACATAAGGACCAAGTTTAGATCCCCAAGCACCCGTATAAAAGCTGGACCCTCTGATGGGTGCCTCTTACCTCAGTGGTAGAGTGTCATTGACAAGTGGAGAGATTGCTTGCTAGTAGTCTAGCTGATTGGTGAGCTCTAGATTCAGTGAGAGACCCTGTCTCAAAGAAGGTAGAGAGTGATTAAAGACATCCAAGATCTTATGTCTGCCTCTGGCCTCCACAGACATAGACTTGATGCTAGGCAAGTTATTAATTGATTTTATTATGTATTTTTAAAATTATAATTATGTACTTCTATATAATTAAAGTTATGTTTTGTTCTAATTGCACTAAGATGCTTGTATTTTTCTTTTGTTCTTAGGCTTGCAAAAATTCAATTTGCCTCGACCTGTCTACTAATTATTTGCATGGAAGATTAACAGGAAACAAAGTAGTTAATTGGGACATTAAGGTAAGTTAATAATAATATACAATGGGCAACATAATATAATTTCAATTTATTTTTAAGTTTACTTAAACATAGCACATAGCTAGAATCGTTTTTTCCTCCTAGTACTAGGAACTGGACCCAGGGTATTCTGTATTTTGGGCATCTGCTTTGCCACTGAGCCACATTCCTAGGCCCTGTATGATGATGAGGTGGAGGAGGTGCATGCCTGTGTATAATGCTAGAAATCTGTTGTTCTTCACTTACTGCTTTGATTGAACTGAAAGCTTGCCTTTTAGGCTAAGCTGAGTCAGTGAGCTCTTAGGATCCTCGTGTCTCTGCTCCCCTGGTGCTACAGTTCAGGCAGTCCTGCCCAGAGTTTTACATGGGTGCTTGGGATTTGAATTCAGAGCTTAGGTTCTCATGCTTGCAGAGCAAGAACTGTATTCACTGAACCATCCAACCTACTCAGTGAGATGACCCAGGTTTTATCTTTTAAGCATCACCAAACTGAGTTAATAATAGGTCTCTGTTAAAATTTTATGTAACACTGGACATGGTGGTGCATGCCTTTAATCTTAGCACTCAGGAGGCAGAAAGAATCAGATCTCTTTGAGTTTGTGTTCAGCCTTGTCTATATAGGGAGTTCCAGGCTGGCCAAGGCTATTTATTGAGACTCTGTCTCCAAAATAAAACAAAACAAAAACCTAAAATAAATGAATGAATGATGTTCGGATTTATATTGTGAAGGATGAATAGGTACAGTAATTGAATGATTGAAACTTAAATACCTTTGTAAACTATGCCATCAACCTACCCAACTTAAAAATGCTATTGCATGTATTCATATATTGCATATATTCATAGTTGCATGCCTTGTAATATTGGCTTTACAAGACTAGGTCTGTGTGATATATATAGAAACTTAGTTATCTCAGGTATGCTGTGCAGATCTGAAAACCTGTCTTTAGTACTTTGTATTGTAGTTATACAACTCAACTAATCAAACATTTTGTCTAATGTGGGATACAACAGGAACAGAATTATTAAGAGAAAAACAGTTATAATTTTGATGCTTAAATAAAATCAAAGCCCTCCTCACAGAAAAACAAAACAAAACAAAACAAAAAAACAAAAAACCAAGAAGGAAGATACTTGCCATCCAAAACGTTCAGTTACTACTACACAAAGAGTTCTTTAAAATCAGTATGTTTTCCCCCCAACACACACTTTTTATCTAATGGGTAAAATAAATTTTAGATCATTTAAAAATATCAAAACAAAGTAGCAGGTGTGTAGCATATGAGTAAGTCTTGAACTCTCGGGTAGAACATAAAGACTCTGGAATCGGGAGGTTTTGCTGAGTAAGTGTCCTATAGCTGCAGTTGTGACAGATGACCGTGGGAGGTGGGAGGTTTACTGATCTCCTCCCCTCCTCCCTTCCCTCTCTGCTTCTCTTCCCTCCCCTGTCGTCTCCTCTACTCCTCTTTTCTCTTATCCCTCCCAGGCTGGCCTTGAATTTGGAATGTTCTTGCCCTATCCTTTCTTGTAGTAGGATTATAAGGGTGCAGTAACACATCAGTGTAGGTCTGAATGTTGTAATGACTAATAAAAGAGTAGCTTTATTTACCATCCTCTGTATGTCAGGCAGACAGCACTTTCCATACTTTAGCTTGCTGTACCCATTCCACCTTTTGTTAACTAAAATTAGAAGAGTCGGTCATACTTTTGGTTCCTCTCCTGTTTTTTTAAGGCATAACTGTGTGGTCCAGTTGCTTGTTCTTAGCATTGTTAGAGTTCCATTGCACATTGCCTGTGTTTGAACTTCCTCAGCTCTAAAAAACAAGCACAGAAAAATGGCCTGAAATGGTCTCTTTTAATATAAGTTATGGTTATCTTTGAGACTGTCTGCTTAAATATCTTCCAGCTTAGGCTATCTTATACATTACTTAAGGTTTATTAACAAACTGTATCTTCATATATCCTGTAAATATTAAATTATACCATTGTTCTTATATTGTAATATTAAAAAATTAATTTTGTTTTCAGGACATCATCAATTGTATAGGTGGGTTAAATGTACTTTTTCCTTTATTGGAACAAATAAGCCACTTTATTGAAGGACAGACTTCTGAAGGAATGAGTGAAAACACAGTTCCTGAATTTATAACACCTATTGACCAAGAATGTATGGCATTGGCCTCCACAAAGGCGTCAGGTAATAAAACTACATTAGCCTAAATTAGTCATTTAGAAAATTGGGAATTAATTGGAAAATAAAATGCCATACCACTTAAGTACTTATAGCTGTTGTAGCCGCCTCCTGAGCCGGCATAGTTCAGTACGTTTGTAAGACTTTGGTTCAAACAGTGAAGAGAGTAACTGTACTTTTGACTATCCTTAGTTTATATATACTCTTAGTGGGAAAAAAATCTTACCACATTGTTAAATCATGGTAAAGAAAGTATTTGCATATGACTACAATTACATAGTAAGTAGTTGCTGCTTTTTCTGATTTCATTGTATAAATGAATCTTGGAGGCAAGCTACTGAATTGGATTGCTTCTTTGTTACAATGTGTATTATGATATAAAATATGTGATATAAAAGTGATGAGAGTGACTATGATAATTATGTTTTCCTGTTTTCACAGAGTCAAGACTAGAGAAAAATCTAGTTGCAACATTTATCTTGATTGTGAAACACTTTATTCAGAGACATCCTATCAACCAGGATAATCTTACTCAGTCCCATGGAGTTGCAACACTTGGTGCCTTACTTCAGAAGGTAATCAAGTTTAACATGACACTGATTTATCAAGTGATGATCATGAATGACTGTTGTGATTTTATTCCTGCTAATAAATATAACTAATGATTACTATATTACAGCTCAAGTTGTATTAATACATATAACTTGTTTCACAAGCAGCTTTTATAAATTTTAATAGAATAATACAAATTACTTATATATAAATATGTGCTCTTTTAGGACTAGAGAGATGGCTCAGAGGTTAAGAGCACTGGCTGCTCTTCCAGAGGTCCTGAGTTCAATTTCCAGCCACCACATGGTGGCTTACAACCATCTATAATTCAATCTAGTGCCCTCTTCTGGCATGTAGACAGAACACTATGTACATAATAAATAAATCTTTTTTTTTTTTAAAGGAATATATGTTCTTTGGTGTATATTCCTTAGTTGCTAGGTATAGTATTTGAGGTGTTTGAGAACCAGAAGACTGTTTCACACGGCTAAGCTGGCATTGGCTGTATGCATACGTTCATTAGGAAATCCTCTGACTGTTGTGAGAGAGAAGAGAGCTGAGCTATTTGCAATAAATGAAATAAAAGTCTGCAACAACTAGGGATTGTCAGGTCCCAAGAGTGGATCTTGCTATGTTTCCCAGGCTGGCCTCAAATTTGCAATGTTCTGCGTCAGCCTTCTGAGTGCTAAGATTATAGATGTGTACAGTTGTGCCTGACCTGATATATAGAGACAAATTTCCAGTTTAACCTGGCTTTCAGATAAGTTCCAATCTATAAGGAATAATTAAAGCAAATTGCAAGGCCACTTTGATTGGAAGTTTATTGCATATATCAGTATCAGGATTTGGCTTCTCTCCTGCAGGTTTTTTTTTTTTAAACCTTTAGTATCTGCTGAAAAGGCCCCATTATAAGAGGTTTTGGAAAGGCAGGGGAAGCATTCCAAGAGACTGATGAGGCCAGCATGCCACTTTACCATGGTAGGTTTTCTCACAGTGACAGTGCTGGAGAGAAGGCTCCCTGTGGAGAAGGCTGGTCATAGTGTTGCGTACCTTTTATCCCAGCATTTGGGAGACTGGTTTCTGTAAGCTTGAGGCCATCTTGGTCTGAATAGATAGAGAGTTCTAGAACAGTCCAAGCTACATAGTAAGACTTTATCTCAAAAAAGAAAAAGAAAAATCAGTTAAGCTTTGTGTGACCATTTCAGATAACCACTGAGGCTGGGTGTGGTGGTGCACTCCTTAATCTCAGCACATGGTAGTAGAGGCAGAGGCAGGCAGATCTCTGAGTTTAAGGCCAGCCTGGTCTACAGAGTGAGTTCTAGGACAGCCAGGGTTATACAAAGAAACCCTGTCTCAAAAAATTAAAAAGAAAGAAGAAAAAAAAGGAAAGAGGAAAGAATCGAAGGATGAGTGAATCTTCTATGCCTGGTCTGATGTTCCTACCACTGGAAGACTGCCGTTTAGTGTCAGAGGTAGTAAGAAATTATTGAGGTTATTTCATGTGGGCAAGAGGGGAGTTTTTGTCAGTCAACTGAAGAGCTCTTTTCAGTAGTGTGCTTTCACATGGTGTGTAGTGCAGGCTCCTCTCCAAGGTCAGTTGCTGTGTAGCATAGAGACTGTCTTAGGAGGCCAGTTTATGAAGACCAGACTTAAGACCACTGGCCAGAGGAGAAAACAGTCACATAGTGCAACTGATATTGAAAGGATTCCTATTCCACACCAGTTTTGTTATGGTCAACCTAGGATGCCGGCATGCAAAGTTTGTGGCCTGCTTCCTGGGGAACTACTACAATTCTTTTGAAGCTCTCTACAAAATCAGTTTATAATGTTATTGAGAGACTTGCTTACGAAGTTGGAGGATAAGGCCCCAGAAAAAGTCATTTTCTTGGGTTTAACTTATTTAATGTACTCATCAAAGCAGAGGAGTTGGGGGAATGAACACAGTCTTGTCCATCTCATGGTGTTGTAAAGGGAAAAGGTATAGTGGGCCCTGGAAAGAGGAACTGAGAGTGTGAGAAAGTCCTCACTCCATGTGCAGTGATTGGATTTTCTAGATCTGTATATGAGAGGAATAATTCTTCTTTAAAGTTTTCTGGAGAGAATTTTCTTTTTTATTTCATTTTATTTTTATGTGCATTGGTGTTTTGCCTGCATGTTGTCAGATACCCTGGAATTGGAGTTACAGACAGTTGTGAGCTGCCATGTGGGTGCTGGGAATTGAACCCAGGATGTCTGGAAGAGCAGCCAGTGCTCTTAACATCTGAGCCATCTCTCTAGCCCTGCCTTCTGGAGAACTTTATAAGCTCTGTCATATACTGGTTCATCATTTTTGTGGTTTTAGTTCCTTCATCTGTTAGCTCATGGATTCTGTAGCTGGATTGCCTGAACTTAAAACTTGAAGCTGAATTGTTTGGAGATGCTGTTTCATGCTCTGCCTTAGATTTTCTGTCTGTAAAATGGAGTGATAATAATTTCTTAGAGTGCGGCTGGGTGGTGGTAGCACACACCTTTAATCCCAGCAATATGAGGCAGAGGCAGGCGGATCTCTGTGAGTTTGAGGCCAGCCTAGTCTACAGAGTGAATTCCAGGACAGGCTCCAAAAGCTACAGAGAAATTCTGTCTCGAAAAACAAAATAAACAAACAATTTCTTAGAGTGTCTGTAAAAATTTAGAATGATAAGGTGCTTTGAGCATTAAAAAGAAAGACTTTAGCAATATGACATTAGGAAAATATGATCCAGTGTTAAATTAGAAACTTTATTAAGTTACTTATATTTTGTACCACTTTTTATTCTCTATTTTAGGGACATTCTGAATTATTTGAAGTCATAGTTTCATACTGTTATTTAAACTGACCTTTATGAAACCCCTTTCTGTTAAATTTTAGGTGCCAGGTACCCTAATGGATGTTAATGTTTTGGTGGCAATTCAATTACTAATTGAACAGGTATCATTAGAAAAAAACTCACTGTTGCTTCAACAAATGTATCAGTATTTACTCTTTGACTTCCGAATTTGGAACCGTGGAGATTTTCCTTTTCGAATTGGTAAGACCAAACTATCAGATAAAATATTATATAGTTTTTTTGGAATATATGACCTGTGTGACTTTATTCTAGTTATGTTATTTATAAGTGAACATTTTATTTTAGGCCATATACAGTATCTTTCGACTATCATTAAAGACAGCAGGAGAGTTTTCCGGAAGAAGTACGGTGTGCAGTTTCTCCTAGATACACTTAGGATTTATTATGGGTATGACATCTTTGTTCCTTTTCAGTTTAATTTGTTCATTTCTGTCTGACATTTGACTGGAATGTGTAGCTTATAGAAATTCTGGTCTTCTGAAACTTCAGAGGAACAGAGTAGTGTAGAGGTTAAAATGGTGAGCAGTAGATTCACATTTATTAGGCTTGTATGTTGGCTTTGTTAATTGTGCAGTGCTATTCAAATCATTGAGATTCTCTTTATTTAAGTTTTTCATCTATAAAAAGCGGAATAAAACTGTGGCTATGGCCTGTGATGGTTTTGAGAGTTAAATTAGTTAATATCTAAAGCACATATAACTGTGTCTGATCCTTAGTATTATAATTTTATAGTTGTATAGTGAGTATTGTAATGATTTTATTTTTGTCACTGAAACTCTTAAAATGTCCCTTAATGTAAAAGAAACCAACTTGGCTACTCGTTTGGTATCATGCATTCCTAATAAACATGATTCATAAACATTATGGGTGCCATAAACAGTGGGTATTCATAAACAGTGTGACACTGTAGTCCTGTAATCCCAGCATTTGGGTGTTAGAGGTAATAGGATCAGAAGTTCAAGGTCATTCTCAGCTCCATAGCAAGTTGTGAGCAAACCTAGGAAAGGTTAGACTCTATTTAAAAAAAAATAAAAAAATGAAAAGGAGGAAAGAAAAGCAAAGGTACCATGAACTCTAATAACTATATTAAAAGTATGTGTGTGTGTGTGTGTGTGTGCGTGTCTGTGTGTGTTGTATGTGTTCATGGGGTGAAAGGAGTGTATGTGCACTGCTGTGGATGCCAGAGGTCAACATCTGGTATTGTTCCACCCCCTTTTTTGATTTTTTTTTTTTTGAGACAGTTTTTCTCTGTGTAGCCCTGGCTGTACTAGAACTTGCTGTGTAGACCAGGCTGGCCTTGAACTCACAGAGATCCTTTTGATTCTGCTGAGTGCTGGGGTTAAAGGTGTGGGCACCACACCCAGCTCCTGGTGCCCTTTTTCTTGGAGGTGAGGACCAAACCTAGGGCCTTGCACTTGCTAGGTAAACACTCTACTACTTAGCTAAATCCTTAACCCCTCTGGTATCTTCCTTAATTGCTATCCTTGGTGTTTGAGACGGAGTCTCTTATTTAAACCTGGAGCTCATCTATTTGGCTAGAATGGATGTCCAACAAACCCTAAGAATCCTTCTGTCTTCCTTTCCCCAACCCTGGGTGCCACACTTAGCTTTTTACATGGGTTCTGGGGTTGTTTTATCTTGTAGGACCTTAGGTTGCCAGCAAGTACCGTATTGATTGAGTGAGTCGACTTCCCAGGCCATCTTTGGCCATATTTTTCTGATGAGGTGCTTGTGCACATGTGTGTGTAGAAGCCAGAGACCTTAAGTGTCAGTTCTCCACAGATGCCATCCACCTTGGGTTTTTGAGATAGGGACTCTTCCTGGCCTGTGGCTCACTACTTGTCTATGCTGGCTAGCAGCAAGCCCCAGGCTACCTGTTGCTGCCCTCCTAGTTCTAAGATGACAAGTGTGGGCCGCCATGTCCAGCTTTTTCACATGGGCCCTGGAGAACGAGCTCAGGGCCTCATGCTTACGCAGCAAGCACTGTGTAAACTTATGGCAAGCACCTAGGAAGGTTTTTGTGTTTAATTTTTAAATGACTTCTGTTTGTGTGTGGGGAGGGGGGACGCATGTGCCGCAGCACATGTGTGGAGTTAGGACAACCGTGAGACTTAGTTATCTCCTTCTGTCATGTGGGTCCCAGGATCAGAGTCAGGTGGTCAGGCTTGGTAACAAATGCCTTTATCCACTTCTTACCAGCCTGAATTTTAACACTGTGGATTCGTTTATATAAAATTGTCAAAGTGTTTAAATGAATGCCTCAGCTTCCACACTGTGTTCTCTCTTTCAGGCATGGTTGTACATGTAATGAGCTGTCTCCAGAGGATATTCGGACGATAAGGACTTCTTTGTATGGACTGATTAAATATTTTCTTTGTAAAGGTGGAACGCATGAAGAAATACAAAGTATCATAGGTTACATAGCTGCTACTAATGAAGAAGAACAGGTACTAGGCCTGAGATGCATTTTATTTTTAACTGTTAAATTAATTACTTTGTCATCTTACAAACTTACATACTTCATTGTCTAGTGAATAAAATTCTATTGGATTAAATATTAAATATTACACAGGCTTGTGGTTTAAGAGTTTTCCATTCTAGTGTCATTTCTCCTTCTTGCTTCTGAGCTGTGATGAGACAGAGCATTTGCTAGGCGAGCACAGTAGAGCAAATCTCCTTTTTGGCAGTCAAGAGGCAGAAGGGCGCTGGATGGGAAGGGCAAGGAACAAGAGATAGCTTTCAAAGGCACAGTTCCATTTATTATTTCACCCTTGATTCTCTTACTTCTCTATAGCCTGTTATAATCACCTGTTAACTTACTAGTTATTAGTCATTAGTCTATTGATGGAGTCAGTGTCTGTCCTTATCACCTCAGTAGTGCCTCTAGCTAGCAACTTAAACAAGCTTTCAGCACATGAGCCTTTGAGGACACTTTATATCCAAATCATTACACAGTTGTTTTATCTTGTAGTTCTTGAGTTTTGTTTTCCTAATTTTCTTAGTGTATATTATCTGTCATCAGTTTGAGAACTTAACTATATATTTGTATATATGTGCGTGTGTGTGTGTGTGTGTGTGTGTGTGTGTGTGTGTGTATACATATATATATATATATACACATATATATATAATATTAAGCAGTGCAGGTAATATGGTTATGAAATTATTCTTTTAACATAGTGGAATCCACATAATTAAGAGAAGTTAACAGTGAAACAAGAATATGATTGTTTGTAAGAGAGAGATAAGACCTATAAGGTTTTATAGGGGGATTTTATGTGTTGAAGAGACCAGCTTAGACTTTTCTATGGAAGAGATTTCTTTTCTTATGGGCAAACAGGCTAGGGATGGTTCCAGAGATATTGGATATGTATAATGAAAGACTATGCAAAAGGGATGGAAGAAGCAAAAGAGATGAGAGGGAAAGGGTGTAGTAGATGTAGTTCAACAACTAGGTGAGATGTATGCCCCCTTGCTGCCTGTAGACATAAGTGATGTTTTTGTTCTGTGTTGTTTAACTTGAAAAGCTCTTTGGAATTTTGGATATACTCTTCAGTCTCCTACGGACCAGCCCAACTAGAGGTCAGCTTTTCTTACTGATGTTTGAACCAGGAAGTGCTGACATACTGTATACCTTGCTGTTAAATCAGAAGTACTCTGACAAACTAAGAGAAATCATTTTTAAGGTATGCAAATATTGTAAGCATCTTTATATCTTGGGGGCATTTGTGAATATATGAATTTACTCACTATATATTCTATGACTAAATTAGTTTTGCATACTCCTTAAGTTTAGTTTGTTTGTTATATATTTTTCATGTTGTTTGTGTGTTTTAAAAACTATACTGTAGACTTGGAATATAGTTAAATAGTAGAATACTGGCTTAGTATGTGCTGAGTTTATATCCCTCCCCCAAATCTACCAGTACATCTTTTAAAAAAGGGGGCTTGGAGGGGTGCCAAACAAGCAAGACCATCAAAATAGCAAGCAAAAATTAATATAATCCGACAAATCATCTCAGTGGAATAGCCTCTTGGTCATATTTCCCTAATATAAAAACCTCTGAGTTCTTCCTGACATGCAGTAAATCTGTGAGGTATGTCAGAGCATTTTAACAGTAAATAATAGCACCTCCATGGTGCCTCCTGAATGCCAAGCCTTTGGCACTCTTCAGGTGGTAGTTTCCTTAGTCCTTACTGCAGTGTTAGAAGACGGATGCTCTCAGTACTCCTGTGTTACAGATGATAAGATTGAAGCTGACAGAGTAATGACTTTGTCAAAATGCACAGAGTACATTTTATTTGCTGCCAAACTGTAAAGACTCTGACCCTTGTCTGAAGCCACCCATTGAGCTTTCTGTGAACTCAGAGTAGAAGATCCAGGTGTCCTCTACCAGCTTTTTTCTCCTTTAAGTTCTCCTTGTTGTACTCAGTTGTCTGATGACATGTGTTTTTACATTGTTAGTAAACATGCTTTCAAGGGTTTATGTTTTGATTGCCTGTGTTTGAAATCACTAAGCTTTAGAAAATGAAGATCAAGAAAAAGGTCTAAAGTGGTTTGCCTTTTAGGGTTGCTTATGGTAGGTTACCAGTGAGCATCTACCCTCACTAGGGTTCGTTCATAGAGAGGAAATAGTATTTCTTCTAAAATAATTCTTAGTGATTGTTTATGATATTCTTTATCCTCTTGTAGTTTATAAGAAAATAACCTCTTGAATAACATTACTTTTACCCCTGGAAATAATTGGGCTACAAGTTCAGCTCCTACTCCCATTTTTAGATGTAGATTATTTGGGGTGCTTCACAAATGTTTCCTGTTCTTGAAAATTGATTCCTATTATGTAAATGAGTTAAGACTGTTTTAGGATTGGTGTGGTGGCACACACCTTCAGTCCTAGCACTGGAAGACAGGACAGCCTGGTCTCTACATAGTGAATTATAGACCAGTCAGGGCTACACAGAGGGAGACCTTGCCTCAAAATACAAAAACAAAAACATTAATAATGATGGTAATAGTAATATGTGTTCTTCATGTCAGTTAACTATATACACTGCTCTTTCTTTCTTTCTTTTTTTTTTTTCCCCGAGGCAGGGTTTCTCTGTGTAGCTTTGCGCCTTTCCTGGAACTCGCTTGGTAGCCCAGGCTGACCTCGAACTCGGAGAGATTCACCTGGCTCTGCCTCCCGAGTGCTGGGATTAAAGGCATGTGCCACCACTGCCCGGCTTACACTGTTCTTTTATCTGCCATATTTAAACTAGAGTTTTAAACATTATTTACCCAAATACAGATGCATGTCAGTAAAATTTATTGTTAATGATTCAAAATCCAATGTTTCTCTGTATTGAAAAGACTGTATTACTTTTTGTGACCAGGTCATGGAACAAATGTTGAAATGCACCAATGTTTATGAGCGTAGTAAACAGCGCATCCGTCTTAGAGAAGTTGGCTATTCAGGAATCGGACTCCTCCTTAATGAAGCTCCAGTTAATGCATCTCTCATCAAAAACCTTGTCAATCAAATCATTAATACAGGTATCATTAAGACTGGTAACAGTGATGTGTTTAAGAAATTGGTTTTTCAGCCAGGCAGTGGTGGCACATGCCTTTAATCCAAGCCCTTGGGAGGCATAGGCAGGCAGATCTCTGTGAATTCGAGGCCAGCCTGGTCTACAGAGCGAGTTCCAGGACAGCCAGTACTATTACACAGAGATACCTTGTTTTTAGACTTCCCAGAACATAGCTTTAAAGTAAATGTTTACTGAGTAGCCAAGTTAATGATAGTTTCCAAAATAAGAAAAGAGTATTAAAGAAAATATGTATAAAAGGAGCTTAAAAATTTAAAGGTATTTACATTCTTAAAGGTAAAATGAAAACTACCTTGATACATATTTTCTTTCTAATTTTTTGTAGTAATTTTTTTTTTCTGTATTTAACCACAAAGTAGAATTTATGGCAGTTGTTTGATTTGGGTCTGGCTTTTTAAAAATGAGGCTTTTTATCTTGAATAGTTTACTAAGTATTTACTAAGTTTATCAAGTTTCATTGATAATCCAAAATATGTATATAAAAAGATAGATACTATTACTGTATCCCTGTGGCATAGACACTATACTCAGGTAATCAAAGAAAGAGAAGTTACTTAGGCTTAATTTGAGTATTATCAACCTGAAGTTTTGGGGGGAAATTTGAACATACTATATATAGTTCTCCTTGGAAAGTGAATAATTACTTCAGCATTTATACAAGTAATACTATTCTTTCTTTGGATATCCATGAAATTTAATCTTAACTTTTTTTTTTAACTCATAGATCCTGTTATTAATTTCAAAGATCTGTTATCTGTAGTATATATCTCTCACAGAACACATGTAAATGTCAGAGTGGTCCTCTGTAGAAAGGTTAGTAAACTTTCAAGATGTGTTTTATAATAAGATTGTCTTACTGTGACTATGTATTTCATTGAATGGTTTGCAGCAGATCCAAGTTTTATGTTTGCTTGTTTCATAATAGAAATTATTTTATAAGCAGTTTAAACTGGACATGGTGGTGCACACCTTTAGTTACACCATGTGGGAAGCCAACCTGTATAATACAACAAGAGTGCCTTAAATTATAAAAACACACATACATAAATATATAATAAATTGTTCATTTTAGAAAAGAATTAACTTCATGTAATTATAAGAAATCAGTATGTCATGTTTTGTTTTGTTTTGTTTTTTGAAACAGTGTTTCTCTGTGTAGTCCTGGCTGTTCTGGATCTCTCTCTGTAGACCAGGTTGACCTCGAACTCACAGAGATTCTCCTGTCTCTGCCTCTGCTGGGATTAAAGGTGTGGGCCACTACCGCCTGGCTCCAGTATGTCAAGAGTTAGGTTTACTTATTCTTCTATAACTATTCCCTTTCCACAGTCTAAAATCATTACCAGAAAATACTGTCCTCTACCAGAACCCTCAGTGCTTGTATCCTTCCTCCTCCTCCTTCCCGTTCTCCCTTTTCCTCTCCTGATCTTCCCTATCTGCCTCCCTTTCTTTGTAGTAAACACTGGACCCCAAATTCCTTTTATTGAGGTTTTTTTTACTTTAGAGACATAGTCTTGCTAAGTTTCTCAGACTCACCTTGAAGTTGTGAACTCCGTCTTCAGTGTCTCTAGTAGCTGGTATTGCAGGCGTGCACCACTGCATCTGTGTCTTCAGTGTCTCTAGTGGCTGGTATTGCAGGCATGCACCACTGCATCTGTGTCTTCAGTGTCTCTAGTGACTGGTATTGCAGGCATGCACCACTGCATCTGTGTCTTCAGTGTCTCTAGTGGCTGGTATTGCAGGCATGCACCACTGCATCTGTGTCTTCAGTGTCTCTAGTGGCTGGTATTGCAGGCATGCACCACTGCATCTGTGTCTTCAGTGTCTCTAGTAAGTGGTATTGCAGGCATGCACCACTGCATCTGTGTCTTCGGTGTCTCTAGTGGCTGGTATTGCAGGCATGCACCACTGCATCTATGTCGTCTTCAGTGTCTCTAGTGGCTGGTATTGCAGGCATGCACCACTGCATCTATGTCGTCTTCAGTGTCTCTAGTGGCTGGTATTGCAGGCGTGTCTGGTCCTGGCCGTTTCTAACAGATACACCATATTACAAAGGCTTTGACTTTCTAAATTTATTTTTAAATTTTCACTACATTTTATTTGTTTTCTCAATGTGTGTGTGTCTGTGCATCTCCAAGTGTGATTCTGTCTGTGCTCCAGTGAGAAGGTGGAGTTTAGACGACAACTAGGGGAGTTGGTTCTCCTCTTCTACTGTGTGGGTCCCAGGGATCAAACCCAGGTCTTCAGGCTTGGCATCAAGTGCATTTTTCCAATCAAGCTGTCTTGCTGGCCCATTATGTCTTACTTTTTGACAGTATGACATGACGTTATCTGAAAATGAATTGGGCTTCATTCATAGCCATTCTCCTAAGTGTGCCGCTCATGGACCTCATGTTGGATATACCCTTAGAAGTTTCTGTGTCTTTTCAACTTCATGGAAATAATTTCCTATCATTTGTTTATGAAAGTTCCTACAATTTGTTTTTAATTTACATTTAACCTTTGGAAGAGTTGGTGTTAGGCCTTGTGCTTCATTTGATTATGACATTTTCTTTCCTGTACTGGTAACCCTTGACCAGTATTTTAGGAGCTCGAGACAAAAGGTAGCTGAGGCTTGCTGGTCATTACCCTAGCTCCAGGTTCAGTGAGAGACCCCACTTCAAGAGAATGAGATGGAGAGTGACAGAACAAAACACTCAATATCCTTCTCTGACCTCCGTGTATAAGCATGTGCATCTGCACACACACATTCACACACACCACACACACAGAACATAATTTGAAAGTGTATCCTTTTATTGTTTCTCATTAAGTTACTTTGCTGCTAAAATAATTGAAAAGAGATCTTTTCATAAAAAGTATTGTATGCCTTTTGAAGAATTTTTTATTCTTTTTTGTAATTTTTGCTGTGTTCTCTTTGCAGATATTACAGATTTTGCAGTCCCAGCCAGATGCAGCATACCACATATCACAACAAGTGGGTTGGCAAGACACCTTTGTTAGACTTTTCTTAAAAGCAAACTTTGAAAATATAAGTTATCTTCATAAACATGGAAAGGCTGTTTCAGTGAAAGAAAATAAAAATATGTCAACTGAAAAGTTCGATGATGAAAAAATGGCACTAGCTGATGTATCTTCAGATCATTGGAGTTTAGAAGATGGTCAGTCCTTGAACTCAAACACACCATTATTTCAAGAAGATAGCTCTGAGGGAGAATTATCTTTCAAGTCAGAGAATCAAGAAGAATTCTGGCATAGTAACACATCCCATCTGAGTTTAGATCTCAGTGGGATGGACTCATGCGAACTGAGTGAGAGTGGAAGTCAAATGCTGGACAGCTCACCTAGCACCCCATCCCCAGTAGAGTCTACTAAGTCGTTCTCTGTGCGGTCTGACAAAGAAAGAAGTATCACAGATGAAATGGACTTCACTGATGACTTCTCTTTCCTTGAGAGCCAAGAGGTAAATTTGCTTATCGTTCCAAAATAAGTTTTCATATTCTTGTTATATGCTTCTGGTCCTTTGCAGTGTGTGAGCTGTTACTAATATTTTCTGTTCATAGTCTAAGTCTCATTATCTAAAATTTAGAAGGGTGTTGTCACTAGTCACTTGGAAATAGCTTGCTTTTTTTGTTTTGGTGTGTGTGTATTTGTATATGTGTGGTAATAGGGATTGAGCATACTAGCTCACACATGTTAGATTATCTTACTTTGTGTGTATGAATGTTTTACTTGCATGTATGTATGTGCACCATGTATGTGTCTGGTGACCTTGGAGGTCAGAAAAGAGCATTGGATGTCCTGGAACTCAAGTTATGAATGGTTGTGAGCCACTATTTTAGGTGCTGGGAATTGAACCTGGGTCTTTTGCAAGAGCAGTAAGTGCTCTTAACCACTGAGCCATCTCTCCAGCTCCCCATCACTGTCTTTAGAACAAAGCCTGCATCTTAACACATCTTGTGTCTTCAGTCAGTAAAGACATGTTAAAAAGGGACAAGAGAGGTAGTTCAGCAGTTAAGAACTGCTGTTCTTCCAGAAGACCTGAATTCCATTTCCATATGCACACACATATACCTACACATAATTAAAAATAATAAAAAATCTCTTAAAATGTTAAAAATATCTTATATAAATAGTAAGTATATGTAGATGGCTCTGTGTTTTGCTTTTTAACATTCCCTAACTCTAATAATTTAGTATTAATGTTTTCTATAGGGATGTGAAGAGGAGCTTCTTCAGTCGCTTACAGATATTTTGAATTATGTCATGTGTAGAGGACTAGAAAAGTCTGATGAAGACACTTGGATTGAACGAGGACAAGTGTTTTCAGCATTAGCCAAACCAGGAATATCAAGTGAGCTACTTCGACCATCAGATGAAGTAAAACTAACGTAAGTATTCAGTTCGTGATTATTTTTTGAGCCCCTCCCCCCGACTGAGTGGGAGTCTAAAATTGAATACAGAACCCTTAATTCAGTATGTAGTAGCGAGGGGAAAGAAAGTAGAGAGGGGAAAGAAACTCCTTAATTTTTTTTCTTCCTAGGTCTTACCATTCTAGTATAATGTAGAAAGAAGTCAAAAAGAAATTCCAGTGTCAGAAGATTTAGATAGAGTTGAAGTTAAGTGATTTCAAGAGTGGTACATATGGGTCCTATGATTGTTTCATTTTCAGTTTTCTGAGAAACCTCCATATTGGTTTCCATATTTGCAGCAGAAGTCTCTATTCTCAGCAGCAGTGTAGGGAGGTCCCTCTTTTTTATATATTTTGTAGGATTTTCAAACTATCAGATCTTAAATTAAGGTCTTTGACACATTTTGAATTGATTTTTATGCAACATGAGAGATTTAGATCTATATCATTTCATTCTTCAACATGCCAAAATCAGTTTCCCCAACACTGTTTGATAAATAGTTTTATATGTTTTAATATGTTTATATGTTTAAATATGTCTCATTTTTTTTGCCAAAGATAATGTGACTCTAGCTGAGTACCTTTATTTCCTAACCCTTCATTCCATTGTTCTATAAATCTGACTTTGTGCTCTGTGCCATGATATTTGAGTCTGTCGCTCCGTAGTGAATGTGCGATCTGGTGTGATACTTGCCAGGTTGTTCCTTGTGCTTTGGCTCTTTGAGGGCTTTTGTGCTTTTATATGAATTTTAGGGATTTTTTCCTAGCTATATGAAGGTTGTCATGAGATTTTTGATGGGGATGACGTTGAATCTATAGGTAATATGGCCATTGTCACAGTGTTCTTTTAATTCCTGAGAAGGGGAGGTGTTTCCATTTTTTTAGTGTTGTATTTTATTAGTGTTCTAAGGTTCCTGTTGTAGAATCATTCACTGCCTTTGTTAGGGTTGCTCATAGGTTTGTTGTTGTTTTAAGCTATTCTGAATGAGATGAGATTCTCTCCCTCCCTATGCAGCCCTAATTTCTTTCTCTATAAGTTAGTTCCTTGTAATGGTGATTTCTTACATTGTTACTTTGTTAAAAAGAATTTAGTAGTTTTAGAGGTCTACTGGTAGAGTGTAGGGTTATATACTTTGCAAATAGGTAGATTATTTGACTTCCTTCTTTCCTAGTTGCTGCATCCTTTTTATTTCTTTCCTTTGCTCTAGGAAAGATTTATAGCATTATATTGAATTACAGCAGAGAATAGGCACTAGTTTTTAGAAGAAATGCTTTCATTCCTCCCTACCCCCGCCATTTGGTGTAACGTTAGCATTTGGTCTATCTTGTAGTCTTATAAGTTAAGGATATTCTGGCTAGTCTTAGTTTTTAGGGCTTTTACCATGAAGAAGTGTTGAACTTTGTTGAGGGACTTTTCTACATCCAATGAAATGATAATGTGACTTCTTATGTCTGTTAATGACTGTATTATACTTACTGATTTGTGTTTGTTGAACCACCCTTGCATCCTAGAATGAAACCAACTTAGTCGTGGTGTATGACCTTGTCAATGTGTTCTTGACGTTGGTTTGCAAAATTTTTACTGAGTATCTCTGTATTGTATTCATTAAAGGAATATTTTTTTCTTGTTATCATGTGTCTTGGTTACTTTTCTATTGCCGTGACAAAACACCATGACCAAAGCAACTTATAAAAGAAAGTGTTTAATTTGTGACTCGGTCTGCGCGACCATCGTGGTGGGGAGCTTGACAGCAGGCGTGGCAGTGGAGCAGTTGCTGAGAGCTTACATCTGATCTCCAAGTAGGAGATAGAGAAAGCTAACTGGGAGCCTGCACCTGGTAACACACAGTCTCCAACAGGGCCATACCTCCTAATCCTTTCTGAACAGTTTAACTAACTGGAACTGAATATTCAAACATAGGAGCCTGTAGGGGCCGTTCTCATTCCAACCACCACATTGTGTCTGTATCTGGTTTTGGTATCAGGATAATCTGGGGCTTCACAAAATGAGTCTGTTCATGTTCCTTTCATGCTATTTCATTGAACAGTTTAAGGAATGTGCTGGTTAGTATTTGTCAACACCAGCTACAGTCATTTGGGAAGAGGAAACCTCTATTGAGACTGTGTCTTTGTAAGATTGACCTGTGGGACATTTTCTTGATTAATGACTGATGTGGGAAGGCTCAATTCCCTATGGGCAGTACCATCCCTGGGTAAATGGTCTTGGTAATAGAAGAAGGCAGCCTGGATAGGCTACAAAGAGCAAGCCAGTGAGCAGAGTTCCTTCATGGTTGCTGTTTCAGGTTCCTGACTTGAGTTCTTACCTTGCAGGCTATATTGAAGCTTTGTAATCTGTAGTTGTTCCTTGTTCTCAGGCCCTTGTGGGCGCTCAGGATTTTATTGTTAATTTTTTATTTTTGTTTTTCTCTCTCACCCCTACCTCGAAAGGGCCTTTCTGTGTAGTGCTGGCTGGCTGGGAGCTCACAGAGACCCTCTTGCCTCTGCCTCCCCAATGCTGGGATTAAAGGTTTATCCTGCCATTCCTGGTGGTAGCTCAGTTTTTGACAGTAGATTCTCAAGATGCTCTCGGCTCACTGCCCTCTAAGTCGGACAGAGTAGCAGGGAGGCTTTTCTCTTCACTGCTGACTCATTCACTAGAGATTACTGTCTCACCAAAGCTTGCAGTTCTGTTGAGGATTGTGGAGCCTGTGGGCTTGTCTTCAGGGTAGGACTGTCTATCTCTTGCTAGCTTAACTTTGCAGGCAGCTTCTGCTTCTCCCCTTGCAGAGGTCTCAGAGCCTGGAGTTTTGCTCCCTGTCTCTTCCTCCACATTTCCCAAGTGTCCTTTCACTACCTCTGTTGATTTGTAATTTTCTTCTTCTATTTCTTACTTTGGAATAGTGTCTGTTTCTTCTCTTATTCTACCTACTACTTTCATGCTGCATCACACAGAAGCAGCCTACCATTTTACCCAGAAGTCCTCCATCTACAATCTTAGTGATAACCTGCTGGTGAGAGTATATCGTTGAAGTTACAATGCTGCTAATAAGTAACTAGTTTTTCAGCTTTTCTTCCTAAGCTTATAATGGTTTTAAGAGGACTTTATTTTACACTTAGCTTGCTACAGAAGATGTTAGAATGGGCAGTCACAGAAAACAGAGATGCCAAAAGTAGTCCCGTAACTGCTGAAAATGCCTTCCGACTCATGCTGATCATACAGGACTTTCTGCAGTCAGAAGGACTGGTTAATTCAAACATGTGGACTGAGAAGGTTAGTAATGACCTTTTGAAATTGCATTCTAGGGCCCCGTGTGGTGTAATTTTGACAGTTAGGAGGGAGAGGCAGAAGGGTTGTCACAGTTTGAGTCCAGTATAGGCTGCATAGACTGTTCTAGGTTAGCCTGAGCTACAGCGTGATACGCTGTTGCAAAAAAAAAAAAACCCAAAATATAAATAGATACATATTTTGAGTAGTTCAGAATTATTTAAAGAAAGAAATTTTGCACCTCTTCTTTTTGGAGCATTAATGTTTAATCGTAGTAAACACTGATTTTGTTAGTTTTTACAATGCTTCTTTCTTTTTTGGCAACTACACATTAAACTACTTCTGCATTGTTTATGATTGGAAAATCAGTACATTTTAAAAGTGGATGTTTTTATTTCTCATTTTTTCATTTGTGATAGCTTTTAGAAGATACCATGCAGCTCCTTGACTATCTGTCAGTTTGGTATTCTGAGAATCCAGGATGGGTAAAACTCTCCCAAATACAGATCCAGCTGCTTCTAGAATTCATTGGAAGAGGCAGTTTGCAGGTTTGTCATCTCTTTTCATGCTATTTTCTGTCTCCTCACAGACCATCGTTACTGGTGCAGAGCCAGGTAATAATGCCTTTTCAGTATTGTTTGTCATAGTGTCTTTATTTATCTTATGTGCCAGCATTGTGCACACATGTTCCATGGAGGTCAGAGACCACTTGTGGGAGTCAGTTCTCTCAATCCACCACATGGGTTTTGGGATCCACCTCAGGTCATAAGGCTTTGTGGCACACACCTTTCTTTACCTGTTGAACCATCTTTCAGACCCGCTTTTCAGTATCTTTTGAGTTCCAAAAACTATTAGCTCACTTGAAATTTCAATTTTATAAGATCAGAAAGAAGCGTAAGAAGCAGCTTTTTGTTACTCTCAGACCTAGGACTCTGATGTGAATGCTTCCTCTGTGGGGTTTACTCACAGGCCATCTGTACTCAGTGCGGTTTGCTAGCTGCTAAATAGCTTGCGGGGATATTTGTGTATGTGAAATTTAGGAATTGTATTTTAAGGGAAAATGATTTATGATAATTTTCCTTTTGAACTCTTTTCCTGTTTTACTAACCCAGAATTTTACACTCCGTTATATATTTGTTCACTTATCAAACACCAATTATGTACGTGTTAATTGTTTTTGCTAGATTTTAGAACTAAAGATAAAATGTATTTATAAAGAGGATTATTCCTGTTGTAAATTAAAATGTAAAAGGTTAGAAAATTCCACTGACATTTGGTCTGTCGTTTTTTTCTGTTCTCATTGGGTATTTTTTTGTTTCTTTCTTTCTTTTTTTTGAGAAAGGGTTTCTCTGTGTTGTTTTGGTGCCTGACCTGGATCTCGCTCTGTAGACCAGGTTGGCCTTGAACTCACAGAGATCCACCTGGCTTTGCCTCCTGATAGAAGTCATGTTTCTTTCTAGAGCAGAAAGCAAGTTTGTTGACTGCCTGTTGTAACAAAGCTAATCCCTTTCTCGAAGGCAAAGATCAACTGAATGTATAAGGTACATAGGTCTCCTAGACTAGGGGTTCCTCTCTGAGGAACCAGTCTGTGTGCAGATGTCTTCTGGTTTTTATTTCACTTAGAATTAGAGTTGGGGAATCAGTCCAAATGGTGATGGTGTGATTATTAAAATTTTTGTAGGTCTTTGTCTCTCTCCAAATAGTTTCATGTTTTATGCCAGTGTCTATGAAACAATAACATACTTGTTAGCTTGGAAGTAAAGAAAGTCCATAGTTATTGACTATATAAAACTTCTGAACTGTTAGAGTGAGGCATATCTTTTGCTAGTATTCAGTGTTTGCTTTAATGCTCTTTTTGTCCCATTTATTTAACCTGTTTTCTTCCAGGTTTGTGCAATGGCATCCGCTAAGCTAAACGCCCTTCTTCAGACCAAAGTGATTGAAAATCAAGATGAAGCATGCTATATTTTAGGGAAACTAGAACATATTCTAAGTCGGTCAATCAAGGAACAGACAGAAACCTATTCATTTCTGATTCCTCTTTTCCGTACTCTGGTTTCTAAAATTTATGAGCTTCTTTTCATGAACTTGCACCTGCCTTCTTTGCCTTTTACCGAAGGAAGTGCTTCATTTTTTGAAGATTTTCAAGAATACTGCAATTCAAAAGAATGGCAAGTTTACATCGAAAAATATGTAAGTTTTTAAAATCATTTTTAACGATTTAATTATGTGTGTGTGTGCATGGGTGTATGCATGTGTATATGTACGGGTGTGTGCTGCACACACACAGACAAGAAGAGGGTGTGCAGTCCCTTGGAGCTAGGGTTGTAGTATGCCTGGAGTGTTGTATGAGTGCCGGACCCAAACTCCAGGCCTGTGACTGCTCTCGGCAAGCATTCTTTTGACTGTTGAGTAATCTCTCCAGTCTCATGGTTTTCTCTCTTTTGAGCAAGATTTTTCTGCTGATTTATTATTTGTATAGAAGAGTGTGAAAATTCTATGTGTTCTTTCTTTTTTTAAATCTAAGATTATACCTTACATGAAGCAGTATGAAACACATACATTCAATGATGGTCATGAGAGCATGGCACTTTACTGGAAGAATTGCTATGAAGCCTTAATGGTGAATATGCATAAAAGAGACCGAGAGGGAGGAGAAAGTAAGCTGAAATTTCAGGTAAAAACTATTCATTGTTTTCTTGTGGTAATATTTTGTGTATGATCTAACAAATAAAGCTTGCCTGAAGATCAGAGAACAACGCCAGGCACTAGTTAGCCATAGAGTGGTGGACACGCCTTCAATCCCAGCACTGGCATCTCAAGCCTTTGCTCCTAGTACTTGGGAGGCACTCATGCCTCTAATACCAACACTAGGGAGATTAAGGCAGGAAGTGATATGGCTGGGCGGAGGAAAGGGATATAAGGTGGGAGGAGACAGGAGCTCATTCCTTTCGGCTGAGGGGTTGGTGAGGTGAGAGGTGGCTGTGGCTTATTCCTTTGTCTCTCTGATCTTTCAGCATTTACCCCGATATCTGGTCCAGGTTTTTATTAAGACCAATTAGGATTCATGCTACATTTTCTAGATTGAGTTTTCTTGTTGGTTACAAGTATGAAAGTAATTCCATCAGAAATTTGGAAACTAACATGGTCTAAAAATACTTCCTAATTGGGATAAAAATGGCCGATCATTAACCATTTAATAATGGCATTATGATTGTATAAAACATCTTACTAAGTTAAAAATCTGTTAGTAGATACTGCTAGGGTGTGGTGATATATTGTGTACCCTAATAAACTTTGCCTGAAGATCAGAGAACAGAGCAAGCCACTAGATTAGACATAGAGGCCAGGCAGTGGTGGCACATACCTTTAATCCTAGCACTTGGGAGGCAGAGATCTGTGTGGATCTCTGTAAGTTCAAAGCCACCCTGGACTACATGAGATTGAACCAGTCTAGGAGAAAAACAGTCGGGCAATTGTGGCACACACCTTTTATCCCAATACTTGGGAAACACACACACACACACACACACACACACACACACACTGTTAATGGCTGGGCGGAGAAAGGTGTATAAAGTGTGAGGAGACAAGAACTAGAAGCCTTTTTGGCTGAGGAAGCTCATTTGGCTAGAGGCCTTTTGGCTGAGTCTTTTCAGGCTGAGGAGTCCTAAAGGTAAGAGGTGGCTTGTTCCTCTGTCTCTCTGATCTTTCAGCATTTAGCCCAATTTCTGGCTCTGGGTTTGTGTTTTTTGTGTTTTTTTTTTAATCACAAGACCCTTTAGAATTCGAACAACACTAGGGTGTCTTGATGTACCCCCCTCACTCACACAAATTAATTTCAATTAAACATTTTAGATGTAAAGTTATTTGTGTGTGTGTGTGTGTGTGTGTGTGTGTGTGTGTGTGTGTGTGTACATATGTGTGTACGTACATACCTGAATACACACCCGTCTGTGCCTGTGTATGTGCAGGATACTTGAGAGGTCAGAAGAGACTATTGAATCCCTGGAAACAGAGTTACAGGTAGTTGTTATCCACTGTGTTGGTGCTGGAACTGAACCTGGTTCTTCTTAAGAGCAGAACCCCCTATCCCCAGCCATCTCTCCAGCCCTCTAATTACAAATAAATAAAGCAGAAGAGAGAAAAAGTAATTAAACTAAAATTGAGCTCTCCAAAATGTTAGCAAAATCAATAAACTTGTGGTCAGCTTGACAAAGAGAAGTGAAACATTACTCGAGGCAGAAATGAAAGAGGTGGTGTTGCCATCAACCCCACAGATAGGAATTGCTCAGTACGTGGAAATACGACTACTTAGATCCATCGATTTCTTGGTAGACAGAGGTTTTAAAACTAATTTTAAATTGTAGAGATAAGCTGCATAGTCTTTTCTCTATTAATAAAGTTAAATTTATATACCTTTAAAAAGAAAAAATGCAAGGCCTGAGCGGTTTTGCTAGCAAATTTGCCTAACTTCTTACTTGCAGGTTTATTTTTTGAAGCAGTCTCGTGTTGTCCCTACTGGCCTTAAACTAATTTTCTGTATGTGCAAAGATGGCCTTGAACTTAGAACCCTCCTGTTTTCATTTTTCAAATGGGTTTGCCACTGTTAGGACCTTTTTATTGATTGAACCCAGGGACTGCTAGGCAAACATGCTACCAGCTGCACCATATCCCTAGCCTGTAAGCACCTGTACTTATTTACCAGGCCAAGGCAATCAGGCCAGATTGGAGAGGCCACAGCACACCTCAGGCTGTGACAATTACTGATAGCAATCAGACTTTTTATACCTTCATCAGAAACAGAATATAATGGCAATTGCCAGGATCAATACAGTTGTAGTTGTCAGGATACAGTGACGTTTGCAAGCCATACAGGGTCCACAGGATTAATGTCTAAGACCAATTGTCCTGTCAAGTTTCCATGCTTCCTTGGCTACTAAGGGAACATACAGAGAAACACAAAGTGGCCCAATGCCTAACTGCCTGAGGAAGTGCATCAGTATCTCTGGAACTGTAAGGTACAGTGTGCCCCAGGAGCCATGGGGGGCACTCCAACCTGAAAAACCTGTGACACATGCCTCTCGGCAGCCAGACCAGGCCAACTCCACGGCTTCCTGCGCCAACCCACTACTACACATGTCATGAAGAAGTTGTATTCATGGAGCTTTGTGACTGCCTCAGTTTTCTCAGTGGTGGTCTTTTTTAGTTATGTTTAGGTCATTGATTTCTTTCCTACATGACCTGTAACAGCTACAATTTATTGATAGCTTGTTTTTCTTGAGTTATAGCAGGTATTTTAGATTTCAGTCTTTTTTTTTTTTTTCTTTTGAGACAGTCATATTGGTCTCAGAGTGACCTCAAACTTGATAATACAGCTAAGGATAACCTTAAACTTCTGATCTTCCTGACTTCACCTCCTTGGTGTTGGGGTTACAGTCATGGACCACCACACTTGGGGTGCTTGGGAACAAACTCAGCGTGTTAGGCTCAGCAGTAGATGCCTTTTACTCACTGACCTATTTTATCAGCCACGTGTGTGTGTGTGTGTGTGTGTGTGTGTGTGTGTGTGTGTGTGTGTGTGTGTGTGTTTATGAGTCAGAAAATCTAAGTAGAACGTAACTGAAATTCTACCATCCTCATCAAAGAGAAATATTGTAATGAAATAAGAAAATTATGTTGTTCTTTCTCATACACCATTTTTATTGGTCAAATTAAAAATTTGTAAATATATTACTCAATGTTCCTTATGCTGTTTATTTCAGGAGTATTTTGTGGAACCATTTAATCGAAAAGCACGTCAAGAGAACTTGAGGTACAATAATATGATCAAACAACTTAGCAGTCAACAGTTGGCCACGTTTAGACGCTGGAAGGCAATTCGACTCTATCTGACATGTGAAAGGGGGCCTTGGGCTGAAAGGTAGATGCATATTTTGTCTTTTAGAACTGTGGCAATAAATTTTAAACTTTTAAGCCATCTCTTTATTCCAGTTCTTTAACAAATACTTCAAACTTTATTGTCTTTTCATGAATTAGTTTGGGATGATTACAGGTTTGTATGTATGTGTTATTTATCATGTGGTTAGTTCTCTTTTTACCTTGATAATACACGCATTAGACTCTAGAAGTTCATGAGAATACTTCTGCCTCATTAAGCTAGAGTTGATGATGTTATGTACCTCAATATTTTACAACTTAATACCCTCACTTCTGTTTTGGTGTATATATTTTATAACCCTTGTTTTTACAAAGCAGCAAACTAAACTTTTTGTTTATTTTTTCAACCAGCTAATGAAAGGATAAACATTTAGTTCTTTGTCACCTTTGAGCTACTATTACCAGTGCTGCTGTGGACAGTTGTGTCAAAATGTTGGTTTGAATAAAAATAACAGGGAGAGAGCAGAGAGACATCTCCTAGAATAGCAATGACATTTCCAAGGTTCTAGCAATTCATTACATTTTTCTTTGAACAGGAACAAATATGTATAAATGGCTCTTATTTCCCTTAGGCAAGTGGACCACATTGTACAGTAAACAGTTTTGTTTCCATTACCATCCTTCAGTCCAATTCTTCCCCAAGCCCAAGTCTCCACTATCAGACCTTCACAGTGTTCACAGGTGGATCATCTAACTTGTTAAAACCTTACTTAGTCTCAACTTCCAATGCAAATATTCCTTTATGGCTCCATTAATCATTTAATAGGATACCAGCACAAAACTTATATTCAACCATTGAACATATTCATATAAACCAGGACTGACATTCTATAGCTCATTGGTGAAATCCAACTTACTATTATTTTAAATAAAGTTTTATTGAAATAAAAAAAATGTTGCTTTGAGAGCATGCTTTTAATCCTTCTGGGTATATAATACAAGTGCAATTGCTGGGTAGTATTTTATGTTTAACTTATCAAAGAATTGACACTTCCACATCTGCTGTATCATTTTATGTTCCAAGTAGGAGTATATGTTTTCCAGTTTTGCCACATTCTTTCAAATGTCCCTCCCGTTGTGTATAAAACATTGCCTTGTAACTATGCTTTTCTTCCTCCAATAACTAACGATGCTGAGCACTGTTCATGTGCTCCTTGTTGGCTTGTTTCCTTTACCTAGTTATCCGGTTGATTTGATTGACTTTTTGTTTGGGGTGTGTGTGTGTGTGTGTGTGTGTGTGTGTGTGTGTGTGTTAGAATGTATGTATTCTCAATAACTGTCATTAGGTGATTTTGTAGATGATTTTTCACTTTCTTAATAGTGGCCCTTGTTGTTCAAAAGCTATCAATTTTAATGACTAGTTTGGTTTGTTATACTTGCATTGTTTTTGATAGTGTATTTAGGAAAACACACCCAAGTCCAAGGTCATAGAAATTTACCTTTTTCTTCTAAGAGTTTTACTGTCTTAACTTTGGTATTTTGGTCTTTCATTCATTTGCAGCTATCTTTATTTATGATAAAACTTTTAAATACTGTTACAGCATTGAAATTGCATTTAACAGTAAAGAATAAAGTAATCAAACCAGAAGTCTGAAAGTTAGTGTTCAAATCTTATTTGTCTACCATTAAACCTCATGGCATCTTGGGTAAATAACTTAAGCTCTCTTAGGTTCATCATGTGTATGTCATAGTTAAACATGCTTATTTTAATTTTCTTGATAGTTATCCAGATGATAAATATAAACACTTAAACTTGTTCAAAAGTAATAGCCAGCATATAAAGAGTATTAGGTTTAAATATGGTATTTGTATACTTTGTTCTTATTCATCCCCAACCCCACTGCTTTCTTTATAATTTATACGTCTTTATTTTTGTAGTGCTGGTAATCAAACCAGGGCCTTGTACATACTAGGCAAATGCTCTGTCCGTGAACATTGTCTAAAGTGGTGTTAAACAGTTGTGAAGTATTTCATACTTTCTTCCACCCTTCAAACAACCAATCTTTATAATTTTACTTGTTTTATTGTGAATGTTTCTAGGAAACAGAATCGAGTTCACTGGAAACTAGCTAATGTAGAAAATTATTCCCGCATGAGACTTAAACTGGTACCAAATTACAATTTCAAAACCCATGAGGAAGCTAGTGCCTTACGAGATAATTTAGGTGAGTTACATATCTGCCTATTTTAATAAAGTGATGTTGATGGAATGCTTATTATTGCTTGTTGTTTTAGATGGCTACTTACGAAGGAAGGGGTATAGTGCTTTCAAGTATGTATAAATGGGTATGTGAATTCAATGTTGTTGATTTGGGCCTAAATCTAAGTCTGTGAAATATGAAGTATTTCTTGTGATGAGTTCATGGCACCTACATGTTTACCAAGTCATAATTATTGTCACTGTAGCTGCTTTTGTAGCAGCTGTATCTCATGACAGGTTTACAGATAAAATGAGTGCCAACTTTCAGATTTTTTTTCCCATTTAACATATTCATATGTTTGATCGTACAGAACTGAAGAAAGCCGTGGTGCCTGTCATTTAGGGTTCTGTATTCTAAAATAAATCAGATATTGGGATTTTCCTCTTTAATATAAAATAGTATTTCTGTCCATGATACAGACATTAACTGAATGTTTCTTACAAGTAACACATAGTTCTATAAGGTGCTCTGCTTTGTCAGTATCCTGGAACTTGAGCACTTCAAAATTGAACTGTCTTCATCACCTGGCAGGACCCCACCCCCTATCCTCACCCCCTGTGCACCACTTCAATTTGGTAGTTGTTTAAATTGCGATATTTCCCTTTCATTTTTCAAGAAATCCTTCTCTAGGAAGTTCCCACTCCTTTTTTTTTTCCTTTCATACCTCTCACTTGATAATGAGTCTGGGTTTATAGACTTTTATTTGTTGTCTTAAATTGAGGAAAACCACTGTCCTTTCCACTTTTTTCATCACAGTTTTACTCACTGAGGCCTGTTGTCTTGTCTCCCCAGTTTCCCCCGCTTCCATTTGGCATGACTATTGTTGTCCTTGTTCAACTCTTATCTGGGCGGTCAGTCATGTTGGTTAGACCTTACGGGCGCATCTTCTGATGTTCTAGTAGATACAGTCTCATGACAGACTGTGTGGCTCTTAGTCTTTCAGCCCTCTTTTCCAAGACGTCCCCTGACCCACAGTGCGTGAGGGATCTCTATTCTCCACATCCCTTCAGCATTTGTTGTTTGTTGTCCATTCATCTTTGCCGTTCTGACTGGGCTGTGATGAAATCTCCAAGTTGTTTTGGTTGTATTTCCCTAGTTGCTAGGGACAATGAACATTCTTTAGATATTTCTTAGCCATTTTTTTCTTCTTTTGAAGACTGTGTGTTCTGGTCCCAGGCCCACTTTTTTAAGAGAGAGAGAGAGAGAGAGAGAGATGTGTGTGTGTGTGTGTGTGTGTGTGTGTGTGTGTGTGTGTGTGTGTGTGTGTGTGTGTGTGTGTGTGTGTGTGTGTTGGCTCTCTTTTGGGTTCTTTATATATTCTGGATAATACCTCTCTGTCAGATGTGTAGCTGGCAAAGATCCTTTTTACCTGTTGGGTTTTTTTTGTTTTCTGTTTTTTTGGCTTTTGTTAACTGTGCTTTTTAAAAAAGTTTTATCAAGTAAGTTGTAAAGTTTTTAAAAAGTAGAAAGCACAGATTCAGAGAGACCAGAGGTAGGACAGAACTTAAATCTAGTGTATCATGTTCTTTTCTATTACAAAGCCCTTAGTTATTACAAAGTCTTTAGTTTATATAATATAAATGTACTGTGTATGTATCAGAGTTATCTGTTACTTTCCATGTACTCCAAAAAATAATGATTCAGCTATAGACAACTAACTGATCATAGTCTTTTTTTTTTTTTTTTTTTTTAGAACATCTGAATTTTTTAATCCTTCTTTACAGGTTACCTAGACCACTTTTGATTAAGAAAACTGTCGAAAGTTAGTAACTGCCACAAGCGGACGCCAGGTGGTGGCCCGTGTCAATTTTCCACAGAGTCCTGCTTTGCGGGGTATCTGAGTACTGCTCGGGGCTCTGCTCAAACTTGCTGGAATCACTCATGGCAGATTTTAGTCCACAGGTCGCTTTTCCCCATATTTCTTTGTAAACTCTTCAGCATTCTTACAGAATTTTTTACGGTCCTTAGAGTATTCTTCAGCTAGGTCAGCCCGGAGTGGGTGCTCAGGCTGGGGGTCGTTCACCAGTGCTATGAGGGACTGGATTATTTGGTCGGTCTTGGTGGCTGTCTTCCAGTTTTCAGCACTAATTACGGGCAGACAGACCTGCCCTTCTCATCAGTGTTAGGGTGACAGATCTTGGTTTTAAATGTGGTCTTGGGTGGTCTGAATGGATACTCTGCTGGAAAGTTGATTTCCGTTCTCGAGGCCCCTGTCGTACGGAGGGCTGTCAGGTACAATAAGCCCTTGCCAAGTCAGTAGATTAGCTTCATCAGCCCGGATGTTACGGAAGTTTTCCTTCCACATTTGCGCATCCCTTCAAGCTCCGTCATCAGCCTCCTGCTGGCCGCCATCTTGGATCTGGTGCTCCTTTTTTTTTTTTTTTTTTTTAAGTGGGGTCTCAATGTAGCCTTGGCTGTCCTAGAACTCGCTATGTAGATTAGGCAGGCCTCTAACTCACAGAGATCCACCTGCCTCTGCCTTCCAGGTGCTAGGGTTAAAGGCATGGGCCACTATGCCTGGACCAGCTATCACTTGATATTTAGTACAAGTGCACAATCACATTGATATCAACACACTGAAATTATTTTATAAACTAACATTGCTTTTAATTAAATATAATTATGATTCATGAATCTGTAATTTGCATAAAGTCAGCTCTATACCTTTATCAGACTGCTAATCCAGGACTTAGCCTATTTCTTAATCAAGAATTAGCCATTATTAAAAATAACTTTAATCTTAAAGCATGTATTTTTTACTACATGAATAATAATTTTAAAAAATCATCAAGCATCATAACTGTCAGAAAATATAGAAGTGCTATAATATTTTGTACTGTATTTAACTGATTCTTTTGCTTAAACAGGTGTCCAACACTTGCAGCCTTCTAGTGACTCTTTGCTTTTGGAAGTAGTGAAACAAGTTAAACTTAGTGATATGGAGGAAGATAAACTAGAACTTCTGGAAGAGGACATGGCAGCCAGAGTAAATGTGTATGTATGAGTACTTGAAAGCATTTACATTATGTATGAGAAATGGGATTGTAAAATTGTGGATTTGCTAGAGTTTGCTTTTCCAAAGTGCAACAGTTACTATCACACTGACAGTTAAAAGTCTGTGTTTACTGAAATTATTGAGGAAGACTTTTTGCCTGGGATTGTTGGGATCTGTATCTTGAAATTATAAAGTATTTTTGAATGAAAACATTATATTGAGTGACGTATGCCTTAAGCTGTGTTTATGTGGCAGTGTACAACATGGTCTGTGGGTATAATACAGCAGTAGAGGGCTTACATAGTATGCAAGACCCTAGGTCTGATCTAAGATCTGATTAAAAAAATTATGTATGAAACATAAAAACAAAAGAAAAAATAGAGATATAACAAGAAGTCCATTCAAGAGACTGAATAATTATAGAAACAAAACTTAGTAAAAAAATAAACATTGCAAAAACAAACTTCTAGCTAGACTAATTAGGAATTTCAAAAAGACAACGTAAACATTCAGTATCAGCAGTGAAAGAAGATACTCTCTTCCACATAAGTCAACTAAATTGATGATTGCTTCTTTTAAACTCTTTGTACAGTGATGAGAAGGAAGAACAGGATCAAAAGGAAAAATTGGTGTTGACTGAAGACTGTGAACTCATTACAGTAATTGACATAATTCCTGGCAGATTGGAAATCACGACTCAGCACATTTACTTCCATGATAACAGTACTGAAAAAGAAGATGGTGAGTAGTTCTGGGAACACACCTCCGTTAGGAAGTAGCCAGTTCCATCAGTCGTGAATTAGATGAGATTGTGAAATGAGGGTTTATCTTGTAAAATGAAAAATGGAAAGTCAATGATGAATTAGACTCCTGCAGCCACTATGTATTGAAGAGAAATAATAATTTGTATGTGTACACACATACATACACAGTAGTAGTGATTGAAACCAAGACCATTTTTTTGGTGTTTTTTTTTTTTGTTTTGTTGTTTTTTGTTTGTTTGTTTGTTTGTTTTTTTGAGACAGGGTCTCTTTGTGTAGCCTTGCCTGTCCTAGAATTCTCTGTAGATCAGGCTGGCCTTGAACTCAGAGATCTGGAAACCAGGGTCATTCTTATATAAGGCAAATGTTACCCAGTTTGACCTTATACTTAAAATCCTTTTGACTCAGCCCTCTGAGTAACTAGGACTATAGGCATGCACACCCACAGCCAGTTGCTTTTTATCATCGCCATCATTATTAGTGTATTTTAAGAGGTTTGGCTTGAGGCTATCATAATAAACTTATGGTTGCAAAATTCAGTCTTTATTTTATCATACCTTTGTATATATACACCATCCTGTAAGCTTTTACTTTTTTTTGTGATTAAATCTGAAGATCCAACATTTTAGAAAAAGAAAGATTTCTAAGGTACAGATACTTGAAATTATCATCTGTTCTCATAGAAAGGTAGTAGAATAGCTTTGAGGTTCTGGAGTAGTTTAAAAGAAACAATTTATAACTCTTAATAAAGTACTTGCTTTTATAATATGGTATTTTTCCTAAGTACTACTTTTGGAAACAAGGAGATACTATTTTTGCGTAGAGTGAGTAGCTTTATATGGCACTTCAGTCAGAAGATTTCTTCTGTTTTTCAGGAATGGGCTTTGATTTCAAGTGGCCTCATTCTCAAATTCGAGAGATTCACTTACGTCGTTACAACTTAAGGAGATCAGCACTTGAGATATTTCATGTTGATCAATCCAACTACTTTCTCAATTTCAAAAAAGAGGTGTGGTACCTTTCTGACAATCACAGAGTATTATTTTGAAATAATTTTCCAGCTAGTGAGCTCTAATGGTGTTTTGGACTGTATTCCTAGCAATACAAAATATTAGAAGAAAACGTATTATGAAACTAGTCAGTATATGAACTTTCGTTGGGATTTGTTTGGCAATTGAGGTGGTTGTTTTAGGTGAGTGTGTGTGTATATAGTAGAACATTGAATATCAACCAGTAGATGTCAGACATTATCTGATTATGTTACAGCATACTATATATAAGATTAGACAAGCTATGCGTGGTGGACCTGGATTTCCTTTCCTCTTCTTATGAGAACACTAATGTCAGTATGATGTTTCAGCCTCATGACACCAGTTTTTTAAACTGTATTATGTGTGCAAGTTGTAGTGTGTCTGAGGAAACCAGAGGTTAACTTAAAAGAGTAAGTTCTTCATTCCACAGTGTTGTTCCTAAGGATCAAAGTCATTTGATCAGGCTTGGTGATAGGTGCCTTCATCTGCCATTTTACTGTTTTCATGACGTCATTTAATATTGATCTCCAAGTGCCACATCTCCAATTATGGACTTGTTATTTGAGGATCAGTTTTCTAAATCATAAACTTGGAAAGAACATATTTAAACCACAGCACTAAGTATAGTAAAGGATTAAAAGCGTAATCCACTGTTGATATGAAATATCAGAAGAGGTGATGTAGCTAGAGTTTTCCTGCCTGGCCCACAGTCAGGGCAAATCTCTTTCACCTGCCAGTCCCACAGCCGCTCAGACCCAACCAAGTAAACACAGAGACTTATATTGGTTACAAACTGTATGGCCGTGGCAGGCTTCTTGCTAACTGTTCTTACAGCTTAAATTAATCCATTTCTATTAATCTATACCTTGCCACGTGGCTCGTGGCTTACCGGCATCTTTACATTCTGCTTGTCATTGTGGCGGCTGGCAGTGTCTCTCTCTCAGCCTTCCACTTCCCAGTTTTATTCTCCTCCTTGTCCCGCCTATACTTCCTGCCTAGCCACTGGCCAATCAGTGATTTATTTATTGACCAATCAGCAACACACTTGACATACAGACCATCCCACAGCAAGGTGAGGTTACAAAACAGATAGTGGATTGTAATTTTCAAGAAAATAGGGAGGAGGCAGAATTGCAGATAACTGCTGATAAGTTGTGAGTGGTGAATATTTTCTGAAGTAAAATAATCATGATAATGGCACAGTTGTGAAACAGTAAGGCAGCACTGTTGTTCTTAAAGGGTTAATTCTATCTTGCTAACACTGTTACAAAATCTATAATTCATATTTGTCTTGACTACTTTTTATACTAAACAGTAGTGTTTTTTTTATAGGTTAGAAACAAAGTATATAGCAGACTGTTGTCACTTCATTCTCCTAATAGTTATGGAGCAAGATCGCCCCAGGAGTTATTCAGAGCATCAGGATTGACACAGGTAGGAAAATTTTACGTTGTTATATTGTTCATTTTCTATCTCAGAATTTTGTTCTGATTTCTAACTGCTCTTTTCCATTTATTTGTTTGTTTGTTTGCTTATTTATTTGGATGGTTGGCTGTTAGTTGGCCTTGTTTGTTCCTTTTGCTTTTGAATAAACTTTATTCATTAACTACTGATTTCTCAACCTTACACCTAAGAACAATTGAGCTTCCTATGTACAGAAATATATCTCAATATATGGATTTTCCTTTATAAACTGCAGCATACAGATTTCATTTTTCACTGTTCACCATAATTATAACTTTTTGCTTTTGGTCCACAGTGGGTTAAAGTTGATTGTCATTCTGTCAGGAAAACTCTGATGTATGACCCCACTGTGTATACTCAAGACCAAATGGGTTGGGACATCGGCCAGGGTATCCTTCTCCTCCTTTCTTCACCTCCTGAGTAGGTAGAGCTACACGTGTGCACACTACCACACCTAAAACTTAACGTCTGTTTCCTTTGAAAACTAGGCTCCAAGAAAACGAGCAAAAAATAAAGCATAAGCACTGTAATATACTCTGGGAAGTCTTAAATAAGAGTTAAGTCTTGCCAGCTATGGAAAAAAGAAAAATTAAGACTCTTTTTCAATTAAATATTTTATTTATCTTAAAACTTTAATTTCTAAAATGACTACCTCACTTTTGACGTTTTTGTAACTATACATACTAAAAGGAAATAGATTATGGAGAAGTTGATTTGTCTCCATGTTAAACTTTTTTAGTTCATCTCTTCAGTCATGATAGAGATAATTATTATAAAAAAATATGTTGGTTATTAATAATTGTCACATTCTAAGGTTACATGATATAATTCTAGTATTCTTCTTCTTTTTTTTTTTTTTACTGTCTAGAAATGGGTGAATCGAGAGATAACAAACTTTGACTACCTCATTCAAATAAATACAATGGCAGGACGGACCTATAATGACCTTGCACAGTACCCTGTGGTAAGTTCTGTACAAATCTCTAAAATTAACTTACACTTTCTCCCTCCACCCCCCACTTTGGTGCCTGTCCTGGAACTCGCGCTGTAGACCAGGCTGGCCTAAACTCACAGAGATCCACTTTCCTCTGCCTCCAGAGTGCTGGGATTAAAGGCGTGCACCACCACTGCCTGGCTAATTTACACTCTTACAATGTATAACACTATATGTTATATTTATGTTTTTATTTAGAAAAAAATGGAGAGGCTTGGGTATAGCTCAGTGGCAGAACATTCTTGTACCATATGTGAAGCTCTGGGCTCAATCTCTAGCACTATAGAAGAAACACACACACACAGAACACATACTCTGCCTTTGTGTTTTCCACCTCTATATTTTAAAGAGGTATTATAAACATGAAGACTAGTAATTGTAACTAAAGTCCTTTTTGTTTCATTTTATTAAAAATAGCCCAGAAGAATTATAGAAAATTACACTATTGAACTGAAACAAATATTAAAATGTGTCTTTAAAGTATTTACAATTGGGAAAACTATTTTTAGTGATTACCCCTTTTTATCTTTATGAATATTTCATATTTGATGTGGGAATGTTAGGTTCTCTAGGAAGAAATGTCTAAATTTTGAATTATGTCTCTTAGTTTCCCTGGATTTTGCAAGATTATACTTCAGAAGAGTTGGACCTTAATAACCCCACTGTATTTCGAGATCTTTCTAAACCAATTGGAGTAGTTAATGAAAAAAATGCCAAAGCTATGCGAGAAAAGTAAGTGGTTTTTAAATATTTGAGATAGCCATTGTTTGAATTTTTGCTTATTTCAATCAAAACAAATAAATGTTACCCTTTTTAAATTAAAAAAGTTGTTTTTTATTATGAATATGATTTTTTTCTTGTGTATATTTGTGTACACCACACATGTGCCTGCAGAGGTCAGAAGAGGGTGTTGGATCTGGAAATGGAGTTACAGGTGCCTGTGAGCTTTGAGTACAGGGTGCTGGGAATTGACTCCAGGTCCTCTAGTAAAGCAGCTAATGCTCTTAACTGTTAAGCTATCTCTCCAGCCCCTAAATGTTTGAAAAAAAAAATTGTTTTTAATATGTATGGTTGTTTTGTCTGCATGTATGTCTGGTACCTGCAGAGGCTAGAAAAACGGTCATCAGATACTCTAGAACTGGGGTCACAGAGGATTGTGAGCCATCACATGAGTGCTGGGAACCAAACCCAAGTCCTCTGGAAGGGCATCAGGTGCTCTTAACCACTGAACCATCTCTCCATCGCCATATTATCTTTTTTCAATGCAAGCTACTTAAATTTTTTTCAATTATCCTTGTGCATTCACTGTACATGTTCTACTGAAGGAAAATTTCATATAAGCATATAGTGTGTGTTCAATATATTTCACCGTGATGTTTAGTATATTTATTTCACCATGCTCTGCTCTCTCTGCCACCCCATGTCCTATTTTTTCAGACACTTTTGTTGTATACTTACATATATACATGATTTTATATATCTATATAAAATTTAGGGACCATAAGTGAGAGAACAAAAACTATATATATGTATATATATATATATATACACTGCCTGACTCAGTGTTTATGAGACTGGTTTAATTCTCTTAATATAATTTTTATAGTTACATCCACTTTTGTGCAGGTGGTATTACTTACTGCATTCTTCTGTGATTAACAACAATTCCATTCTTCATCCATTCCTCTTGTTAGATGTCTGTGTTGGTTCTATAACTTAGCTATTGTGACTAGTGCTGCAGTAAAATGTGCAAGTCGACCTGAAGTCATCTAGCTAAATACCCTACAGTGGTATAGTTCAGTCATGTGGTAGAGCTAATTTTAGTTTTGTGAGAAACTGCCATACTGAGTCCTGTAGTTGGTATAACAAAAGATTGACTTCTGCAAGTTGGTGCTGTGATTTCCATGCATGCACTGTGTCACACAAGCTTTGGGACACACATTAAATAAATGTGATTAAAAAAACAAAATTGTATCTGTAGTGCTGGGAGTGTAGCTCAGTAATAAGCATTTACCTGTTGTATGTGAAGCTTTGGTTTGATCCTCAATGTTACTAAGTAAATTTTTGTGTACTAATTTATTCATTAGAATAAATTGATATTGGTGCTAGCAGGATGGCTGAGTGGGTAGAGGCTCTTGCCACCAATCTTTACAATCTGAATTTGATTCTCAGAACCCACATAGACAACCTCGACCTGTGTACCATGTGCACACAAAGAATAAATAAACACTGAAAAATAAAGCCGGGGACGTAGAGAAATGCCTCAGCAGTTGAGAGCACTTGCTCCTCTTCCAGAAAACCCAAGTTTGGTTCCCTGCACCTGCTTCCTGTGGCACATAGCATCCCATAGCTACAGCTCCAAGGCATCTGACAGCATGTGGCCTCCAGGGCACCTACGTATACCTGAAATTCACTCACTCAACACATACATACACTTAAATAAAAATAAATTTTAAAAAGTAAAACAAAGAATAGATAATTATTCATCAGGAAGTTTTTGTCCCAAGGAAGTGGAATTAGATTTGATAAAAATGTTTTCTATTTTAGTCTCTATTTTAAAGAAGTTTCTATAGTCAACATGTGCTATTATTGTATTATACAAAAATGCTGGGTCTGGAGAGATGGCTCAGCAGTTGAGAGCACTCGCTGCTCTTACAGAGGACTTGGATTCAGTTCCCATTACCCAAATGGCTGCTCACAAACCCTGTAGCTCCAGTTGCAAGGGAGCCCACTCACTCCCTGGCTCTACTGGCACTGGACGTGCAAGTGGTGTATAGACATACATGCAGGCAAAACACCTGTACACTGAAAATTAAATAAAATTATTTTCAATGCTCCAAAAGCTTGTTTCAGTGATATTTCGTTGTTTAGGAAACATTCTTCGAAATTAAGTTTTGCCTGTTGTTATGTGGGGATGCAGATAATTCATTTGATAGTAAAGTATATGACTAAGGATTGACGTTTTAAAGAATATTATGCTTTAAGCTAACTAGTACAGATTTAGATTCTTACCATTTTGTTGTTAAGGTCATAAAACACTACTTTTTTTTTTTTAAGGTATGAAACTTTTGAGGATCCAATGGGAACGATTGATAAGTTTCATTATGGTACTCATTATTCAAATTCTGCAGGTGTCATGCACTATCTTATCCGTGTAGAACCTTTTACTACCCTCCACATCCAGCTTCAGAGTGGAAGGTATGCTTAGAGTGAAAACCTATTTTCCTCTGATTGTAAAGTTGAGAACTGTTTGCTTTGATGTCATGTTCTGTTGTTCGAATCTTAGATGGCCTTTTGATAAAAATACCCAGAGCCAGATATCAGGGTGAAAGCTAAAAGATTAGAGAAGCAGAACAGCCAGCCACTAGTTCTTATCTCTACAAAATCCTCAGCCTAAAGAGAGTGAGTTCCTGTTTCCTCATGCCTTATATACCTTTCTCTGCCCTGCCATATTACTTCCTGGGATTAAAAGTGTGTGTGCTTCCCAAGCAAAGGCATGAGATTTCAAGTGCTGGGATTAAAGGTGTGTGCCACCACTGCCTGACCTCTATGTCTTCATTTAGTGACTGGCTCTGTCCTCTGATCCTCAGGCAAGTTTATTAGGGTACACAATATATCACCACAATGTTCTGAATGATGGAGCCATGTCTTTTAAATCCTCTGCTAGGTTTTAATTTAGAGAAAATCAGCCAGAGTAGTTTAAGAACAAGTCATTCAAATTAACTCATATATAAGATATTTGAATGTGATTTTTTTTCACTGATACTGTATTGTACGTTTGGAATTCCTTCAAGTTGAGAAATCAACCAGAGATTTATAATTAGATATCAGACCAAAGATGTTGCCCACTGGCTGAGAACTTGTCTAACATGTACAGGGTCCTGGGTTCAGTTCCAAGTAACAACTCAGTCCCCAAGTTATAGAATTAAGGTGATGTAGAGCTAAATCTGACTATCTACAGATAGTCAGATCTTAGCAGTGACTACACAGTCTTCCTGAGAATGTTTTCATAAAGACTAGATGGAGGAAGCAGTTGGGGATTTACAGCAGCCACATACACAGGCCTGTGATACTGCTATAATAACCTTATCTGTGGGTATTGTGACTTACCTGTATTTCACGTGTTCCTAATTGTTCTAAGGAAACTGCGTGAGTCTTCCACTGTCAGCTGTATTCTCCAGCTTTTGCCTTAGCTCTTAGCATTACCATTTTGTTCTTGCAACTCAGTCAATAGTATACAAACACTGCCTGTTTTATTGTCTTTGCATGTAACATCTATAGTTAGCCTGTATTCTCTACCCTGTATAATTACAGTAAACTTTGGTTTTCAAGAAGAGACTCTGTCTTTAAGATTCTTAAGCATCAGTAAAATGTTGGACTGACAGGAGATAATTTCCTTCATAAGATACAGGAAATTATGACTAGGTTTATTTTGGTTCTTTATAATTTTAAGAAGAAATGTGATTTGACAAAGCTTTAAAATAAATTCTGTTTGTGCTTTATAAAGTACCATCAAGAAAGTACAATCAAGAAAATCCAATAAGGGAATTGTATTTGGAACATATACAGAGTCCTTATAGCCAAATAATACAAAACTGAATTTCAAAATGGAAAAGGGTCTGAATAGCAATTTCTCTAAAGAAAATAGACAGGTGTCTGACACATGCAAAGATGTGCAATGTCATTATCATAAAGATAATAAAGGTTGTTTTCAGCTACTAAAGAGGAAGATTAAGAAAGAACTGTAGTCACATGGAAATTGTAAAGGTTTGTTCTCTGCTTCCTTGCTTTCCTCTAGTAGACTGTTGTCTTTCAATCCCTTGTGCAGGTTTGACTGTGCAGACCGGCAGTTCCATTCCATCCCTGCTACCTGGCAAGCTCTTATGGATAATACATATGATGTAAAGGAACTTATTCCTGAATTCTTCTATTTCCCTGAGTTTTTAGAAAATCAAAATGGTAAGAAATAGAGGATTTAAAATTTTTTTCAACAGGTCCCAGTGAAAAATCGTGAAAAGCAATTTTGAGGGCATCTTCTGTAATATTGCATGATTTATTTCAGGTTTCTTCTGTGTGTAAATTAGTGACAGGATTGAACTGATACCAGGGAAATGACATAAAGAACCAAGTCTTACTTTTCAGGGAAGCGATATAGGAAACTAAGATATGAGTCAAATTTGAACTCCTAAGAGAACTTACCTCAGCATGCCGTCTTTACTAGAGACACAACACTGCTATACACTGCCATTGCAAGTCTTTGAGGTCAGTAAGGTGATAACTTAGACCAAGGTCAGTGAGCCAAACCCATGAGTAAACTCATGTTTTTAGAGTATCATATATACCCGTTTATATTATGTTTATCTGTAACTAGCTTTCAGAAATTAATGACCAACTTGAGTAGTTACAAGAGACCATGTAATTCACAAAGATGCAAGTGTTCTTTTACCTTTTAAAGAAGATGGCTCCTGATTTCTTATTTGGAATGTACAAAAGGTGCACATTTAAAATAATGGCGAAATCATTGCACTTTTTGGAAATCAGGTTATTGGAGTAGAGATGCATTATGATTATTAAATTTTTAAAATATCCAAATATTTTTTCTGTAGTGTTATTTTACTTGGTTATTACTACTTTTTTTATTTTTTTGGTTTTTTGAGGGCTCTGGGAACTCACTCTATAGACCAGGCTGGCCTTGAACTCACAGAGATCCACCTGCCTCTGCCTCCCCCCCCCCCAAGTATTAGTACTAAAGGCATGTACCACCAGCACCACTTGGCTTTTCCTACTTTTGTGTGTGTGACATACTGGAGATTGAACTCAGAGTCCTGCTCACTTGATTGGCACACACTCCACAACCAAACTGCTGCCTTAACCTTATATTTGTTTTAAAAGCACAAATAAGTTTGCAAGATTTTGGGGTACATTTTTTACAGATTATTAGTCAGCTATTGGACTGGAATTTAATAAAGCCAGTGTGTATGTGGAATAGGAAGAGTAATTGGGCTGAATTTTAATGAAAAACTTAAGGTATTCTTTGCTCTACAATTCATGGTATTTATTGGAGCCAATTGTTGCCCTCAGCCCTATGACCTCATGATCTCTATGTTTAACTGTGATTTTATAATTGTTTGGTAGGAGTTTAGGCAGGAGAAAACAAATGTATCATCTAATAGGAATAAATAGTAATATAAACATCATAAAATTGCACAATAAAATTTCTGTGTTTTCTGTAATAAAAAGAGATAATTTAGTTTTAGGTTTATAGTGTCATCGTGGCCAATTTCTTTCTGTATTTTCACTCTTTGATTCTGAGTATTTTGGCTTTGTTGATGGCTAATCCTTCTCATTGTTACAAATAACTGATGTAGCTTAAGCATAGTAGGTAGAAACACAGCATCTTGCAAAGATGGAAATGTTGATGTGTTGTGTCCCTCTTAAGTCTAACCCCTGTAGCTTCATTCTCTAGAACCATGTCTGTACCAGCCTCTAAAGCAATCACATGGAATAGGTATGGCATTTAGAAATGCTGTGCAGATGACATGAAGGTTCTGCAGAGAAACCCAAAGGGAAATGACTGTGAAGTGGACACTCTGTCCCTTTCACACCTGGACCTTTAAACCTTACCTAGACTTGGGAAATGTGGTATTTCAAGGCAGTACACTGCTATCTGATGACTGGTATTTTAAGACCTTTTTTTGAAGGTCTTTTGTGTTAACACTTTCCTTCTCACAGTGTATGAACAGGAAAACCTCATACTTGATAAAGTTCTGTCACTTGTCATGTTCAGCTAGAATAGCAACTGTCTTTGTGGAATAGTGCCATAAAAGATGTTATTCTCCATGAAACAAAACTCTCAGTGAGTGAGTTTAAGGTATAAGTTACACCATAAGTTTTAATGAAACATATTTTGTAAACTAACCATTAAAAGGACCATTATCCATGTTTAGTGTAAGGATAATATTCTATTGTAATCCAATTAAAGTGAGGAGTGTAGTGCTTTCCCTGTTCTTTTTTACTTTTCATTTGTATGTGTGCGTGTGTTCCCATGCCTATGCACTTACACGTGGAGGAGTGTATTTGGAGAGGCCAGAGGTCAACGTCCTTAATCTTGTTCCACCTTAACTGGGTGGGCTGCTCGAAGCCCCTAGGATTCTTGCATCCACGCTCAGCTCTGAAGTCATTGGCATGAGCTACTGTACTTGGCTTTACATGATGGAGAACCAAATTCAGATATTTATAATTGAATAGCTGAAATTTGCCCACTGAGTGTCTCCCAAGTTACTCCTCCCCACTTTCCTAAGAAAAAGAATTCTTACTCAGATAAACCTTATAAAAATGAATTTTAAAACACTTTATGTAGTTTAATTAATGAGTAAACTATGCTGCAATAGATAAGTTAAAGTATTTTTCTAGTCATAGGCCCTCTTTTGTATGTTTTACATCACTTATTTAAATCTAAAATGATTCTGATGTTTTTATTTTTTATGTGTCTTAGAATTTAATTTGGGTCACCTACAAGTTTCCCAAGAAGTGGTAAATGATGTCATTCTTCCAAGATGGGCTAAGTCAGCGGAAGATTTCATTTATAAACACAGGAAAGCTCTGGTAAGATTTTCGTTACATCACCACCAAGTCTAATAAAACATAGATATGTTTTTCAAAGATAAGTTAAAGTGTACTTTTTTCTAGATTTATTTATCTGTTATATATTACTGTTCTAAAAATACAATATATAATTTAATCTTAGGATATAATTTTTGGTGATATTATCCATGATTATGTACCAGAATATGGGTTTCCACTTTTTCTTTTTTTAATAATATCTTACAATGGTATATATACAAATCTAATTATAAATACCAATTATCAGTGTCATAAGCTTAATATAGGAAATCAAAAAAATTTTTTTTCTTGAATTGACAAGTTTTAGACAACTATTACAAAAGAAACTACCACAAAAATGCATTCCACGCCAGATGGTGGTGGCACATGCCTTTAATCCCAGCACTCGGAAGGCAGAGACAGGTGGATCTCTGTGAGTTCGAGGCCAGCCTATTCTACAGAGCGAGTTCTAGGACAGGCTCCAAAGCTACAAAGAGAAACCCTGTCTTGGAAAAAACAAAAAAATGCATTTCACACCTCTTATTTAACTCTCTTAGATTTGGGGAGATGTTAATAGCTTTTTTGTGTTGTTTTTTTCACCCAGTGTATTTCGGGACATTTTTGGAATTTTTGATTTTTGGATTAGCTAATACATCCTCTGCAAATATTTCAAAATCTGGGAAAATCCACAATCTGAGTTGGGCCTAGTGGCAGTTTCTTAGGAGGCTGAAGCCTGAGTTCCTGACTTGGGAGTCCAGCATGAACAACATGATATGAACTTGTCTGAAACAAAACAAAACATACAACAACAAGCAAAATCTCAAATGCTTGTAGCCTTAATCATGTTACATAAGGGATGTTCAGCCTGTGTTAACATTCCAGTTCTCTGTGTGTTTGCTGTGTGGATTGCTATTCTGTTTACCCAGCTGGTATAATGAAATGTTTCGCAGTTTCTGTTTTTGCTTCATTTCAGTTAAGCATGACTGCATTTTTTAATTTTTCTGAAAGATTACCCAGCTCCTAATAAAACTAGCCTATCAAAAATGCCACTTTAAAAAAACTTAAGAGTGTTTAGGTAAATTTCCAACTTGGAATTGAAGAAATAGAGAGAGTTAGTTTACCGTTGATAATTGTGTTACTGTCTCGCAGCATTGTTTACCAAGCAGTACTCTTCTTTAAAAAAAAAAGTGTGCAGATGTTTTATGTGTATGTATGTCTATACATTATGTGTGTGCAGTGCCCAGCAAGGACAGAAGGGGTCCGAGATCCTGGAACTGGAGTTACAGATGGTGGTTAGTCGTCATGTGGGTACTGGGAATCGAACATGCTTTCTCTTTTAGAGCAACCAGTGTTCTTCTCTCTGGCTCCATGTTTTTGTTTGTTTTGTTTTCCCCTAAGACAGGGTTTCTCTGTGTAGCCCTAGCTGTCCTAGAACCAGAGATTCACATCCTAGGCTGACCTTGAACCAGAGATTCACATCCTAGGCTGACCTTGAACTCAGAGATCCACATGCCTCTGCCTGCCTCCTAAGTCCTAGGATTAAAGGCCTGCACCACCATCTCCTGGCTGCTCCATGCCCTTTTTAAAATGCATGAATTTAGATTACAGTTGGAAAATACCTGTATTAATTATTAAATTTGTTCTCTTTCTAGGAGTCTGAATATGTGTCTGCTCATCTTCATGAGTGGATAGACCTGATTTTTGGCTACAAACAGAGAGGACCAGCTGCAGTGGAAGCACTCAATGTCTTCTATTACTGCAGTTATGAAGGTCTGAGCCTACCTACGTCTTCTCCTGAGTGCTCTCGTAGAATTAGTGTGTCTTTGTTATTCATGGGGTTTGGGCCTGGATCCTTAACATAGGAAAGAGTACATCAACAAAATAGCTTTTCAGATGGAAGGTCATGAGACTGCCACTATTTCTGTTTTGTAATAGTAGTTTATGATGTGTGTGTATCTATGGAAATCTAATCATGGACACCAGTCATCATCACACACTTTTGGTTTCTTAAATGGGAAATTAAATTTCCTGTTTAATCAAGTCTTACATTGAACATTACATAGTATTTTTAGTAAACTTTGAAAGAAGGCACTTAGAATTTCCAGTAATAAATTCTTAGAATCAAAACTGTTTTCTGACAGCTATGGCCAGAAAATGTTCTCTCTTTTTAAATCTTTTTTGTGTGTACGTATATGATACATGTGTGGGTACACAAGGAAGTTGAAGGTACATGTCAGGTGGTCTTCCTCACTGGTTCTTCCCCTTATTGAGACAGGATCTCCCATATGTACCCACACACATGTACATATGCGTGCACACACACACATACACACACACACAAATAAAAGTAGGTCATTTTTCTGGTGACAAGTTGAAGACTGATGTTTTGTTTTAAATGTGTTAATCAGTCCTTGATGTATTTATCAGAGTCTTACTGGTTTGTTTTTCTCAATAGTGATTGCTTCCTGTTTTAGGTGCTGTAGATCTTGATGCCTTAACAGATGAAAAGGAAAGAAAAGCCTTAGAAGGGATGATTAATAATTTTGGGCAAACACCTTGTCAGCTGTTAAAGGTAAATTATGTAAATTATCATCAGCTTAGAGCAGTGGTTCTCAACTGTCTCAGTTAGGGTTTACTATTGCTGTGAGGAGACACCATGACCACGGCAACTCTTATAAAGAAAACATTTAATTGAGGGGGCTCACTTACAGTTCAGAGGTTCAGTCCATCATGGTGGGACATGGCAGCATGCAGGCAGATATGGTGATGGAGCTGAGAGTCCTACATCTTGACTCAGAGGCAACAGGAAGTCAACTGACAGTCATACTGAGTAAAGCTTGAGAAAAAGACCTCAAAACCCACCCCAGCAGGGACACATTTCCAACAGACGGTGTGGCCTCCATCCCCCAGGTCTGCATTAAAGGCCCATGTCATCCAGCTTCCTCCAGCTTCCTCCAGCAAGACCACGTTTCCTAATAGTGTCACTCTCTATGAGCTTATGGGGGCCAAATACATTCAAACTACCACGTGAACCTTCCTAATGCTGTGACCCTTTAATACAGTTCCTCATGCTGTGACCCCCAACCATAACATGATTTTCATTGTTACTTCATAACTGTAATTTTGCTATGTTATAAATCGTAATATAAATATTTTTGGAGGTAGAGGTTAGCCAAAGGATTCACGACCCACAGGTTGAGAACTGCTGGCTTAGAATGATGTTTCGAAGTATTCTGAGGCTTGAAGAGTAGTAGAGTCCTAGAAAAATTGTACTTGATAGTGTTTGATTTATATGATTGCATTTCTTCTTTTAAAACAACAGCAGTGGGTTGGGGATTTAGCTCAGTGGTAGAGTGTTTGCCTAGCAAGCGCAAGGCCCTGGGTTCGGTCCTCAGCTCTGGGAAAAAAAAACAAAAACAAAAAACCAAGAGAACAAAAAAACAAAACAACAGCAGCACTATCTCTTGGAGATTCAATTCTAGACTTCATTTGAAGTCCCTCTACTTAATACATCAGTCCTCCTAGTGTCAGGAGTCTCAATTACGTGAGCACATTACACCTTAACAGAGGATAAATGCAGTCAGCCAGGGCTACACAGTGATCTCTGTGAGTTCAAGGCCAGCCCGGCCGACTTAGTGAGACCCTGTGTCAAAGAGAAAAGTTTAAAAAGGGCGGGAGAATATAGTGCAGTGGTAGAGCTGAACATACGAAGTTCAGAATCAAACAGCTCTAGGTGGGGCTCTGATTAGAACCTTTAGTTTTGTTCCACCTCTCCGTTTTGTTTTGTGTTTGAGACAGGGTTTCACTGTGTAACCCTGGCTGTCCTGGAACTATGTAGACCAGGCTGCCCTTGAACTCCCAGAGATCTGCCTGCCTCTGCCTCCTGAGTGCTGGGATTCAAGGTGTGTGTCACCACTGCCACCAGGCTTGAGCTCTACTTTTTTTTATTAGTTATTTTACAAGAGCAGAGCTGATTTGTTGGTTGGCAGGGCAGTTATCCTGCCCTGTGTGTTCATGCTTGTAGAGGTCAGAGTTTCATTTCTTGGGTGTCCTTTCTCTGACACTGTCCAGCGTTTGGTGGAAACCCTGATCTTTTACAGTCCTAGGATTCATCAAGTAGGCTAGGCTGGCTGGCCACCTTGGCTGGCCTTTTTAAAACAAGGGTTCTGGCCGGGCGGTGGTGGCGCACGCCTTTAATCCCAGCACTCGGGAGGCAGAGCCAGGCGGATCTCTGTGAGTTCGAGGCCAGCCTGGTCTACAGAGCGAGATCCAGGAAAGGCGCAAAGCTACACGGAGAAACCCTGTCTCGAAAAACCAAAAAAAAAAAAAAAACAAAAAAAAACAAAACAAGGCTTCTGTAAATTTGAACCCAGGTCCTCATGCTTGCTTCTACACGAGTACTTTCCCGAGCCACCTCCCTCACACTAGTTTTTATTGTGATTAAAAAATATTACAGGGGGCTGAGGTGGTAGTTTAGTCCCGGAATGTTTTCTTAGTATGCGCAACGTCCAAGTGCAGGTTCAGTCACCACACGTACAAAAGAAGATCAGACAAGGCTAGGACTCCCAGCCTGTATTTTTTAAGTATTAAAAGCTACACATTTAAGTGTCACATCCATTGCCTCTTATCAAATATTTTGTAGTAGAGGCAGAAGAATCGAACTGCACCTCCCTGGTCTGTTTTGTTTTCTTTCTGAGACAGTGTTACTATGTAGCCCACACTGCCTTAGAACTTTCTGTAGCTGGCTTCAGACTCCAGTTCCTCCTGCCTTAGTCTTCTAAGCACTTGGATAGTCAGCATTGGTGATTCTCTGATAGAACTCTTACCTGCCAAGCACTAGGACTATAGATGTATGTTACTGTATCTGGCAAGAATCCTTTTTAGAAGGACAACTCTTACAGATTTTAATTGTGCCCTTGGAATAGTAATAAGGTATTTAATATATTATCACTATGTTTAATTGACATTAATATACTTAATTCTGTATCTGATTCAGTGGGTAAAGGCACCTGCCTGATGACCTGAGTTCAGTCCCCCATGTCAGCATGGTGGACAAGAGAATTGACTCCTGCAGGTCCTTCTCTGACCTCCACACATGCACTGTGACATGCACATGCCCATATATACACAGAAAATCAATAAAATGGAATTTAGAACTTAGAAGAAAAAAGATTCCTATAGGCTGGATGGCAAAAATTGATCATAAATAACCAATGGATACTTAAGAGAAAAAAGAAACTAAGAAATACTAAATAATTGGCGAAAGAGCATGTAAAAAAAATCATTCTGATCGGAAACACAGGAGTGATATCAATAAGAAAAACTTTAAAGTAGAAATGAAATGTCTGTAGAAACGAAGGATGAATAGCAGATTTGCTGGGGGATAAGCTGAACCATGGCCTGGAGTTGTTAAGAGTGCCTAGCATGCCTTCTCTTGTAGAACAGTCCACTGTGTATGAGTGAACATGGGCAGGTTTTCATGGAACTCTGAAATTTTTCCTTAAAATTATTTTGAAGGAACCACACCCTCCAAGATTATCAGCAGAAGAAGCTATACAAAAGCAGACCAAAACAGAAGTTGCAACCCTAAACCTCTTTCAGCACCTCCCTGAACTGAAGTCATTTTTTATAGAGGTAAAACCCAACTTGGTAATGTCGGAGACTTTTCTCCAATCCTGTGTTTGTACATGTGTGTGTAGGTGTGCTCATCTGTGCCTACAGTTGTACCACCTGTGTGGTGTGTGCATATCTGTACAGGCCTATAGTTGTATCACTTATTTGTGAAAAGCCAAAGGTCAACTCGAGTATTTTCCTTTATTGTTCTCTTCACCTTATTTTTATTTATTTATTTTACATCCCAACTGCAGTTTCCCCTCCTCCCAGTCTATCCCCCAAACCTCTCCTCCTCCATTTCTCTTCAGAAAGGGGCAGGCCTCCCATGGGTATCAACAAAGCATGGCATATCAAGTTGCAGTAACACTAAGCACCTCCCCTGGTATTAAGGCTGGGCAAGGCGACCCAGTATGAGGAGTAGGGTCCCAAAAGCCAGTAAAAGAGTTGGAGACTTCCCTCACTCCCAGTGTCAAGAGTCCCACAAGAAGACCAAGCTACAAAACTGTAACATATGTGCAGAGGACCTAGGTCAGTCCATGCAGGCTCCCTGGTTGTCAGTTCAGACTCTATGAGCTCCCACGAGCCCAGATTAGTTGATTTTCTGTGTTTCCTTATGATGTCCTGACCACTCTGGCTCCTACAATCCTTCCTCCTTCCCTTCAGCAAGATTCCCTGAACTCGGCCTAATGTTTGGCTATGGGTCTGCATCTGTTTCCATCAGTTGTTGGATGAAGCCTCTCTGATGACAATTGGGATACTCACCAGTCTATGAGTACAGCAGAATATCATTAGGAATCATTTCATTGATACTTTTTTTTTCTCCAGTCAGGTGTGGGTCTGTCCTAGGTCTCTGAGTCATTCAACCTCTGGGTCCTGGTGCTCCAGGCAGTGTCAGGGGTGGGCTCACTCTTGTAACATGGGTCTGAAAAGAGTCTTTGCTTGGCCGCTCCCACAACCTCTGTGTCATCCTTACCCTAGCACATCCCATAGGCAGGACAGACTGTAGATCAAAGGTTATGTGGCTGGGTTGATGTCCCAGTCTCTCCACTAGAAGTCTTGCCTGGTCACAGGAGATAGCCAGTTCAGGCTACATATCTGCTGTTGCTTGTAGTCTTAGTTAGAGTCATCCTTGTAGATTCCTGGGAGTTTCTCTTGCACCAGGTTTTACCCTGTCCCTGAAAGGCCCCCACCTGATCCCTCCTGTTCTCATCCCCATCGGATCCAGTCCACCCTTGAAATCTATTCTGTTTCCCTTCCCAGGGAGATCCGTGCATCTCCCCTTGAGCCCTCCTTGTTACCTGGCCTCTCTACCTCTGTGGATTGTAGCATGGTTATCCTTTACAGCTAGTATCCACTTATAAGTGAGAACATACCATGCTTGTCTTGCTGGGTTTAGATTACCTCACTCAGGACAATTTTTTTTTTTTCTAGTTCAATCCATTTGCCTGCAGATTTCATGATGTCATTGTTTTTAACAGCTTAGTAATACCCCATTATGTAAATATACCACATTTTCTTTATCCATTCTTTCAGTTAAGGGAGGTCTAGGTTGTTTACAGGTTCTGGCTATTACAAATAAAGCTGGTATGAACACAGCTAAGCAAGTGACCTTGTGGGCACACCTTTTGGGTATATGCCCAAGATTGGTATAGCCGGTTCTTGGGGTAGATCAATTCCCATTTTTCTGAGAAGTCATCATATTGATTTCAAAAGTGGCTGTACAAGTTTGCACTCCCACTAACAATGGAGGAGTGTTCCCTTTGTTCCACATCCTCCACATCCATCCAGCATTTGATCTTAGCCATTCTGACAGGTGTAAGATGGTATCTCAGAGTTGTTTTGATTTGCTTTTCCCTGATGGCTATGGATATTGAACAGTTTCTCAGCCATTTAACATTCTTCTGTTGAGAACTCTCTTTATATCTATACCCCATTTTTTAATTTTTTTTTTTTTGATGTCTAGTTTCTTGAGTTCTTTATTTTTTTTGGAAATCTGCCCTCTTTTGGATGTGGGGTTGGTAAAGATCTTTTCCCATTCTGTAGGCTGTCCTATTGACAGTGCCCTTTAAAGGCTTACGGAAGCTTTTTAGTTTCATGAGGTCCCATTTATAAATTATTGATCTTAGTGCCTACACTATTGGTATTCCAGTCAGGAAGTTGTCTCCTGTGCCAATATATTTAAGGCTATTTCCCACTCTCTCTTCTATCAGATTCAGTGCATCTGGATTTATGTTGAGGTCTTTGATCTACTTGGACTTGAGTTTTGTTCAGGGTGATAGATATGGATCTATTTGCATTCTTCTACATGCTGACATCCAGTTAGACCAGGACCATTTGTTAAAGATGCTTTATTATTTGACTTCTTTGTCAAAAATCAAGAGTCCAAAGGTATGTGGATTTACGTCTGGGTCTTCGATTGGATTCCATTGATCATCTGTCTGTTTTTATGCCAATGCCATGTGGTTTTTACTACTATTGCTCTGTAGTATAGGTTAAATCAGGGATGGTGATACCTCTGGAAGTTCTTTGATTGTACAAGATGGTTTTAGCTATCCTAAATTTTCTGTTTTTCCATATGAAGTTGAGTATTGTTCTTTTGAGGCCTGTAAACAATTGTATAGGAATTTTAATGGGGATTGCATTGAATCTGTATATTCCTTTTGGTAAAATGGTCATTATTCCTGTGTTAATCCTACCAATCCATGAACATAGGAGATCATTCCATCTTCTGCTATCTTCTTCCATTTCTTTCTTCAAAGTCTTGAAGTTCTTGTCTTTCACTTGCTTTGTTAGAGTTACCCCAAAATAGTTTATATTATTTGTGGCTATTATGAAGGGTGTTGTTTCCCTGATTTCTTTCTTGGCCCATTTATCATTTGTGTATAGGAGGGCTACTGATGTTTTTTTTTTAGTTAATCTTGTATCCAGCCACTTCACTAAAGGTGTTTATCAGTTGTAGGAGTTCCCTGGTAGAATTTTGGGGGTTGCTATGTATATTATCATATCATCTGCAAATAATGATACTTTGGCTTCTTCCTTCCCAATTTGTATCCCCTTGATTTCCTTTAGTTGTTTTATTGCTTTACCTAGAATTTCAAGTACTCTTTTGAATAGATATGGAGAGAGAGGACAGGACAGCCTTGTCTTGTTCCTGATTTTAGTGGAATCGCTTTGAGTTTCTCTCCATATAATTTGATGTTGGCTATTGGCTTGCTGTATATTGCCTTTATTATGTATATCCCTTGTATCCTTGATCTCTCCAAGATTTTTATCATGAAGGGGTATTAGATTTTGTCAAAGGCTTTTTCAGCATCTGTTGAGATGATCATGTGATTATTTTTCTTTCAGTTTGTTTATATGGTGGGTTACATTGACAGATTTTCATATGTTAATCCATCCCTGCATCTCTGGGATGGAGCCTACTTAATCATGGTGGATGATCTTTTTGCTGTATTCTTGGATTCTGTTTGTGAGTATTTTATTGAGTATTTTTGCATCATTGTTCATGCGGGAAATTAGTCTGTAATTCTATTTCTTTGTTGAGTCTTTGTGTGGTTTGTATATCAGGGTGACTAAGGCCTCATGAAAAGAATTTGGCAGTGTTCCTTCTGTTTCTATTTTGTGGAATAATTTGAGGAATATTGATATTAGGTCTTCTTTGAAAGTATGGTAAAATTCTGTGCTAAAACCGTCTGGCCCTGGGCTCTTTTTTTTTTTGTTGGGAAACTTTTGATGACTGCTTCTTTTTCCTTAGGGGTTGTAGGTCTATTCAAACTGTTTATCTGATCTAGATCTAATTTTGGTATGTAATATCTATCAAGAAATTTGTCCATTTCTTTTAGATTTTTCCCAGTTTTGTAGAGTACAGGTTTTGAAATATGACCTAATGATTGTCTGGATTTCCTCAGTGTCTGTTGCTAATATCCCTCTTTTCATTTCTGACCCATTAATTTGGATATTCTCTTTGTCTTTTAGTTTGGATAAGGCTCTATGTAAGCACGAGCTTGACTTCTCCATGTTCAATGAGTTGTGTAGGTATTGTCTTCAGCAATGGGGCTTTGCTGGCAGTTTGTGGAATGCAGCTTAGCAACAGCCTTGATTTTTGGGGGGTTCCCATGGGCCAACAACTCAATTAGATGTAACCCAGTTCTGGAAGCTTCATTTGGTGACAAGAGATGTCCAGTTGGGACTCTGTCTTCCCCATTATTTGGTGATTTCATTGAGATCACTCTCACATATGTATGCATTTTAAGAAACTTCTGCTGTATTAGGTTTCTATACTCCTCCTCAGATGGTCCTTAATTTTAGCTGTCTCTCCCTGTATTCCCTCCCTCATCCACCTCTCCCCTCCACCTCCCCACTTGATCCTCCTGTTTCAGCCCCCACCTCCCATCCATCTATAACTGCTTATTCTGTTTTGCTTTTCTAGGCAGATCTATCTGTCCACTCCAGTCCTTTAGTTATCATTGACTAAACAGCTAATATCTACATAGAAGCAAATACATAGCATATTTGTCTTACTAGGTCTGCTGATTTTTGTTTTTTCTTGTTCTGTATCCATTTACCTATGATTTTCATTTTTTTTCAATGTCTGAATAATATTTCATTGTGTAAATGTACCATACTTTCTTTATCCATGTTTTAGTTGAGGGACATGTAAATTGTTTCCAGTTTCTAGCTTTTATGAGTAGAGCAGCTATAAATATGCTTGAGGCAATGTCTCAGTGGTAGGATGAAGCATCCCAAGAGCAGTATAGCTGGATCTTGAGGTCCATCAATTCCATCTTCCGGAGGAAGCTCCACATTGACTTCCATAGTGGCTGTACAAGCTTGCACTCCCGTCAGCAATGGAGGGATGTTCCCTTGGCTCCTCATTCTCACCAGCAAAAGTTGTCACCTGTGTAATTGATCTTAGCCATTCTGACAGGTGAAAGATGAAATCGCAAAGTAGATTTGCATTTCCCTGATAGCTAATGATGTTGAACATTTCTTCCATTTGAATTTCCTCTTTTGAGAATTCTGTTTAGATCTGTACCCTGTTTTTTAAATTGGGTTATTTGTTTCCTTGATATATTTATAATTTTAATTTTGAGTCCTTTAAATATTTTGGATATTAACCCTTTATTAGATATGTAGCTGGTTTTAAAAAAAAGAAAGAAAGAAAAATTTTTCCCCATTCTGTGGTCTTCCACTTTGTCCAAATGATGCTGTCTTTTGCTGTACAGAAGCTTTTCTGTCCTGCTAAGTCCAGTTTACTAATTGTTGGTCTTCGTGCCTGTGCCAGTGAGCTCAGCACTGTTCCCCACTTCCTCCTCTGTCAGATTCAGTGTGTCTGGGTGTGTTGACGTCTTTCATCCAGTTAGAATGGAGTTTTGTGCAGGCTGCTAACTATAGTTCTACTTGGAGTCTTCTGTATGCAGCCATCTGGTTTGACCAGCACCATTTGTTGAAGATGTCTTGTTTCCGGTGTATGTTTCTGCCTTCTTTATCAAAATTCAGGTGTTTGTAGGTGTATGGATTTATGTCTGGGTCTTTGGTTCTATTGCATTGATCAATGTGCCTGTTTTTGGCAAACTAGATGTTTTGTGTCGGGATTTTTTTTTTTTTAGATTTAACATTTTCTTTGACCAAAGTGTCCATTTCTTCTTCATGTCTTTAATGCCTGAAATTCTCTCTTCCTTCTCCTATTCTGTTGGCGAGGCTTGCTCCTGATGTTCCTGTTTGAGTATCTAAATTTTTCAGTTCCAGATTTCCATGAGTTTGAGTTTTCTTTATTAATTCTATTTTTATTTTCTTGTCTTGAATGGATCAGTGTTTGTTTGTGTTTTTGTAGGTTTCTTTTAAGGGGTTTGTTCCTTTCCACTTTGAGGACCATTATCATACACATAAAGGCTAGTTGAAGGTTTTGGGTTTTTGTTGTTGTTTGGGGGGGGTTGTTGTTTTGTTTGTTTTTTGTTGTTTTTTTTTTTTTTTGAGACAGGGTTTCTCTGTGTAGCTTTGGAGCCTGTCCTGGAACTCACTCTGTAGCTCACAGAGATCCACCTGCCTCTGCCTCCCGTGTACTGGGATTAAAGGCGTGCGCCACCACCTCTCGGCAAGGTTTCTATGCTCAGGGTCTACTGTGATAGAGTTGCTGGGCTCTAGTGGAGACATTGTCCTGGCTGTTATTGATTGTGTTTTTCTGCTGGTGTCTAGGTATCTGGGTTTGGGAAGATTGTAATTCTAGGTGCTGATATCTATCTGATCTTGTCTTTGTTGGGTGGGTATTTTGTTCCTTGGTTTCTGTTTCCTCTCTGATTCTTAGGAGAGTGTGGTGGCTGTGTGTTGCTAAGAGTCCTGATAGGTATGGCCACTGGGGGTTCCAGGTAAAATGTATTTCTAGGTATTGGGAGCTGACACTTAGGAATGGGGATTGGCTGACGGGGGCACTGAGAGGGGTCCACAGTAGGGAGGAAAGCAAGGCATTGCACCCAGGATCTGCTTAGTCCCCTGGGAATGGGAGCAGAGGTTTCTAGGTATTGGGAACTGGCACTTAGATATGGAGGTAGGCTACAGGGAACTGACAGCAAGGTCAGGATCTGCTTAGTCGTCTGGGAATGGGGCAGACTTAGGATTGACTTGGAGGAATGGAGGAAGAGGGGAAGATCTTCAGTTAGCCTACTTACTTTCCTGCTGGTTCCCAGGGCACGACTGCTGTGGTTGGAAGCTGGGATACAGCCATGAGTGGGAGGAGGGAGGTTAGAAGGGAAGATCTGTATAATCCACTGGAGATGGGGAGGGTGTGAAAGGAGGCTCAGCAGGCAGTCTACAGAGCTGGGGGGGAGACTTAGGTTGAGGGAGAGCTCCAGATCTACATTTAGCCTACTTGCTTCCCTGGCTTGAATCACAAATGGCTCTTGATTTACAATTTGAAGAGAAAAGCAGTTTCTATGAATTTTATAACATTATTTATTGTATTTCATAGCATTATTAGTTCTTATAGCCCTCTTAGAATAATACTTGGTACATGGTATATATTCAGTAATGTTATGATAAACGTTAGCTGTCATTTTTAAACTACAGACACATCAGAAAAATACATTCAAATTATTGTTATTTTGCATTGTGGTAAGATGATGGTAATTGTTTCCTCAGAATGATATTTATTTTTGGATCATAAAATATGATTTTCATAACATAAGACTTTCAGAAAGAACCTCAGTTTGCAAAATAGATCAATGTTTTTGATGTAAAGCCCAAAAGATTTTTCTATAAATTATAAACAACTTTCTCATTTAACTTACTACCTCTGCATTATGTTTGTGTCAGTACAGCAGGGGCAGGGAAAGATCCTAAATTTCTCTGTTTTAAATGATTGCTGCTCCTTGGCATCTACATCTGTTCCCCAACAGAGGACTGGAATAGACAGGGATTGGTTTCAGATGATTCGAGTGTGCTGGGTATTCAAACATAGCATATAATTCCTTTCCCACATTTTATATTAAATTATTACATCATCAGGTAGAGTAAAATGAGGTATTGTAGGGATCCCTGTCTAAACAATAGAAATTTTCAATAATTTAGTACCTAATAAAATGAACAAAACCAGCCATTAAATGCCTTTTATTTTACAGGGAATTAGTGATGGTATTCCTCTATTAAAGGCCATCATCCCTAAAAATCAATCTCGTTCTTTTATGTCTCAAGGCAGCCCTGAGTTACTGGTAAGTTGATGTATACCTATTTCATATTGCTATGTCTGTATTCATTAGTTTACCAGAAATAGGAATGAATGTAAAAATATTTCCGTTACATTCCTAAACTTCATCGTGTGTGTGTGTGTGTGTGTGTGTGTGTGTGTGTGTGTGTGTGTGTGTTGGGGGGTGAGGGTGTGCACATGCATCTGGAGGTCAGGGGACAGCTTGTGCGAGCTGATTCTCTCCTTTCATGTGGGAGAAATTGAGTTTTAGTCCTCAGGATTGGTGGCAAACTTATGCTTCTAAGCTGTCTCATTGACCAATAATAGACTTTTGAAAAGAAAATTTTAGTATATTTTATGTGTGTGGATATTCGATGTGTACTGTGTACACATGCCTGGTTCCTGCGGAGGTCAGAAGAGGGCATCAGATTTTCTGGAACTGGAGTTATAGATAGTTATGAGCCACCAGGTGGGGGCCAGAATTCAAACCTTAAGTCCTCTGGAAAAGCAGCCAGTGCTCTTAACTTCTGAGCCACCTTTCCAGCCCCTGAAAGAATATTTTTAAAATAATCAAGAAGGCTACAAGGATAGCTTCATGGTAGAGCACCTGCCTAGCATGAGTGAGGTCCTAGATTTGATCTTCAGCATTACAAAAATAATGGAGAAATTCGTTACGAAAGTAATTTGATTAAATATAAAATATATCTTCTGTATATTTTGCTTTAATTATAACATTTATCTGGAAAAATAAATCCATGGAAATAGCTAGGAGCCTTATCACGATAATTGTACTAACAATAATCAGAACTAAATCAGGTCTTGTTAAGGTCTTCTAGGGCATTTCAGTGGGTGTTTTACACAAATTTTTATTTAGCCTACCCAACAGCCCTGTGAAGTAGCACTATATGTTCCTTTTACAGATAAATTAAGTCCCAGAGAGCTGGCAAATAGGGATCTGAGACCTTGGCACATGAACTAATCCTAGGTTTGTCTTACTCTAATTCTGTAAGTGTGATAGAAGTGTGCTATAGCACAGTAAACAGTAGGGACTGCAGAATTAGATTGCTTTTTATAATGTATCTATTGTGCTTGATTAGAAAAAGAGTCTAGAAATACATACAGTAGTCCTGATAGTAGTTTTTAATGGTAAGATTCTGTAATTTTCAACTCTAAAACCTGTGTGAGTGTGTGTGTGTGTGTTTAGGGGGAGGGGTGGGTTGGGGATTGAGTTTGAGACAGGGTTTCTCTTTGTATAGCTCTGGAACTTGATTGGTAGACCAGGCTGGCCTTGAACTCACAGAGATCTACCTGCCTCTGCCTCCCAAGTGCTAGTAAAACCATTGTTTTTTTTTGTTTTTTTGGTTTTTTTTTTTGTATTTTTCGAGACAGGGTTTCTCTGTGTAGCTTTGCGCCTTTCCTGGAACTCACTTGGTAGTCCAGGCTGGCCTCGAACTCATAGAAATCCTCCTGGCTCTGCCTCCCGAGTGCTGGGATTAAAGGCGTGCGCCACCACCGCTCGGCCATTGTTTTTTTTTTTAAGTTACCTGAATTGGGGCATGGGTAACGTGTTGTTTTATAATTGAAGGAGTAAAAAGTTTTTCACTCTTAAAATCAAGTACACACTAATACTGTTGTTTCAGGGACATTTTAACGGTTTGTCAACTCTCCTATTAGATCTAAGTGATAGTTACGTCATATTTGTCATGGTAAAGGTAACCTCAGTTTCCTCTGAATGTTAACACTAATGCTAGTAACCTGAGAAATTAAGATGAAAAGTAATTAGCTAAAGAAAACAACTATTCTTACAGTAAGCTGTAAGTAGGGTTTTCCACTTGAATTATTTAAGATTTGGTTTCATGTTTCTTACACTGTTCTCCAAATGATAGATGTCAAAATCTGTGAGCATCTGGTTACTCTTAACCACATTCTTTAATCTTTTATTTATTTGAGTTTTCATATGTTCTTTTTCAGGTAACAATAAGCATGAATTATGTTATTGGAACCCATGGATGGCTACCTTATGACAGAAACATTTCTAACTACTTCACCTTCATCAAGGATCAAACTGTGACTAACCCGAAGTAAGTAATGAACAGCTAATGGGTTTTGTTGATGTTGTTGTTGGAGGGTTTTTGTTTTTAGGTTTTAGTTTTTTGCCTGAGACTGGATTTCTCTGTTCTGGGGTCTGGCTGTCCTGGAACTCACTCTGTGGACCAGGCTGGCCTCGAACTCACAGAGATCCACCTGCCTTTGCCCCCCTGAGTGCTGGGATGAAAGGTGTGCACCACCACCGCGCAGTGATTCCTGTATTTTTAAAGTAATGCTTTGAGACACCAATTTTCTCTTTTTTCTCACTTTGCCTCTCCTTCTCTCTGGTTTTAAGTTATAACCTGACAGTATTTGGCATTCAGACATTGCTAAATTCCTGTTATAACTAATATAGAATAAAATATTACAATGGAAATGGTAAATGGTCATATTATTCTTTACTACTTACAAGTAATCTTTATTTGGGTTTTTTGTTTTTAGGCGTTGTCTCATTACATAACTCTCCTGGAACTCACTCTGGAGACCAGTCTGGCCTCAAACTAACAGCAATTTTCATGCCTCCTGAGTGCTAGGGTTCAATACTGTACCATCCTCCTGTCTGAGAGATATTTTACTGTTGGTAATAGTCTAAGTGATCTCTTAAGGAAAATTCTAAAATTCAATTGTGTTTACAGAGCTCAGCGAACTGTGAATGGTCCTTTTGCTCCTGGGCTGGAAATTACTTCTAAACTTTTTGTGGTTTCACATGATGCAAAGTTGCTCTTCAGTGCTGGACACTGGGATAATAGTATCCAAGTAATGTCACTTACCAAAGGCAAAATTGTCTCACATAACATCCGACATATAGGTAAGAATGAACTTTTCCACAAACCTGCTTCTTCTTCTGTGTTTTCAACTGTGTAGAAGTGGCACATGCTCCTGATAGGAATACTTACTATATTGGGGGTACATTCAAGCACCATATAAATTAAGTATATCTTCATGTTACATTAGAAGATATTAAACCGAGTTTTATTAAGTTAGATGGTAGACATAATGATTTTGTGGCTATATAATAAAAATTTGTCATCATTAGATAAAGTCATTATTAACCGGGAGGCAGAGGCAGGCAGATCTCTGTGAGTTTGAGGCCAACCTGGGCTACCAAGTGAGTTCCAGGAAAGGCGCAAAGCTACACAGAGAAATTCTGTCTCGAAAAACCAACCAAAAAAAAAAGACATTATTAACAGTAAAGTATGACGGTTAAAATTGCTGAATATATATTAACCTGGTATATCTTAGTATTTCAGGCCTTGGTATAGCAATAAAAGTTTTGATAGTCGGCGGTGGTGCACGCCTTTAATCCCAGCACTCAGGAGGCAGAGTCAGGCGGATCTCTGTGAGTTCGAGGCCAGCTTGGTCTACAGAGCAAGATCCATGACAGTCACCAAAACTACACAGAGAAACAAAACAAAACAAAAATAATAGTAGAAGTTTTTTCTCAATAATCTTGTTAAATGAGGGTAATGGAGTCTGCTGCTAACTCTACTGGTGTTTTTTTGTTTCTGCTGCTAACTCTACTGGTGTTTTTTTGTTTTTATTTTGTTTAGATAACATTTTTTTTACATATCATTTTACATATTGACCGCTGTCGTCCCTACTTTCCCCCTCATTCAGAAAGGGACAGGCCTCCCATGGGCTGGAAAAAAACATGGCACATCAAAGTTGAGGCAGGACCCAGCTCCTCCCCTTGTGTCAAGGCTGAGTGAGATAGTTCAGCATGGGGAACAGGTTCCCAAAAGCCAGCTAAGCACCAGGACAGGTCCTGATCTCACTGCTAGGAGACTTACAAACAGACCAAGCTACACAACTGTCACACACATGCAGAGGGCCTAGGTCAGTCCCATGCAGACTCCCTAACTGTTGGTCCAGAGTCCATGAGCTCCCACGAGCTCAGGTGAGCTGTTTCTGTGGGTTACCCCACCATGACCCCCTGGCTCCTACAATCCCTCCTCCCTTTCTTCAAAAGACTCCTGGAGCACAGCCCAGTGTTTAGCTGTGGATCTCTGCATCTGCTTCCATCAGTTATCTCTGATGGCAATTAAGGTAGTCACCAATCTGATTACATCTACTGATGATTTCTAAGGTATCACTTAGTGTAGCTGATTATGGAACTATTCCAGAAAGTTGGAGGTGGGGCATGGAGTTTTGTTTCTTTGTTTTCATTTTTGTTTTTTGAGACAGGGTTTCTCTGTGTAGCCCTGGCTGTCCTGGATCTCACTCTGTAGCCCAGGCTGGCCTCAAAGTCATAAAGATCCGCCTGCCTCTGCCTCCCAAGTGCTGGAATTAAAGATGTGCACCACCACTGCCTAGTTAGAAACTGCTTTTTATGTTACGAATTTGCAGCATAATATGTACTGTCTTTTGTATTTATTTGTTTGTTTGTTTGTTGTATGTGTATGAGTGTTTTGTCTGCATATTTTTATGTATATATGTACTGTCTTTATTTATTATATGTGAATGAGTGTTTTGTCTGCATGTTTATCTGTATACCACATGTGTGCAGCACCTGCTGAGTCTAAAGAGGTCAACGGATCCCCTGGGACTGGAATTATAGATAGTTGTCAGCATTTATATAGGTGCTAGGAATCAAACCTAAGTTCTCTGGAAGATAGTCCATAAAATATTAACTGCTATCTGTCAAGCCCCTGTACTGTTTTTTTAAGGATCCATTCCATAAGATAGCAATTTTCAATGGGAGGAGAATGTGAATGGGGTGAGGGAGCAGAAAACATAGCTATGGGTCCATTCTCAGGTCTCTGATCGCCCACGATGCTAGCCACTATTAAACACTTAGCACATCACATCTCACCAGAATGAGTGGTCTCAGGGAAGTCTCTCCAGATGACTTCGACCCTGCAGATGTCCTGTTACTCTGGCCTGATGTTTTTTGTTACCTTTTAAATATTTTGTGTATGGGGGCGGGCACACATGCATGTGCACGTGGAAGTTAGAGGACTGCTTGCCCGCGTCTGTCTCTCCTGCGATGTGTGTCCAAAGGGACTAGTGCAGGTCCCCAGTCTCGGCAGCAGCTTCCTTCATTGCTGAGCCATTTGCCAGCCTGCCTTAGTGATAATTTGAACATTAACTGAGATTGCCCTTAAAGTTCTGTTCTGTCAAGACAGACCCATTTTATTTTATTCTTTCTTCAAACAGACATTGTGACTTGCTTAGCTACAGATTACTGTGGAATACACTTGATTTCTGGTTCCAGGGACACTACATGTATGATATGGCAGATAACACAACAGGTAATAATAACCCCTTTTATGTTCTTGGACTGGGATGACAGGTTTTTCTCTGGTAGTAAATGCCATTTTGAAAGTTTTGTATTCTGTTTTCTGAGTTCTGACCTGTTTGGAGCACCACTCTTTTCTAGCTTTGTTGTCTGATTCATGGCTTTCTTCTCTGGTAGTTGCCAAAAATGACTCATTGCCAACTTCTCTAGGACACTACTATGATAACATAATGACATTCCTCCTATCCTTCCTGGTGGAACTGTAGACGTTACAGGTATTCTTCTCTCTGTTGTATTCTTACGACATTGGCTTAGAGAGGATTTTTAAAAATGCTTTCTAAGTTTTCTACCTTGTTAACAGGCTGTCTCACACCTCATTTTCTCTTCTGCCTCTTGTATTTATAATTACAATATTGATAGTTTTGGTGTTTTATAATACATCACCTGTGACTCAGAAGAAAGCAAGTATTGTTTACCCAGTCAATTAATTTTTTTCTAGGCTCCCTATTCCTTTCCAATTACCTACTTTTATATGACTGCCGAAGTGTTTTTGCTTTAGTAACTAAATGTTTGTTTAGATAGATTCCTCTTTCATGCTTCCTTTACTTCAATTTTTTCCTCCGATTCTTTTGAATGAGCATTTATTTTTATTAGAACTTTTAGGCAGATGGTTCAGTGGATAAAGTTCTTGCTGCACAAGCATGAGACCCTGGGTTCAGATCTTCAGTGTCCATGTAACCATAGGGCATATCAGTGTGCCTATAACTCTAGTACCGGGCAGGGGAGCAGATATAGGAGAATCCCAGCAGTTTAGGAGTCCGCCAGCCTCGTGGAAATGACAAGCTCCAGGTTCAGTGAGAGATTGTCCTAAAAATTAAGGAAGAGAAGCGATTGAAGATATCATGACATCAGCCCCTGGTTTCCACACATGCATGCACAGCCCCCACCACACGCATACACTACATACTTTCTCACACAAAACCTTCTTTTAAAATTCTGTAGTAGTCTTACTGAACTTAACTGGGCATGGTGAATGATCATCACAAACTCAAGGCCTGAGCCTTTTGTTGTTAATTTTTGAGATTCTAACTTAATTACACCATTTCTCCCTTTCCTTTCCTCTGTCCAAACCTTCCCATAAACCCTCCCCACTCTGCATCATATTTCATGGCCTCTTTTTCATTAATCACTGTTGCATGTATGTATGTACTTGTATATACACATTCCTAATATAGCCTGTCAAGTCCATATAATGTTACTTGTGTGTGTGTTTTAAGAATTGACTGTGCTGGACAACCAGTTGGTGTGCTCTTCCTGGGAAGGCCGTCTCTCCTCTCCTAGTTTTCCTCAACTGCCTGTTGTTCTCTGTGTAGGGTTGAGACCCCATCTTTCCCATCCGATTTGGCATGTCCATTGGTGTCATCCTTGTTCGGCTCACGTGTGGGCAGTTGTTGTACTGGTGACACTTAATGGTGTAGCTTCTGTTATCACTAGGAGACACAGTCTCACAGCACACTGCCTGGTCCTCTGGCTCTTACACTCTTTTGCGCCATCTTCTGCAATGATCACTGAGCCTTAGGTGCGGGAGTTGTTTATAGATGTTTTCCTTGGGACTGGGCTCTACAACTCTGCATTTTGATTGGTTGTGGTTTTCTGGAGTAGTCTCCGTCTGTCACAAAGAGAAATTTCCCTGATGATGGGTGAAGACTTATCTGTGAGTATGGAGACAAACATTTATAGATTGTTGTTAGGGATCGTGCTGGTTTAGTTAGTGATTGTAGATTCTCCTCCAATAACCATGGTAAGGCCTGGGCTTTATGATGACTCCAAGGCTAGTCTGATTTCCATAACAATACTCATCTAAAAAAGAACACAAAGAAAACTTTCCTTTTTTTTTTTTTGAGACAAAGAAAAAGAAACATAAAAAAGAAATTTTATTTAATTAATACTAATTTCCTGGCCTGGAACTCACAGAGATCTGCCTGTCTCTGCCTCCCAAGTGCTGGGATTAAAGGCATGGGCCACCACCGCCCAGCCCATGTATTGACATTTTTATAATTATTTTTACACAGAAATACAAAACACCTTTTCATTATTTCTCTCATACCCTTTTAATGTCTTTGGATAACCCCTTAATCACTTTATTTCCATTTGTGATCTATACTATGCTATATTTACTTTTGAGTGTTCTAATTTTACTTCTATTTTGATATTTTTAGAATAATTTTCATTTCTTACTGATTTTTACTGCTGTGAAGGAAAATTGTGCAGTGACATGATTGATTGATGTATTGTTATTCTTTTTTTGTTTCTCCAGACAGGGTTTCTCTGTGTAGTCCTGGCTGTCCTAGAACTCCCTCTGTAGACCAGGCTGGCCTCGAACTCACAGAGGTCCACCTGCCTCTGCCTCCAGAGTGCTGGGATTAAAGGCATGTGCCAGCACCACTGCGATGATGTATGGTTATCTTATTTTCACTAACTTTACCACATTTTTAAACTCACGGTAATTGACATTTTTGGATTTTTTGACCCTACGGTGGCTATACCATCATGTGATCTAGAAATAATGGTGACTTTCCCTGTTTTCCAACATATTATTTTTTTTTTAAAAAAAGATTTATTTATTTATTATGTATACAGCATGTATGACTGCATGCCAGAAGAGGGCACCAGATCTCATTACAGATGGTTGTGAGCCACCATGTGGTTGCTGGGAATTGAACTCAGGAGCTCTGGAAGAGCGGTCAGTGCTCTTAACCTCTGAGCCATCTCTCCAGCCCCCTCCAACATATTATTTTATTTGCTTATCCTATTACATTACAGTGGAGGTAGAACATGATAGTGCGCATGTCTGATTTTGATTGAAAGGGACTCCTCAGTTTTGCCGTTTGACAGTGTTTGCTGTCGGTTTTCATCAGGGTTGCATTTTATCTTTGGTTGCCTACCTTTTTCTATTTATATTTATACTTTGTTTTCTTCTACCTTTTGGTAACTTTTTAATTTTAATGAAATTTCACACTTACAGAAAAGTTGCAAAAATAATACATTTGTAGCTTTGTCTTAATATCTTCAGTCTCTGTCCCCTTTCAGCATCTTTATTTTTCTGACTGATTTAAGTGTTGGAAGTACTGTCTAGTCCATTGAGCACTTCTGTGTATGTCTTCCAAGAACAGAGAGTTTCTTCTTAAATTTTTTGTTATGATTATTTATTTACCTGTGTGTGGGTGATGTGCACATGCCATGGTGACTGTGTGGAGGTCAAACAACTTTTGGGGATCAGTTCTCTTCTTCCACCATGGGTGGTTCTGGGGACCAAACTTAGGGCATCATGCTTGGTGGCAAGTACCTTTACCTACAGGTCCATCCTGATAGCCCCAAAAGTCATTCTTCCACCACAGTGCAGTTCCTAAAACGAGAATGCTGAACATCTGTACAGTGCTCTTACCTGACCCGCAGTGTATGTTCTCACTTTGTCAGTGTTACCAGTAGTGTCCTCGAGAATTGTTTTTCTATCAGTACTTTCAGAGTTTCCTTTTTCTAAATGCAGTAAGTTACAAAATTTCTTAGATTTGAACTGCCTTGAATTCATATAATAAATTAATACTACTTATTTTTTTATTTTTTTAGTACTACTTATTTTTATTGATACCACATTTTGCTGTTGTATTTTATTTGCTAATACTATAAGTTTTTTTTAAACAAGGCCTCGCTTTTTTCTGTATTCTTAAAGGATTGATTTTTGTTTTATCATTACCATGTTTAATATTTGGAAATGCAACCTTTTTTTTAAATGAATTTAATGTTTCTTCTTTCACTTGAATTGTAAAGTTTTCTATTACTTTAATTACTTGATACAGGAGTGATCTTATTTGTAAATATTAAATTAAGTATATAGGGGAAATCACATGTATCTCAGGGAGTAGAATTTACAGGGGAATTTGTGTGTAATATAGAAACAGAGGTTCTAGACAGACTTACCTAAAATAAATATGAATAAAACAATATGACACATAACTGACATTCCTTTGAATATAGAATTAATGTAAACAAGGCAGTTTTAATGACAAAAGCTTTCTAGAGAAATTTTCTTCAATAAATTTGTATTATTAGCCTGCAGTTTCAGCCTATATAGAAGCTGAGGCAGGAGCATCACAAAGTCAAGGCTTGCCTGACTACAGAGTGGTAATTTAAAGTCAAACTGAGTAACTTAGTAATACTTATGTTTCAAAAATCATTTTTTAAAGACTGAGGACATAGCTCAGTGTTACAGCATCTGCATAGCATGCCTGAAGTCCTAATAAATGTTTAAAGCATCATTAGTGATGGTACACAATTAGATTTCTAGCAAGAGGATTGCTGGACAGCCAGCCAGGCTATGTGAAAAACAGCTCCAGACTCAGTGAGAAACCCTGTCTGTCTCAAGGGAGTCAGGCTACTGTGCATGCATACATACGAAATTAAGAAAAAGGATGATTGCTACACAAGTTAAAGCCAGGAGCTAGAGATGTGGCTCAGTGATTGACACTTACTGCTGTTTTTCCAGAGGACCCAGGTTTGATTCCCAGCACTCCTATCAGACTGCTCACAGCTGCCTGTAACTCTGGCTCCAGGGAATCTAGTGCCATCCTCTGACCTCCACAGGCATTCACACAAGACACACACACACACACACACACACACACACACACACACACACACATAATAAAAATTAAAGGCAAATCAGAATAAATATAATTGAGCTCCCTAAAGTACAGACTCCAGGACAGTGGTTCTCAACCTACCTAATTCTGAAACCCTTTAATACAGTTCCTCATGTTGTGGTGACCCCCCAACCATGAAATTATTGCTACTTCATAACTGTAATTTTGCCACTGTTATGAATTGTAATATCTGATATGCGAGATTCCCAAAGGGATTGTGACCCCACAGGTTGAGAACTGCTGCTCTAAGAAGTATTCATATATATAAAATGTTTATTTGAATTTAAGGAAGAATAAATTTGTAGGTTAAAAGAGCAAATATCTTGGAAAAATTAATCTAAGAAGTCAGTATTGATACCATTCCATTTAAGTCTTGGGCTGAGTATTAGTGTGAGTGAACTCAGTGGTTCTAACTACCTGTCATATTACTTTGTTAAGAGGAAGTTTGAATACAGTATAAACTTGGTTACAAAAAAAAACAAAAACAAGAGGCTTGGGAGCAGAGGGAACAAACAGCAAGACATCATCTCACCTTTATTTTCTTTTTAATTTTAGGGAGGCTCTCCTGTGGGCTTAGCGTCTAAGCCTTTTCAGATCCTTTACGGACACACGGATGAGATACTGAGTGTGGGCATCAGCACTGAACTCGACATGGCAGTGTCGGGGTCAAGGGTAAGATTGCACCTTGAAGAAACAATGTTTCTCTATAAATTGAGTAACAGTGTTTATATTTGAAAAGTTGTTTATGGAAATAGAACTTTTTTTTTTTTTTTTTTTTTTTCGAGACAGGGTTTCTCTGTGTAGCTTTGCGCCTTTCCTGGAACTCGCTTTGTAGCCCAGGCTGGCCTCGAACTCACAGAGATCCGCCTGGCTCTGCCTCCCGAGTGCTGGGATTAAAGGCGTGCGCCACCACCGCCCGGCGGAAATAGAACTTTTTAATATTTATTGTACGCATTGTTAAAGTAGAGTAATACAGAAAGAATAAACGTAAAAGAGGCTGTGTTGTATTTGGGGATCTTACTGGCTTACTAGTTAAGGAAGATGGCACTCTACAAGATACAATACAACTTACAATTCCAAGATTAGGGTGTTACCTAAAGCATGTAAGTCTTTTCTGGGATAATGAGTTCCTCAGTTTCTTTCCCACATTTCTTTATCCAGCCACTTTGCCCTTTCTTTTTTGTTTTGTGTTTTTCATTCTCTGACATTTCCTGTGTGTAGGACGGCACTGTGATTATACATACCATTCAGAAAGGTCAGTACATGAGGACGTTACGACCACCCTGTGAGAGTTCTCTGTTCCTGACCATTCCCGGTTTGGCCATATCTTGGGAAGGACACATTGTCATCTATTCCAGCTTGGAAGAAAAGTCCTCCCTCAAGGTATGTAGCACTTCTTTGCAGTAGGTGCAGGCCATCACTCATGTCTCCCTCTCCCCGCCACTGCAGAGACAGCTTGAGTAAGGAAATTCCTGTGGTGTAATTGTTCTTTCTCACTGTTAGATAAACTTCTGCTACAGTCTCGTCCTCATATTTTATTTTATTTTATTTCAGAGATTTCTTTTGGCCTAATATTATATATGGTTTCAAACGTAATATCTTATAGCTAAGGATCTAACTTGGTTGGTAGACTGCTTGCCTTGCAAGCCTGGAGCCCTAAGTTAAACCCCCAACCCCACGTACATAGCAATTTAAAAGCATTTTTTTAAAAATATATTTTAGTTTTTCAAGACAAGTTTTCTCTGTGTAGCCCTGGCTGTCCTGGAACTCACTCTGTAGACCAGGCTGGACTCAAACTTAGAGATCTGCCTGCCTCTGCCTCCTGGGTGCTGGAATGAAAGGTGTACGCCACCACCGCCCAGCAAAAAACCTAATTTTTGATATGAGGAATGTCATGAGCTTTAAGTAGCAGTGATAGCCAGCATAAGTTCTTTTGTGGGTAAGTCAGTGTAGAAATAAACTTGAACTCTATATATTCATTTCCTTTTAGTAATAAAGCTTTTAAGTATCAGGAGCATCTTTTTTAGGAATGTGGAATATTTTTGGACTGGAGAATATTTTAACTCTTAGTTGTTTCCATGGCAATGTGACGAAGTCAATCTGATATTGTCTGTATCCTTTTTCTTTAAATACAGCCATGTTTTTATTCCAAAAATCTTACTAATTATGTTAGTTTTAACTGACAATTTAAAAAACTCAGCTTTTATTCAAAATCCTTAAAGTTTCCTAATTCTTTATAGGATAAGAACATGTTACATGTGTTTTCTGTAAATGGAAGGTATCTGGGGTCTCAAGTCCTGAATGAGCAAATATCAGACATGTGCATAATTGGAGAACATGTTATCACTGGCAGCTTACAAGGGTTCCTGTCTGTAAGAGAGCTTCACGGGTAAGAAATTAAAATGTTCAAACTGTCTGAAGAAGAGGTAGCAGTAGGGGCTGGGAAGGTGGTTCAGTGGTGACAGTGCTTGCTCTGTAATATGAAGATGTGGGTTCTAATTCCCAGAGCGCGCACACACACACACACACACACACACAAAGCACAGTCATAATGTGAGCAGCTTACAGTTTCAGAGGTTCAGTCCATTATCATCATGGCGGGGAGCATGGCAGTGTGCTGGCAGACATGGTGCTGGAAAAGTAGCTGAGAGTCCTACATCTTGCAGGCAACAAGAAGTTGACTGAGATACTGGGTGGTGTCCTGAGCATAGGAAACCTCAAAGCCCGTCCCCCACAGTGACACATTTCCTCCAACAAGGCCATACCCATTCCAGGAAAGCCACATCTCCTAGTAGCGCCACTCCCTGTGAGATTATGGGGGCCAATTACATTCAAACTACCACAGTGATCTTGTCTCATGAAAGATGGAAGGTGAGAACAGACACCTGATGTTGTCCTCTGAACTCCATGTGGGCACCAGGCATGCACACACTTGCAAGTCACACACACAAAAGAGGCAGCAGTGTTCTGAGCATGCTGGAATACACCTGTAATACCAGCATTTGGGACTCATTACCTATTCAATGATATCTTTCCTTTTTTAAATCATCCTCGTTTTAAGAGTCTTCTAACAAGAAGACTTGCAAATTAAAAAAACCAGTGGACTCTTAGTTCATATATATATACACTTATACATTGGATTCTCTACTTTCTAATCATTAAATAACCACAGGCATTTATTATAATAGACTATCAGACAAAACAAACAGACCTGTTTTATTAACCTCAAAGATTCACACACATGCACTTTCTTTTGGGTCTTTTTACTCACCTTTCACTTATCAGTTGACATGATAAAAGCATTTAATGAAAGCTTATATTCTCAGTATTGTGGTGTTTAAATATAACAATTGACCTTGAAGGATTGAAGACTCTTTAGAAGTTGCCAGTCAAGGTGTCACATTCAGGAGGATTGTGCGTTCAAAGTCAGCCTAGCCTGCATAGCAAGACCCTATCTCAAACAACAACAAAAAAGGAAGTAATGTATACCGAAGACTAAGAATTGCTAGGATCTGCATAATCAGAGGAGACTTGTTGAAGCGTTAATAGGATTTGAAGTGGAGATGAACTTAGGGAAATTATGAGAAATTGAACTACAGTTGGGGATATGGTAGTGTATGCCTATAAATCTGACATCTGTGAAGTTGGGATGCAGAACTAGATAATGAAGTTACCTTCCGTGTATAACCTGTGCATCCATCCTCTATGCATATAACTATGTCTGGTTTTTTATCTCTTCTAGTTTGAATCTCAGCGTCACTCCATTAGCCATGCGATTACCTATCCACTGTGTTTCTGTAACCAAAGAGTACAGCCACATTCTTGTAGGCTTAGAAGATGGCAAATTGATTGTAGTCGGTGTTGGCAAGCCAGCCGAGGTAAAATTCAGCATCATGGATTCCTCCTTACTATTGTGGGCTCCTTTGGTCCTTTATTCTAGCTGATTCAGAAGTCTCCATTATGGATAGACTGAAACATAATTTTGACTTTTCAGGAAGAGCTAAAGTATAAAGTTGTTAATCAGTATTGTTCATACTATGATAAAATTGAAAGCATGATTGTGTATTGGTATCACTGTGTGAATAAGAAGATTATTTTACTCCAAATCAAGACTCAAGAGTACTGTGCAGATTTGAGGCATAAAAGCTCTTATAGAAAATAAAATACAGGTTCTAACAGTAAGACTAATTTGATTTAATAAATACCAAGCATGACTATATAAAGGCATCGTTTTTTATCTAGAACTACAAATATCTTGTATCCACATCCTTATTCTTAGTGAGTTTATTATAGTAATAAATTTTCTTGGTTAATAGTCTTTCATAGATTTGTTCCTCAGAAAACCTAATGGCTGTACTCCAGGTAACTTAGTGCTTCTCCCAGAAAACTTACTATAGAATTAAATTAGTCATTGCATGTTTTTTTAGACACTCTTAGCTTTTTCTGAGAAATGTAATATGGTATCTGTAGGTGTTTCTTCAAGAGAAGAAGTTAGTTGGATGTGGTAGTGCATACTGGTAATCCCAGTGCTTGGGAGACATGCAGGAGAATCACCACAATTTGGGGGCCAGACTGGTCTACATAGTAAGTTCTAGGCAAGCCAGGCCTGTATAGCAGGGTCACTCTGAAAACAACCCCAGGAAAAGGCTGGAGAGATGACACAGCAGCCCAGCATTGCTGCTCTGCGGGAAGCAGGGGCTCAGTTTCAAGCACTCATAGCACCTCACAACCATCTGTCACTCCAGCTCTAAGGAAACCCACACCCCTTCTGACCGTCACAGGCACCAGACATGCATGTGGTGCACATGCAGGCAAGATACTCATTTACATAAAATAAATATTTAAAAAGAGAGTGAAAACATTTAAACATGTTTCCATTCAACATTGAGTTTAATTTTATTTTCCTGAATTGCACCCATCTTTCTCCTGCTAGTGTGATAATTACATAAAATTCTGCTCACACTTTACTCTTTGAGTACACACCTGTAATCCCTGCTAGTTGGGAGGCTAAGGCCGAAGAATCACAAGTTAAAGGTCTGCGTGCCTACAGGGTGAGCTCAGGGTCAGGCCCAGCAACCAGTGAGACTTTATGTCAGAAAGTGCGAAGATGGCTTGGATATAGCTCCGTGCTCGAGTCTTTGCCTAACAAGAGGAGGCCTTGAGTTCAGTCTCTTGTACTGCAGTAAATAAGTGGCTTTCGTTATTAATTAAGGATCTTTTAACATGTTAGTGATTTTGCTACCAAAACCTGTTCTGCACTTTACAAACTCAGTGTCATATATATTGATTTTATGTATCCTAGTTTTTCCTCAACATCTATTCATTTCTCTGTATTACCTTGAACAGATGCGTTCGGGTCAGCTTTCTCGAAAACTGTGGGGATCTAGCAAGCGGCTCAGCCAGATTTCAGCTGGAGAAACCGAATATAATACTCAAGATCTGAAGTGATTGTTATTTCCACCTTGTGTGATGGAGGCCGGAGCTTCATGTACTGCTTTGTAACTTTAGCTACATCTCTCTACTCTCTGAAAGTCTGAAGTGTTTTATCCAAAAATAATTAAGGATCACCACAGTTTGATACCTGTGAAGGTGTAGGTGGAGCTGGACTTTATGGCACATGCCTGTAATGCTAACATTTGAGAGGCTGAGGCAGGTGGATCTTAAGTTCAAGGACAGCCTGGGCTACATAGCAAGGCTTATCCCAAAAATTCAATAAATACAGCATAAAAATAAAGTTGTAGATTGTACGAAAGCTGTTTTAAAAGTTTCATCAACAATGAATCAAGTTTTGTTAAGCAGTAGTAAAATTGAATTGAGAAAATGTATTTGATTCCATTTGGTAACCCATTCCTAAATCATTCAATCCATTTTTAAAAACAGACTTCTAATATTATATATTTAGATTGAATTCCCTTAATCTAAGTAGCAAAATTTAAGACATTTCCAATAAAGTAGTATAGATAATGGAGAGTTGAGAGATGTGGCTTTTCATGTATTCTTTAGATAATCATTTTACTGTTTACTTGCCATGGTGTTAAAGACATAACCTTTTGGGCATTTGTTGTACAATTGAGTTTTCAAAAGTTGCAAGTCTGCACAATTGGATTAAATATAAATATTGAAATAATACATTAGTTTATTTCCCTACCCCTACTATTTAATATATTACTAATAAAAATATTTAATTGCATTATTATCCTTAAGTAACAGAAATTGAACAGGAAAAAAAAACTAGAGATAATTTTTACAAGTGTATTTCATTAATAGTTTATTTAAGCAAAAATGCTAATTGTGGCTGTGGCCAGCCAGTCCTTTGAGTAACATCTGCAGCACAGTTGACATCTGTGAAATTCGCTATTTTGTAAATTTGTCTTTGTTACGCAAAAACTGTGCTCTCTTTGTAGTTAATCACTTTTACCCTGACGATCATGAGTTGTCGGTAATGTTCTAAAGGTCCTGAAAGATGGGGTGGGACTTCATGATCCAGAGTAGTGATGTAGGTATAGTAAACTGTCTACTGCTTATCATAGACCCTCGTCAGGATGAGAGCCATTGTGTTAGATATTGTTAAATAGTGCTTTATATTAATGTTTGAAGTAAAAAAGCTGACTGATTTAATTTGGAATTCTAAGTAATTGTTATTTGTTTTTGCAAAATTGACTTCTGAGTTAGGTCAGAGAAGTTTTACAGTTACCAGTATTGGTAATCTGAGATTCCACAGGCTTTGGGAGGATTTGTGAATCTCTGAAGTTGTACAGAAATTTGTATGTTGAGGCTATTTTCAGGAAAGACTATTGCATGGCTTCCTTAAATTGATCTATGGGCAACAACAAATGACTTTACAATGGTAGCCTTTCAGAATTACATTCTTTTCTATTCTGCTGCTCAGACATTTCCTTATACCTAACTGTCTTTTCAGTTGAATCCTGAAGAAATTTTGATTTTCCATTTTTCTTTCTCCTGTTGACCACAGTATCCAGTGGTCTTTTTTCTCTATACTCCCATAAATAAGTTTTAAAAAATTTAGATGTAAAAGATTATGTTTAGGAAAATTTTCCAATATTTTGATTTCTTGTGGGTCAGGATTAGTAAAACACTGCAAAATCACTTTCTGTTTAATCAGTTAAAATTATCTGATTCAGGACAAAGTAGCTGCGTTTTAGACAAATAACACTAAAATCAACTGGTACAAAGGTAGAATTTGTGTAAATATATTTCCTTTTTGAAAGACTTCAAGAATTTGTTGGAAGTCTCACAAGTCAGTAGAGAGGATTATGGTATATGAAACATCTCTTCCTTTTGTTTCCCCACCCCACACTCAGGTGCTACAGCCATGGTGCCGTCGGGGCCATCTATTCTCCATAAACATTTTAAGGGAGTTCAAGTCAGAACCAACATGATTGGGTGATTTTTTTTTTCTTGGTTTTTGGGCTTTTTGAGACAGGTTTGCTCTGGGTAGTCTTGGCTGTCCTGGAACTCACCCTGTAGATCAGACTGGCCTCAAACTCACAAAGATCCTCCTGCCTCTACTGGGATTAAAGGTGTGCAACACCACTGCCGGGCAGTGATTCGTTTTCAGTGCATAGTAGAACGCTTGCCTACATTGTTCGAGAGCCTGGGTTTACTTCCTAGCATGGGCAAGAGAGGCAGAGAAAATACACAGATGCTAACTGACTCTAAATCAAGACTTGGTAAGGGTTTCTTTTTGGCAGTTTATCCACAAATTCCTTGTTTTTGAAACCACTTAATACTGGATTTAGAGATTATTTTATTTATTTAAGAATCACAAAAACTTTGATAATCTTAGAAAAGCAATCCTAAATATATGGTGTTTGACTGTGCTACTTTTTAGTGGGAAACTGAACAAGCATTATTTCTTTTATAACATAAATATGAAGCTTTATTCAGTTTCATAGAGGTCTGGCCCAGACAAGTGTTAGATGTTAAAAGGAGACTTATTCCTGATAATTGTTTTCAGATTTAGAATATTCTTGAAGAATGAACTTTTTGTTTTGTTTTGTTGTTTTTTGTTTGTTTTTCAAGACAGGTTTCTCTGTATAGCTCTGGCTGTCCAGGAACTCACTCTGTAGACCAGGCTGGCCTCGAACTCAGAGATCTGCCTCACTCTGCCTCCTGAGTGCTGAGATTAAAAGTGTGCACCACCACCACCCAGCCAAGAATGAACTTTTGTGTTAATTAAAATAAGCAAATCTAGTGGAACTATTATCTGGTAGTATATTCCTCATGTAAACAGTAGATCCATGAAATTAAAAGTCGCTAGATAATGTCACTGGGAAGATAAACTTTTACAGAGTGGAGTGTAGATGTTATCCATAGAGATTTCTATAGTGTATAGTGGAAGAAATTATTAGAATGGATTGATAGCTGGATATTTTAGTTAATGAGTATAAAAATCTCAAGTTGGCTACTGTTGGTGTCAATTCATCTTTTCAGAACTTTTCATCTGCTTTTGTTTCTTGAAAGTGGTGACCATGAATATTAAAATCTCAGCATCCTGGTAATGAGAGATTTATACTAAGATAATGTTCTTAACTTTGGAAAGTGAGGTCAGAAGTTATTTTGCTGATGTTGCTGGTGGTGATGGTGCATGTGTTTATGTGTGTACATATGTATACAATCACTATATGTAATCAAGAGAATAAAACAATGTAATATATAACTCCCCCCAGTCAGTATTCTGTTATTACTTAGGTAAAGTTGAAGAACAGGAAGTCAGGGAACTGCAGAAATAAAGATGAGCATTAAGTCTTTGTAGCCAGTGTTGCCTGTCAAGGAAGTTTCTATCACTTTCCTTAAGTCACAGTGCATCCCGCTGTGGGAGAAGAGTGTCTGCAGTCAGAGCTGGTCTCTTTCCTTGTGATGTGTGTGGGTTATTCTTCACAGAGCTGACACTGAAATGCTGTATTCTCCCAAAGGAGTAAGCATGCCCACAGAATTAGAATTTAGACGTGAAAACTGACTCTTAATTCGTCTTCTTTATATTCCTTTTCAAACATGCTAAGAAAGTGAAATTGAGTGTCAATTTTTGTTTAGTGGTGATAGAGGCATGGCATTTGTCTGTAAGTACAACATTATTTTTACTAAAGATATCTCTAAGGAAAGCTTTTCATTGAATTTTAAGAGGTTAGTTCCTTTAAAATATTTGTTTGTAAAATAAATAGCATCATCTTTGCCTCCTTTCCAATAAAAACATGTGAGTAGGCCAGCCTGGTCTACAGAGCTAGTTCCAGGACAGCCAGAGCTGTTACACAAAGAAACCCTATCTTGAAAAACCAAAAAAAACAAAGAAACAAAACCATGTGAGTCCTTTTACTGAATTGAGTATGAACAAGGTTTTAAATGCATAATACCATGTGTCTGGGATGTGTGTGTCTAAAGGTGTTCTCACTTCTCACATTGCTAAACCCATTTTCTTAACCCCATCTTTGCTGTGTTTGAGTGGTATGTACAAGACGAAATGTATTATTTTTACTTGTTATTTTCATTTGTCATCTAGACCCAAACCTTGATGTAAGTGTTCTATCTCTATCAAACTATTGTTTCCCAATAACTGAGCATTCTAAACATCTTTACCATTGGCAGCATGTACTCATTCTCAGTACTTTTCCTAGTGTGTGTGTGTGTGTGTGTGTGTGTGTGTGTGTGTGTGTGTATCATGTATGTAGAATTGGGTTTGTTTGAGATGATCCCATATAGACATTGTTCTGAAGAATTTCCTCAGAGTGCTTTTCCTGGTGGCATTAGACAACAATACAGTGTTATCAGCCTTTAATATTATTTACATATTCACATATTACTTACATAATTTAAACAAAGCATTTCCTATGCCAGTGGTTATCTCCAACCCCAGCCCAGTATGTTTATTGTCTTTGTTTCATGTGGACAGAGCCACTGTATTTCCTTTTCATTATTGAAAAGTTCATTAATCTTACCATGAACTCTCTTTAGACCTTTCATATTTGAAAATCATAATTAACATTTACTCCAATAACATTGTCTATTTGCTAATAGTAGTTCCTAATGCCTATCAGTCAATATTTCCCACACTGATAAAGATTAAATTTTTTTCCAGTGTTGGGGATTGAGCTCAGGGCCTTGTGCATGTTAGGCAAGAATAAAAAACATTAGTAATCAGTGCTAAAAGAACAACAGAATCAGATATCTTGTAGCATTAAAGTTGTATGTAGCTGAAAGTTTTCTTGTGCTTGCCGGCACCAAGGTCTACAGCCACTTATAAAATTCCTTTGTCTTGCCTGGACCTGCAACCGTTCAGACCCAAGTAAACACACAGAGACTTTTATTATTTTTAAACTATGGCCATGGCAGGCTTCTTGCTAGCTAGCTCTTATATCTATATCTATAAATCTATACTTTGCCATGTGGCTCATGGCTTATCGGTGTCTTTACATCTTGCTTCTTGTGGTGGCAGCTGGCAGTATCTCTTTGCCTCTCCTTTCTCTTCCTGTCTGTTTTGACTTCCTGCCTGCCTCTAAGCTGCCTTGCATAGGCCAAACAGCTTTATTTATCAACCAATCAGAGCAACACATATTCACAGCACACAGAAAGACATCCACAGCAGTTGTAATGAGTAGAGTTCTCCCACTATGAAAGCATTGGGTAAATTCTCCTAAATACTTTTGATGATGTGTGCAGGTATGCCTCTGTATAGGATATTCTTTATCTTTTCATAGGTTTTTAGACTTGGGCTAGGGATGTATCTTAGTGATGGAATGCTTTCATGTGAAGCCCTGGGTTTGGGGTTCTGGGTAGGCTTCTTTACCCCAGCACTGGGACAGCATAGGACCTCACACATAGGAGGAGGGTTCTACCACTGACCTCTGCACCCTCAGTTCAGAGCATGGCTCCTAATCTGAGGTTGCAGATCAGACTTGTCTGTAGGGATTAATAAATAGGCTATGCCTTGGTACTACTTGGGTTTTTCACTGGTTTTAATCCCAGGTCTCAAAAATTTTATGTATGTACATACAATGTATATAAGTGAATATGTACCTAAATTGCAGATACATTTTTATTTGTTGAAAATCATGTGACTATCTTGGAATATAGGATTTATATCTCTTCTCTTCTCTTTTGGCTGCCATGAAGTATATAATATAAAAATTATGTGGTTTTATTTATTATAAAAAACCTCATGTAAAAATGGCCACATTATCAACTGAAGTTCTTTTGGCTATCATAGTTATTCATTAGGCAGGTTTTCTTAGACTAGTATCTTTACTGACACCACACAGAATTAGATTCTAAACACACTGCAAGATTTGGATACATGAAGATAATTCTTTTAGTGTCAAATAAAAAGACACAAATTCAGTGGTATGTATCTTTCCATAATGTATAAAGCAAGATGAAAGTCACAGATTCAATATTCTTTTCTCTATGATACAGTTTTCATGTTAACCTTGAAAATACATATCTTGCATATATTAGCATAACAATAGCCAAATTTCATCATTTGAGAAATTAGGCAAAGTGGTACATGCACATGGTTCCAGTTACTCGGGAGACTGAGATGGACAGATCACCTGGGCCGGGAAGTTCAGGATCAGCCTGGACAATGTAGTAAGACTTCCATTTCAAAAATGAGTAAACAATTTTCATTAATGTTTCAAAGTTGACTGTTAAAGAAGTGCTGCTGCTGTGTGTTTCCTTCATAATGGCTTCCTAGTAACTTTCATGGAATAGTTACAACGTGAGTCACTGCTTTATAGTGCTGTGGTAAATTAGCAATGTAACATGAGACTGAGAACAGCGAGGATTTAGCTGAGATTGAAATACAAACTTTTTAAAAGAAGTCTTGCCAGGCAGTGGTGGCGACTCAGAGACAGGCAGATCTCAGTGAATTCGAGGCCAGCCTAGTCTACAGAGCGAGTTCCAGGACAGCCAGGACTGTTATATAGAGGATCCTTGTCTCAGAAAACAAAAACAAACAAAAAAAAGAAGTCTTATTCCAATTAAGATTTTATTTAAATAATAATATTCTGTTGACCTTATATTAAAATTACAGGCTCTCTGATAGTGTAGTCAAGTTGAGAATTAGGCTTTCATGTTCCTTTTTTTTTTTTTTCTTGTTTTTGTTTTTGGGACAGATTCTCACTATGTAGTCTTGGCTGGCCTGGAAGTACCTATGTCAACTAGGTTGGTCTCAAACTCAGATCCATCTGCCTCTGCCTCCCAAGTCCTGAGATTTTCAAAAATATACATAATTATTTTGCTCCTCAGAAGTAATTCTGGCAGGGAGATATCAGTAGTTTAATTTAATTGAAAATAGCTTAAACTCGTATTATATTGGAACTAAAGAATTTTTAGAAGTTTAAATGTTTTGTTAGGTAATCCCTAATGACTTGCATATAGTTTTATACTCTTTCCAAAATTATGGTATGTTACAGTGGCTTTTTTTTTTTTTTTTTTTTTTTTTTTTTTTTTTTTGGTTTTTCGAGACAGGGTTTCTCTGTGTAGCTTTGCGCCTTTCCTGGAACTCACTTGGTAGCCCAGACTGGCCTCGAACTCACAGAGATCCGCCTGGCTCTGCCTCCCGAGTGCTGGGATTAAAGGCGTGCGCCACCACCGCCCGGCGCTTTTTTTTTTTTTTTAAGACAGGGTTTCTCTATGTAGCTCTGGCTGTCCTGGAACATGCTCTGTAGACCAGGCTGGCCTTGAACTCACAGAGATCCACCTGTCTTTACCTCCAGAGTGCTGGGATTAAAGGCGTGAACTACTACCGCCAGCTTACAATGACTCATATTGCTAAAGGCCTTTTACATTTTGGACACTTTTTCTCCTATTCTGCCTTTTACTTCTCATAGACTGTGCTTCATAAACATCACCACAAGCTTTTTATATGTAGTTACTGCTACTTAAAGTCAGCTTTACATAGAAAACTTTTTAGGAAGCTGCATGACTTTCTGCCAGATTCTTTTACAGGATGAACTTCCCTTTCTCCATCAGTTTGCTTTTGTACAGTTGGAGGGAAAAAAAAATATCAAAAAGCACTCAGATCTCTGGATAGCCATTTTCTATCAAATTCATTGTTAAATTAAGACAAAATTAACAAACATTTGATGAGTTTGACAGTTTTTCTGGGACTCAGATTAATTAGAAGCATTTCAGATTTAACAAGGTGACAGTTTCTTGATATGTGAATATACACTAGTTCAGAAGAGTTAGCTGAATATTCAAAATGACTTGTTTAAAAACAAAGTACTTAGTAGCTGAGTATACTGGTACATCTGTAATCCTGATGCAGGAGTATTGCCTCAAGTTTGTGGCCTACCCTAGGCTATAGAATGAAGTCAGTCTCTGTGTATGTGTGTGTCTGTCCCCTACCGCAAAACCTTAGAAATTGTGCTGCTAGTTACTATTTAAGGAGTCGTGTATTTATCTTAAAATGTCCCCTTTCTTTTTCTCCACTGGAATTGGTTGAATGAACAAAAAGTAATAATAAGCCTCTTTATGTTGAATTATTGATTTGTAAACTGTGACTCATTGAGTTTTTGTTCAAAGGGGTTCAAAGTTGAGCAAAGCAAATTTTAGACTTTATAAGGATGTAAATAACTTTAATTAGCATTCTGATAACAAAATTACTGTTTGGTGCAATTGATTCTGCTTTCATTCTGAATTTAAATATACAAGATGTATTTGTTTTGTCATATAAATATTTTTAAGAACTTCGGTGAATGTATATGAGTTAATGTTTGATTTGTTTCTGTATAGTATGATCAAAAACAGTTGAAAGTTCCGCACTTTGTTAGTCCATTGGAAATTTATATTCTAATGTTTTTAAGAATGTACATTTATTTTGTACATAATAAATTAGCTTTGTATATGACAGTGGGTTTGAATCAAATAAAAAGATGGTATTACTTTCGTCATTTGGTTGCGGTTCATGGAGTGTGACCAGAATTTGCGGTGCCTGCTCAGTTCTTTGAGTAGATAAAGAACTGAACGCAGTAATTAGTAAACAGAAAACCAGCAACTATTTGTTTCTCAGAAGGGAATCTCCTGTGATCTGCACAAGGTGAGTATTAATGTTATTTCATCAGGCTCTGTTATTCACAAAGACTTTGATTTTAAATCATCCCAAAAACATTGTCCCAGTATTTTCTCAATAAGCAGTCATCCTAAATTTTCATGTTTTGTTAACCAGATAATGGATACAGTTTTTTTAAAGTTTCACTTTCATAGTAAAAATACTTTATGCATTAGCCTTTTAATTTTATCCACCTAACTCTTAAACCCTGGACTTTAATCCTGATGGACAGGTGTTGTGCTCTTGAGCTACACTCCCAGCCTTCCTTCGTGCATCAGCTTTGTGACGGCCGCGTGACAAATGCCTCAGCTTCACAACAGTAGTGAATGATAACTTCAGGACCGTGAGCTGGTCATAATACTACATTTTAGGGACAGTTCTTCACCAGAATTAGAAACTTTCTGCATGAATTCATCAAGAATCCTAAATTAGTGCGCAAAGCCAGGCTAATGACAAGATTAGTCAAAACTGCCTTTTTTTCAATCCATAAGACCATATCAGGCATCAGATAAATGTTTTCAAATGGTAAGAAAACTTACATTTTCTTGTCATTTAACATCACATCAGTTAACTGTAAATAGAGGCAGATCTCTGTCCTGTACACCCCCGCGGTCACTTCCCAAATTACCATACAGAGGCTTATATTAGTTATAAGTGCTTGGCTGATGGCTCAGGCTTATTACTAGCTAGCTCTTAACATCTAAATTAACACATTTCTATTCATCTATGCATCGTCACATGGCCCGTGACTTACTGGTCCTTTGGCATCTTGCTCCTTGGGCAGCTGGCTGGCTGGCATCTGCCTTGACTCCACCCTTCTTCATCTTCATCTTCAGTTTGATTGTACCACCTAACTTTATTCTGCTTCACCATTGGCCAAACGGCTTTATTATCAACCAATGAGAGCAACACGTAGTCACAGCGTACAGAAGGACCATCCCACTGCAGTTAACAAAGTCATAATTTTGTGCTTTGGGGCTTATTTCTCAAAAGATTGCAAAAAAAAAAAAAAAACCACCCAAATGATGCTGTTGCTATAACAGTGCCCCATCTTATTATTTATTTTAAAAAGAACTGAATCCTGGCAATGGTGGCGCACACCTTTAATCCCAGTACTTGGGAGGCAGAGGCAGATGGATCTCTGTGAGCTGAGGCCAGCCTGATCTACAGATCTAGTTTAAGGACAGCCAGGGCAGTTACACAGGGAAACCCTGTCTCACATTAAAAAACAAAAAACAAGAAAGCAAAACGAGAGTTGGCTCAGCAGTTAAGAATACTTTTTGCTCTTACAGAGGACCCAAGTTCAATTCCCTACACCCACATAGTGACTCACAACCATCAGTAACTCCAATCCCAAGGGGTCTGATGCCCTCTTCCAGGCATGCACATGCACTCATACACATAAAATAATAACATACGTTTTTTTCAGAAAGGTTTCTCGGAGCCTGTAGTGATACCAACCAGTACACAGGATGGTTGTTGAATCCTGGTTTAACAACGACATTGATGGGGCTGGGGAGATGACTCGGTAGGTAGAGCATGTCCGACTGGAGTTGGGATCCCCAGCACCAGAGAAGCGCCAGGTAGGCTGGCAGTGGGCCTGTGATGCCAACTCTGGGGAGTGCAGAGACAAAAGGGTCTCAGAGCAAACTGACAAGCTAGACTAGCCAAATAGGTGGACTCTGGATTCAGTTGTGAGCAACTGCCTCAGTGAATAGAGTGATTGAGGAAGGCTGCTAACATCACACACAAACACACACACACACGAACATGCAGCCTTACACACATGAATGTGTGCTCACACATACAAAATAAACATTCATTCAATCCATAAATACATAAACTAATTGGAAGAAATCCTCTTCAATATACTGTGTTTCTAATAGGATTTTATTTAATTTTTTTAGTTTTGACTTTTGTTTTTGTGTGTCACAATCTCACACTTTAGTCCAAGGTGGCCTGGAACTCACCATGTACCCATGGCTGGCTTCACTCATAGTAATCCTGCCTCAGCCTTTTGTGTGCCAGATTACTGGTGTGAACCACTATTGGCTTATTTTACTTAGGTATAATATTTATCTAATTCTATATAATTTCAGGACATTGAGTTAATAATCAATTGTGATATTTTGACCCCAAAGAAATAATTCATATTGATTTTAAATATTTTTAATTTTAAAATATTTTAAGAACTTAATTTTTTAAATATTTAAATTTTTTTAGGAGTTTAAACACCTAAGAATTTAGAATCACAAAACTGAAAACTTTCTGCTGTTGTAGACTTGAGATAGGTCTCATCACATGGCCCAAGATAACAGAGGACTCACATAGGCTGGCCTTGAACCTCTGGCAACCCTCCTGCCTCTGACTCCTGAGTGCTGGTATTATATGCATTCACCTCCATGCCTGGCTCTGAAACTTATTTTTTTAAATTCAGTGTGAGTATGTACTGAAGCATGTAAACAAGTTCTCAAGGGGAAAAGCCATGTCTGTTTTAAAGGTTTTACAAGGCTGAGCAATCAGAACTTTGTAATTGTGGACAATTGGAATGGTGCAGATGCAGAGTCAAACTGATCTCTGGCTATGTTCAGTCTCCTTAGTTGCCCACCTTTGTGCCTGACCTAATACCTTTTCAACTAGGTAAATTAAGTAAAACCTGTGTTGTGCCAGGAGCCTCCAACCCCAAAGCTAGGATGACATCAGAAACCAGTGGTCTCCCCAGCTTCGCGGTAAGTAGTTGTCTTAATTTCCTGTTGCTGTGACAAAGCGCCAGGATCAAAAGCAACTCATAAAAGGAAGCATTTAATTGGACTTACGGTTCCAGAGGGTTAGAGTCCATGATGGCAGAGAGAAGGCGTGGCGGCAGGAACAGCCGAGAGCTCACAGAGGCAGAGAGAACCAATTGGGAATGGGTGGGGCTGGCTGCTTTTGGAATCGCAGAATTCAACTCCAGTAAGGCAACACCTTCTAATCCTTCCCAGACCCACCAACAAGGGGCCACATATTCAAACAATGGCCTGTGGAGACCACTGGTGGTTTTTTTACTCTTTTTCTCTTTTGGCTCTTTAGAGGGCGTACCACCCAGTTCCCAAAGAAACACACACACACAGAGGTGTAGCTTGAGTTTTCCTGCCTGGCCCACAGTCAGGGCAAATCTCTCTCACCTGCTAGTCCCACAGCTGCTCAGACCCGACCAAGTAAACACAGAGACTTATATTGGTTACAAACTGTATGGCCGTGGCAGGCTTGCTAACTGTTCTTACAGCTTAAATTAATCCATTTCCATTAATCTATACCTTGACACATGGCTCGTGGCTTACCGGCATCTTTACATGTTGTTTTCATCATGGCGGCTGGCAGTGTCTCTCTCACTCAGCCTTCCACTTCCCAGCTCTATTCTCCTCCTTGTCCCGCCTATACTTCCTGCCTGGCCACGGGCCAATCAGTGATTTATTTATTGACCAATCAGCAACACATTTGACATACAGACCATCCCACAGCACAGAGGCTTACTCTTATGAATGCCTGGCCTTAGCTTGGCTTGTTTCTAGCCAGTTTTTCTTAAATTGTCCCATCTACTCTTGTCAGTAACCATTATCATGAGCTATTGCAGGCTACAGGATTATGCAGTAAGAATTCAGCTGTCATTTACAAGGTCAACCCATCAGAACCAAGGGTTCTGGTGGAGGATTAAGCCGAGACATAAGACGTGTTAGAGTTACTGCCTTTTGAATGAATTGGCTGTTTCTTGTTGTAGACTTCTTGTGCAATTACAGCTATGGTATCTCCCCATTACCATGCATTTTCATAAAATGTGTATATATAATCTCATGATTACATCTCAATCCATGGCTGGTCAGGAAGATGACTTTTATCTGTATAATTTTGATATATAGAAAGTATACTAGGAGATGCTTCATACCCAGATCTGTTGTCTCACGAGGCTGTAGACACTTAAAGTCCGCTTTGTTCCTTTTCCTCAGACTAACAAAAATAACAGTCTCACCTCAGTCTAACAAACTGTATGCATTTAGCTCATTTTCGCTTCAGAGCAAGTTCAAACTAGACTAAAGGCCTTTGTAAATAGATGGGTAAAAGCACTTGCTGTACAAGCCGGATGACTTTCAGTCCCCAGAAATCATGGTAGAAGGAAAAAACTTGAAAATTGTCCTTTGACATCCACTTGCTCACCACTCATGTGGGCAACTACAATCTCTCTCTCTCTCTCTCTCTCTCTCTCTCTCTCTCTCTCTCTCTCTCTCTCTCTCACACACACACACACACACACACACACACACACGAGGTTGGAGTAAAAGAACCAATGACTGCTGATGGCCAGCCATCAAGAGAAATCTTAGCTGAGAAAACCAACAAAGCTTGTGGATTTACTGTTATTCAATAAATTTTGACACAATGTAAAGATACAGATGTACATGTTTCTGATTCTGACATGCTCACAATTTGAATCATTACCATATTTAAATTCTTGAGGTAACAATTTCAATGTGAATATTTACAATATGCCAGAAGTTTAACCTGTTCAAGCCAAGACAAAAATTGTGGGTATCAGTGCAAAACTTGTGAAAGTATACTGTATATGGTGATTAAGCTAATTTTAAAGCCTTAAAACACAGAAAGAAGTGGTAGATATCTACTTGTCTCTGGCATTATGTGGTGCTGGGAACACACCCAGGACTGTATGCTAAAGTGCTCCACCACTCATCTATATTCATTCTCGTGGTTTTAGATGACTCCATTTCTGAACCATTGTGCCTTGCCTATGTGGATACAGTTCAGAGGGCATCAGGCTAGGAGATAGTTTAGGACTAAAAAATCTTGAGGGGCTCAGATACCTAGCAGGTACAGGCATGGTTTTGATCCCTGACACTGGGAAGGGTAGAGGTCCAGATGCCATGGGAGATTGGTTCCTAAAGTTATTGCTTTATGGCTACATTGTGCATTTAAAATTTTTTTTCTGGTGTTGATCCAGACCATCATTTTGATGGGAAATAAAAACAAATCCTTGAAACATTCAGGGCAGTTTTAAATACATTCAGAGAGTTAAAAGTACAACTTTTGCTGGGTGTGGTGGTACATGCTTATAATTCCAGCTACTTGCAAACTAAGGCAAGATCATGGTTTGTGTGAGTTTTGCAACTCTGGGGAAAGGTATCCTGACTACTTGGGTCATCAGGTGACACCTTGATCTGCAAAGACAGCTCTGACGGCTGGAGCCGCGATGAGACAGCCCTGGAAGGTGAGGTCTCCCGGATACCTGGAGCTGCTTAGGAGCTGTTTAGGACAGCTCTGATGACTGGAGCTGCAATGAGACAGCTCAGCACTGGCAGGGAAGGTATTCTGACTGATCCGGAGAGTCAGGCCTGGAGCTGCTAGGACAGCTCAGCAGGGAAAGGTATCCTGACTGTTTGGGAGTCAGGTTGTACCTGTGTGGTGGGGGATGGTCTCCCCGCAGGATATAGCAATCCTGCTCCTCTCCTGGAGAGTCACTACAGCTGGGCTTTACTCAGCACCCACTTAAGGGGCTTCCTGGCAGAGCTCTGCTTCTCTGGCCTAAGATGTTGCTTTTTGCTTCACTCTGCAAAAGAGGAAACCCCTGCAGAAATGTAGCAATCTCCTCCTGCTCCAGAGAAAAGTGTTACTTTTTCAGCTCCCCCTTGCTCTGTCCACTATGGGATGTCTCAGCAAGGCTCTTCTGTTCAGCCACCCCTTGCTCAGTCCACTGAGGGACATCTCAGCAAGGATCTTCTGTTCAGCTCCTCTTTGCTCTGCTATGGGACGTCTCAGCAAGGTTCTTCTCTGCACCAGTGAATGAAGATCTTCACACCCAAAACTCTTTTGAGAAGATTTATTTGGGAAGTAGTAGTCCAGGAAGAGTAGCTGCCTCTACCAGGGTGGAGAGAACAGCCCACAACTAACTGACCAGGCAGGGCAGTTTATATAGGATGTCTTGGGGGCGAAGTCAACCAGGGATTGGTTAGTTTATCTTCCCAGGGATTGGTCCAATTAGTGGGCTAGGGGCAGAAATGGCCCTGATTTCAGAGCCAAACTGTTTCTTTCACTGGCCTTTCTTGGCTTTTTGACACTAATTCTAAGGCCAGGACATATTTCTTTCACTGACTGATTCTAGGGACCAAGAGTGTGTCTTTGGTACTGGTTTCAGAGCAAGGGCATGTTTCCTTGGTTCTTTCTTTCCCTGGTTCTGGGCTCCAGGGCCAGGGTACTACTTTCCTGCTCTGTGATTGGTTGGTTTCACAGGTCACTTGGCCAGGGGCAGGGATGGCTCTGATCTCACTGAGTTTCTTTAGCCAGCCCCTTTTTCCTACAGTTTGAGGCCAGCTTGAGCAACATAGACAACTTTGTCTCAAAACAGGAAGAAGAAAAAAAAGTGATTTCCACCAAATGAAATCTTGGGTACCAGTATTTGTCACAAACTTCAAAGATGTGGCATTTTCAATGAGGTTCCTATTTAAGCAGTCATCATTTATTTATTATAGGAGCTCTAAATGCAATCCAGGATGATTTCTCTTGCCAAATTGCTGACACTTTGATATTGTTTTAGGACGCTTTCAGTAAATGTGTGCCAATAGATTGCAGATTTTGCCTTACATTAATCCATGTAAAAAACTTCTGAAATAAAATAGAAGGATCTTAAGGTACAGTAATGCTGATCAAGTAATGCTTGAATGATGAAGTACACAGCACTCTGTGCTTTCCATAGAATATCCAGTATTATCATACTCCCGACAAGTCTGGAGTTGATTTGATTTTTCAATGATTTGATTTGATGAGGCTGAGTCTCAGGTCATCAGTTAATCCAGGAACCTCCTGAGTGCTGGGATTACAACTGTGTGACACCACGTTGCTGGAGACTGAAGCCAGGACTTGGTGTACACTAGGAAAGCACTCCACCAGCCCATCTACCTCCCCAGCCTCCGGTTTTCAGCTTTATGTAGAAGGCAGGGCTTGGAAAATTCAAGGAATTTACTGCAAATCAGAATTAACAGCCAGAGGTCCTACCCTACCCATAGTCTGCCACGGTAGCACAAGCCTCTAATTCTTGCCCTAGAAAGGCTAGAGGCTGGAAGATTCTCTGTCAGTTCCAGGGCAGCCTGGTCTACATAGTTTCAAGCTAGCCAGGGCTACACAGTGATACCCTGTCTCAAAACAAAAACAGCCATAACCACATTTACTAAAAGGTTTTTCGAGAAACAAGGCGCATCTAGCGGTGCTGAACTCTTCAGCCACGCAGGGGTCCAGGTTGGATTGGCCCGGGTCACGAGTCTCACGCCAGTGTCGGCGTGACGACCATCCCTGAGACCGCTTTCTGCAAACCGCCTGGTTTCTGCAAACCGCCTGGTTTCTGCAAACCGCCTGGTGGTTTCTGCAAACCGCCTGGTTGTTTCTGCAAGCCGCCCCTAGACAGACCCGAGTGGCACACTGGCCTAGAGGTTTCCGTGTTGACTCCCGAGCCGCGGCCGGGGCAGGGCAGGGGTGACGCCCCGTGCGGGCGGCTGGGCGGGCGAGCGGGGCGGGGCGAGCGCGGCTCCCATTCGCCGGCCGCCGAGCCGACTCCCCAGCCGCGGCGGCGCCGCCTGCCGAGCGCAGGGCCCGGGACCGCGCCCCTGGCGGAAGCATGCTGGACTTCGCCATCTTCGCCGTCACCTTCCTGCTGGCGCTGGTGGCAGCCGTGCTGTACCTCTACCCGGTAACCGCCGACTCGGGGCTCGGGGGGTGCGCCTGCGCCTGCGCCGCGCGGACCTGGGCCCGAGGGGGAGCGCTGGCGGGAGGGGCACGTGGCACCGCCCCGCAGGGCCTGCCCCGTGCGCATGCGCGCCCCGCCAGCGACCCGGCCCGTCCTGCCCGGGGACCGGGGACCGGGGAGCGGGGAGCGGGATTGTGGTTGTCCTGGGCGGCCCCGCGTACCCCATTCGGCGCTGCTGTCTTTCTTGTGGGGGGCCTTTTGCGGTCCTGACGCCCTCAAACCACAGTCCCGTTGGCTACGGCATCCGGGGAGAGACTCCTGGCCATCTTTCCCCAGCCGCCCTCCTGCATCTGTCCCTGCTGCATCCTTGTTGGAATGGGCGAGGCCGTGCTCGCCGGGATGCTCGCTAGGGCGAGGGCCGTAGGCAGCCACCCCCACCTCCCACCCCACCCCACCCCGGGTCTCCCGGACTTTGTCCTCCTGTCCTTTTCAGAGGGGAAGTTCTCAAAACTCCCGAGTTAGTGGTTAAGGGTCATCCTTAAATCATAGGCGTCGTGTATACCAGAAATCCCGGCCCTGGGGAGGTGGCCCAGGAGGATGGGAGCTCAGAGCCCACCCTGGACTCCATCAAACCCCGTCTCAGCCCCCTCCCACCCCAAATGTGTACAAAGTTCGGTGGATTTATGGAAAAGTGGAAAGGTAGTGAACAGCCCCAGGTAGATTGATAACTGGCGGTGGAAATGCCCCTTAGAAGCGTCTGTCCAGAGCGGGTGAATGGATTAGGCTACTGCCGAAAACAAATTCCTGGACTCATAAGAAACAAAACATGGATATGAAGAAGGCAAGAGAGCAAACTGTGTCCTAGCAAGCGAGATCCATGTGGCTAGAGCCGATTTAAAACCAGACAGGGATGTAAACGGCGGAGAGGCCGTTTTAGGGACTTACAGTGTTCTACTGGAGGGTTTCAATAGACAAGTGGCAGTTTTAGTTTAAAGAAAAGCTGGGAATGATGTCCTCCTTCGGCCTATAATCCTAGCACTTGGGAGGTAGAAGCAGGAGAGTGTGAAGGTTTTCCTCCAATCCAGAGCCAAGACCAGCCTGGAACACATGAGACCTTGATTTAAATTTTTAATTTTATATACTAGAAATGATGGAGTTTCTGTAATAATATGGAAGAGAAAATGTCTTGAATTCATTCCTTTTACCTAAATGCAAATCTTTGAATCAAGGAATTTTCAGATTTAAAACAGTAGTTTGAGAGCTGTGCATGCAGCTACTCAGAGCTCAGGTGGGAGGTCCTTGAGTTTGGAACCACCTTGGGCAATGTAGTGAGATCCCACTTCAGAACAACCCTAATTTTATTAGGTAAGTTTTATGAGAACCATTCTGGCTGCTGTGTTAAGAATGGACCATAAGCCGGGCGGTGGTGGCGCACGCCTTTAATCCCAGCACTCGGGAGGCAGAGCCAGGCAGATCTCTGTGAGTTCGAGGCCAGCCTGGGCTACAGAGGGAGATCCAGGACAGGCGCAAAGCTACACAGAGAAACCCTGTCTCAAAAAACGAAAAAAAAAAAAAATGGACCATAATTATGGGGCTGAGGCAAGGGTAGGAGCAGAGAGCAGTTGGAAAGATACAGTATTTTGGTGAGAGATGGTGTTAGCTTGGACCCCAGGTAGCACTGGAAAGAACCACAACTTTGTGACCATAAAGCCAGTGAAACTGGATATAAAATGTGTGCCTAAGAGACTCTGGAAGAAAAACACTTTTTTTTTTTTTTTTTTTGCCGAGTAGATAGGAGAATGGATTTGACCCCAGGGAAAGTGAGGATTTTGTGTAGTTTTTATTTTGGTGAGAGTTAGTGATGTTTCATAGGGATCAGAAGTTTGGTGTGATTAAGCCAAGTTTGAGACGCCTGTTAGACATCTGTTGTAGAATATTATTTTAAGGTGTGTTACTTTGTTTATGCGCTGTAACAGTTGTTTAATGATGGAGAGATGTGTTTGATTAAATAAAATTCACCTGCGGTCAGGAGGCTGAGTCAACTAGCTGACAGGAAGTGGTAGGGAGGAGCCAGGTGGAGAAATTGTGTGTGTGTGCTTGGTTTTTCGAGACAGGGTTTCTTTGTGTAGCTTTGGAGCCTGTTCTGGAACTCACTCTGTAGCCCAGGCTGGCCTCGAACTCACAGAGATCTGCCTGCCTCTGCCTCCCGAGTGCTGGGATTAAAGGTGTGCGCTGCCACTGCTTTGGAGAAGGGTCTTTAAGGGAGGGGTGAGGAGAAGCATGAGGACTTTTTGGAGGATGAGAGCAAAAGGTGAGCTACTTGCTATTAGCCTCAGAAGAGCAGAATTCCACCTTAACCTTTGAATCTTGAGTTCTTTAGAGGGACGGAGGCTTAGTGAAGTTCCCTTCGTTGCTTTGCAAGAGCCGGAGTTTGAGGGAACAGAATTCCCTCCGGCTACTGTCCTCGCGGCCCTAACGGCTGCTGGTAGCGGTGGAGTTGCAGTTGCTGATTTGGGACAGCTGTGGCTTAAACGGCAGCAACCATTAAATAAAGGACAACAGACGTCCAAGTGGGGAGGAGACACACATCAGTCTTGAGTTTTAAGGTAAAAGACGAGACTAGGGAGAGTTTGGGACTGCCAGTGTATAGATGATATTTAAACTTGGAAGTTGTTCCAGTCTCCTGGGGAATTGAGGTATAGCAGAGAAAAGGTCCAGGGTCTCAGCCCTGAACTTGCTGTGCATAGAGGCTGAAGAAGGAATTGGGGTAGGGCAGAAGGGGGCTGCAAAGACTCCCGAGGGGTGGCAGCCAGACCAAAGGAAGGCAAAGAATGATCAGTTAAGTCAAATGTGGCAAAATGTGCCACGGAGACTCGGGTGTGAGAATTGAGTAATATTGGTAATCAGAGACGAGCAGTTCCAGTGGATGATGGGATGATGACCTGACCATGGTGAACTGGTCAGCGGAATGATGGGGATGACCTGACCTAGTGGACGGGTCAGTGGAATGATGGGGATGACCTGAAATAGTGGATTGATCAGTGGAATGATAGATGATGACCTGATGACCTGACCTAGTGGACTGGTCAGTGGAATGATGGGGATGACCTGACCATAGTGGACTGGTCAGCGGAATGATAGATGATGATCTGATGACTTGACCATAGTGGAACGGGTCAGTGGAATGATGGATGATGACCTGACCGTAGTGGATTGAAAGGTAGTGGAATGATGACCTGGATGGTCAGTGGAATGATGGGGATGACCTGACCTAGTGGACTGGTCAGTGGAATGATGGGGATGACCTGACCATGGTAAACTGGTCAGTGGAGTGATGGGTGGTGACCTGACTGTAGTGGACTGGTCAGTGGAATGATGGGGATGACCTGACCATGGTAAACTGGTCAGTGGAGTGATGGGTGGTGACCTGACTGTAGTGTATTGAAAGGTACTGAAGTATGCTTAATTCTCAAGAGTTTTGCAATGTAGAGTGCTTTTTGTGTGGAGTGGGAAGTGAGTAGAAGGAATCTTTCCACGTGGGAGAAACTACATGTTTACGTGCTGATGAGGACTGTGGAGTTAGGAGGGGAAATCACCTTGTAAGAAACGGAATTGTCGAAGGTGTTTTTTGCAGGTATAGTGGGATACGGAGACTATAATTGGGAGCTAGACCGTTCATCCACAGTACTGGAAGGGAAGAGACTGTAAGAGAGTGAGCCAGAGTGGTGGCTCAGAATCTGTTTTCATTCAGTACAGTGGCTGCATCTTAAGCAACTACTGTCCCAGCCAGCAGCGGTTCCTCTCACAGGTCACAGCCAGGCAGGAATTCTGTGCCCTCAGGCACTGGCTGTATCATGGTGCTAAAGGGAATTTTCTCTAAATCTCTATCCTCGTGTAGAACTCAGGATTCAAAGGTTGGGGTGAAATCCTGCTAGCTCAGAGAGGCTAAATAGCAAGCACATAGCTCACCTCCTCTCCCTGCTCACATCTCCTGAGAAAGGGGCCGTCCTCCTGCTCAGCCCCCCTCTTAGGAACCCTACAACACTTAGTTCCTCCCTACCACTTCCTGTCAGCTAACTGCTGACTCAGCCTCCTGCTGGCAGGTTAATTTTTTTTCATCAAACGAATGTAGCACATCTTTGCATTGTTAACAGAGGCAGCAGAAACAAATGTAACACACACCTTTACACAGTTAAAATAATATTCCACAACAGTTAATAGCACTTGCTGCTCTTGCAGAAGATCCAAGGTCAGTTTCCAGCACGCTCATGGACTGGGGGTGGGGCACGATTGCTTGTAACTCCTGGATCTGAGACCCTCTTTTGGCCTCTGAGGGCACCGCATATATGGGGCGCACATACGGACAAGACACACACACACACATTAATAAAAATAAAATTTGAGAAGAAAGAATATAAAGAAACAGATGTAGGTGGGTAAGTATTGTTAGAAGATTCCCAGTTGCCTTTTCCCCCACAAAGACATAGAAGCAGAATTATTGATCACTGGTGAAGACAGGACGGCTGAAGAGAGACATGAAATGGTGTCCACCACCACCCCAGCTGTTCTCCGACTCTGGGAGCTCAGAGTCTGCTCCCAAGTAAAGTGTAGTCAGAACGGAAGAAGACAGAAGGTTCATAAAGGATCCACACGCAGACTGTTGTTGATTCAAATCTAACAGAATAACAGCACAAGAGAGGAAAGGCTTACATTCAAAATTTCAGTCCATGCGTCGTCTGGCTTTTAGGCCTGAGGCGAGGCAGACACCACAGGGACTGGGCAAGGTGGAGGAAAGCTGTTCGCCACTGGGCAGTCAGGAGGCAGAGAGCAGTGAGGGAGAGGGGAAGAAAGGGGCCCGGAGCACACACCTGGTGGCTTTCCTGTAACTAAGGCCTCAACTCCTAATAATTCATTCAGCCCTAAAGAGTGGTTTGTATCCCCAGTAAAACGTGAAAAACCTAGCTTTTCATTTATGAGTGGTTATCAGTTGGAGACAACTTTGG